GTTTAGCTTAAGTTTTTAAAGAGCTATTGGTTAGATATATTTAAACAGAGAGGGCTTTTACAGAAGTAAAACATTTAGATTGTGTGCGTGTCATGACGTGTTGTGTGTCATGAGTTCAGTATTGCGTTCCATTTGTCACAACAGCTGTTTGTTCTGCCTGGTCTTGCTTGTTCTCTCTCTCTTTTCCACTGGCTTTCATTTCTGTGACATAATGCATTGCAGGACTTTCCCAGCCTATAAAATAATAGACAACACTGTGTCTATGTGCGTGTGTCTGTTTGTAATCCTCTAATATCTAAACTCTTTCTCGTTATCAGAAAAAAGATTTGATCCAGCTTTGCCGAAGATTAGTGTCTCAGATTTGAAGCTGATTCTTGAATGTGAATTGTAATGACAACAAATGAGCAATCTGTCTTCATGTGTTCTGCTAAAGGACTATCTGTCTGTCTCTCTCTTTCTGTCTGTCTCTCTCTCTCTGCGGGCTGAGTGTGAATGCAGCTCTGTCATTGGTTGTACTTTCTGCAGCCCAAGTATGGAGAGAGGTTAGCCTTCACTTTGAAGACAAGCACTGCCAGACCCACCATGTGATCAGCATATTTCCCATCTGTGAGCCATAAGCATACGCACACGTACCCACACACGCACACATACACACAAACACACAAACACACACACACAGCTGCAAGCATGAACATTTACATGCATACTTTCACACTTTTTATTTGTTTTGCTTGTCCACAGTATTTTTGAGTGCCAGTGGGGTCCTATGAATAAATAGGCCCCTGCCCAAATACCACTCAAAAATCCTGTTCAATTCATTGAAATCATGAAACTTGAATTTAATAACACTTTATTTAGAATTGAACAATGTAAATTTGGAAGTGTATCTAAAATTGAGAAACACTATACATCGGTTTTCTTGAATAAGACCAAAATTAAAATTAAACTGGACTTTTATTTTGACGGGTTGTTGTAAAAATGGCAGAGACTGAAAATGCCAGGTCATTCCATTTACACTTTGGTGTAAGTGGTACTTTAGAAACATTAAACACAATAAACATAATAAACCAGGTAAACTATATTAAAATGTTCTAAAGCCACACATGTCATTTGTGTTCCATTTGAACATGTGATGCTCTTATTTTATTTTATTTTATTTTGTAAGGGGTGTGATGCTTGTGGTGTTTTGACCTCCAACGTCTCCCTGTTTGAGGACATGAATAAGACACAAACAAACAAGAGCTGATCTGATAGTCTTGACCAGCATTTTATCATTTCATTCATTCATTCATTCATTCATTCATTCATTCATTCATTCATTCATTCATTTTCCTTTGGCTTAGTCAATCAAGGGTCGCCACAGTGGAATGAACTGCCAACTTATCCAGCATATGTTTTACAGCAGATGCCCTTTCAGATGCCTTTTCAGCTGCAACCCAGTACAGAGAAACATCCATACACACTCATTCACACACATACACTAAGGCTAATTTTTTCCCCTGTGGGGGAAACCGGAGCACCCGGAGGAAACCAACAACTGGAGGGACGCGCAAACTCCATGCAAAAATGCCCTGGCCCAGCCGGGACACGAACCAGCGACCTTCTTGGTGACAGTGCAAGCCACTGAGTCAATGTGTCGCACTTCATCATTTTATTTTGGAAAACAAAATTATGTATACACAGACACTCTTTATGTCAACTTGTCAAAAAAGTCTGTTTTAATTTAGTTTTTGGTTTAATTTGAGAGCATAAATATCATGCGGTAGCCAAAATTTTAATCTAAATGTAATTTATTATTATTAGATTATGGTGACTTTGTGGTGACCCCTGATAAATCAGGGTCTAAGCCGAAGGATAGCAAGTGAGTGATTATTAAAATATTATTAATTATTAAATTGATATTAAACAACTCAGGATTCGATTATTTTGACATTATAATTTAAACTTAATAATATAATTTAATAAACTTTAATAACTTTATTAACTTTAATAAAGTCCTACAGATAGTCAGTGCTGGAAGTAATTAGTTACACTCCTAAGTAATGCTGGGTTATTAAAACTCAGATTTGGTCAAATATGGATAAAACCAAACATTGTTAAATCTGTTCCTAGAAATTAAATGTTCAAAAATTAACCCAGCAGTTGGTTTAGTTTGTATTACACCCAGAATTGGGTTGAAATAACATAGCATTTTTAAGGTTGTATTATCATTAAATTATATTTTTTCAAAACTAAAGTAAGGGATTACTTTCAATTTTAGTTATTTTGATTACAGTTACTGATAATGTGCTTGCCTTAAATACAAATGTACATAAATTTAAAAATAATGTTGTTTGTTATACAAATATTTTAAAAAGGAATAATTATATTGTTCATCTGAACTATACTAAGACTGTAGTACATGCTTAAGAATCAATTAATTTAGTAAGAGATTTATGACAATATGTTTGTAATATATTATCATTACATTGAAACTTTTTGTGTTGTGCTACATACAGTATTCTTAACATTTTTTAAAGGGCACCTATTTTACTCTTTTTACAAGATAAGACTTTGGTGTCTCCAGAATGTGTCTGTAAAGTTTTAGCTCAAAATAAATTCCCATCAGATTATTTATTATATAATGTAAAATCTGCCCATTTCAGTGTCTGAGGACTAGGTTGCAGTTTTTGTAGCCTGTGGCTTGAAAGCCAAATGAGCTGCTTCTCCCCACTTAAAGCTCACACATGTGTGTCTGCTTCTCATGCGTTACGTCAGATAAACAGCAGTCAGTGCTAGAGACAGACATGAATGAAGCTGAAATATGGTCACTAGTCAAAAATACCAAGTAAAACTTGGAAGGGAGAAATGGAACAGTTGTTTGATGGGGATATTGTTAAATCATATGGCAGCTCCCATTTTCAGTAATCTTTCTTACGGGTGTGCACTACAGAGGGAAACTGACGGGTGGGGGGGTATTATAGGGTATTATTTTCGTTTGCATACTGTGATCTATTTTGTTTGAGTGCGTATATATTTTGTTCATCTTTTCCTTCTGTAATGATAACTACGTTTTTTTTATTTTTTTTATTTTCTCTGTCAATTCAGATAATGGTTTACATATTCATATGTAGACTCTGTAAATTGTGTTAGTAGACCAAGGGAAAAATTGTATGTACGTGTGTATGTGTGTGTGGATATATGTGTATGTGTATGTATATATACATATAGACATGTAGTTGTAATATAATCACTTGTACCTAATAATTATAGAAGGAAATTTTTTGTTTTAATTTCTTTTATTTTTATTTTTTTATTTGCATAAGTAAAATGATGAGGATCTTTTTTTATATATTTGCAAACATTCTGTAATTGTACATATTCTTCCAATAAAAAAAAAAAAAAATACCAAGTAAGTTTATTTGATGTATTTGTAGTGGAGTCTATTCAAGACTTTCTGAAATGATGAGTCACACACAAAAACCCTTTGCAGTGCACACAAACACACATATGCGCATCTACTAACACCAGATGATAATGGTGTAGGATTGTCTGGATACTGGAATTCGATACCAATCAGTGCTGAAGTTTTAAAAACATCCATTTCCCGCTAACATTTGAGCACTGTTGAGCACGTTCTTAGACAGTGCTGATTTGCTGCTGTGTTCACGTGCTCAATAGAAATGACTGTGATTAGCCGTAAAGGTCATTGGTTTACTGAAGTCTTGCTGTTTACTGCATGTAACCACAGATACAGGGACACTGGAGCGTTTCAAAGTCACGTCAATCAGCTGGCTTGACTATAACCTGACATACGAGTGATCCGCTGATGAATAGCGGCTTTTAAATGCTTCAGTGTCCCTGTATCTGTGGTTACACTCAGTAAACAGTGGTGAGTTCAGTGGACCGATGACCTTCACTGCTAATCACAGTCATTTCTGTTGAGCACGTGAACACAACGACTAATCATCGCTGTTTAAGAATGTGCTCCACAGCCCTTAAATGTTCATGCATGGGATATGGACGCTTTTAAAACTTCAGTACTGATTGGTATCGAATTCCAGTATTGAGACAACACTACACCATGGTGAATATAACGGTTAAGAATTACAAAGCGATTTTACTCTTTATTACTAACATGCACTGTTTTAAAAATGTTTCAAACTTATAAAATTAATTATTGAGGTGCAGCCGATCACAGAGAGTTGTAACATAATTTTTAATACCAGTTTCTTTACAAGAAATGTTCTGTGGACATGTGTATACATGTTGTTATGGAGACATGGGCTGTCAATCAGTTCGGTGGGCAGAGAAACTGCATTCCTACGTCAAATTAAAGTAATTAAAGAGTTTAATTTCTATTGACTATTTGTTGAGATTTATAGGGACTGTAGTAGTATTGTGAAGTAATGTTACTTATTAAATAATTGCATTTCAGACTAAGTAACTATACAATATCATAAGTGAAAACATTTACAATCTTTTACTTGGACTTTTGATTTTGTTGTTTATCTTTATTAATCCCTCATCCAAATCACATTAACTACCCCTGAAGCACATTTTATATGCTTTTGGATTTTTAATTATAAAATCCAACTGTCTTAGCCAGCAGTGCAGATAATAAACTTGATATTTAAACTGTAAATATGAAATGTGACAGTGTGAGTGTTTCCTGGCACGGCATGTAGACACTTTCCCTTTTTTTCCCCATATATCTTTGTGAATTACTGTATTGTGTTTGAGCAGCAGAGCCAGGCATGTCTAATTCTCATGTTACAGAGCAGATCTGCTGCACTACTATCAGCCACTGTGCTGTTCAGCAGAAATTTCACACGCAGCAGTGTCAGCCCGCACTTCTTTGAGTCGGATTTGTGTGCTTATGTTTCAGAGATAAGAAGAGCAACAGTGCGCTTTGTATTTTTTTTAGTGTGTGGGATGCCAGTATCACCATGTGCTTTTTGCTGCGTTTTTAAAAGACCCACTTCTCTCTTAGCATGCGCAGTTACATCTGCTAAAACACATAGATACTGGAGCCAGCAGCTAAAAAAACATCCATGATTCACTTGAGAAGAAATATAGGGAGATAATGAGAAGAGAAGTATAGTGACTGTTCTGAGTGAAAGATTGATAGAGGGAGAGTGAGGGAAGGAGAGAGAGACGCACGTGGTGGTCTTGCTGTGTGTGAGGGTCACTCTGCTATTCATAGCTAAGAGTTTCCTCTAGTGCTGCTTAGGTCAGTTTAAATACTACGACAGAAAGCGTCTCTTTAAAACACAGCGTTTATTATATTTACACACACACATAGACCAAGGAAGCTGTACAGTAAGTGTTTTTTAATCTTTCTGTTTTGAATGTGTGATGTAATTAAATTGACTCGGTTGGTAAATGTTTGGTACGTTGGGTTTAGTATTGTTTCTAGGAGTGAGTTGGTGTTCTCAGTTGTAAATTAAAATTCAATTAAATTCAGACTGTATTTTAAACAAATAATATTCATGGAAAGTCCTCATTCAGATAGCTTTGTAAACGTGTGTGTGCGTGATAGACTCTTGGGTTAACTCAGGTTAACTCAAGGACAATTGGGTTGTAGTAGAGCGGTAACTAGATTTGACCTCGAGAAATACCTAATTTGACCTCATTTTAACCATAATAATGGCTGATTTGGACATTTTGGCTTTTTTGTGTGTTTTGTGAAATAAATATACTTTTGGTGTTTAATTTTAGAGCAAATATGAAATTGTTTATGCTGTCCTTCAGTAGAGTAGATTGAACGTACTAAAACTTAATAACATAATTATTATAATTTATCCATTTCTTAGACTGAGTTCTTAGAACCATTTAAAAATTTTGAATTTTATGGTTAATTTCAAATTTCCAATGAAACAATTCTTCAGTACTTATTTCAAATTATTTTAAATCGATGCTTATATTAAGCTTAAATAACTCAGTTCATGGAGTAATTATTTGCTGGGTGCAGATCACAATATTTTGATGTGTGGTCGTATTTCTAAGATAATGCATTTGGTCTTAGGGGTAGTTCACCCAAAGCCTGTCTTTATTTATTCACCCTGCACTTATCACACACCTGTTTGAGTTTCTGTCCTCTGTTGAACACAAAATAATTTAGTTTGGAAAATGTTGCAAACCGTTGATTTTTTTACACTCAAAAATGACTTTTGCTGCTTGTTCAAACTACTTATTTAAAATAAGTTGAAACAACACAGTTCTTAAGGGTTTTTAGAATAACTGATTTGTTTTATGTTCAATCAACAGTCATTTGTAAAAACGATTAAGTTAAGGGACAACATGAAGGATGTGGAACCCAGCCTTTTTTTTACAGTGTAGTATTAGTTTTTTCTACTATAAAAGTTAATGGTTACACAGGTTTCCAACATTCCAACAACTCATGATGGTGTATCAAACTACTTGAGGGTGAGAAGTTGTGTGAGTAATTTTGTTTTTGGTGGTACCTTTTTTAAGATTACTATGTGCTGTGTACTATGTAATATAAATATTTTTTTGCTGTTTGCTGCAAGATCTGGCAACGCTAATTAATCAAGATGTACCTGGTTTCCTGTGATTTCACTCTTGTGTGCATGGAGAGAAATATTTGTAGAGAGAATCACTGTAGTACACCATTAATAATGAGTTGTTTATTGAGTATATTGAACCATTTTAATAATTCAATACTAGAATAAAAGCAGTTTTTAATAATAATAATAATAATAATTTATATATATATAGGTCAATATTATTAGCCCCTTTAAGCTATATATATATATTTTGATACGAAACAAACCACTGTTATTCATAACTAGCCTATTTACCCTAACCTGCCTAGTTAATCTAATTAACCCAGTTAAGTCTTTAAATGTCACTTTAAGCTGTATAGAAGTGTCTTGAAAAATATCTAGTAAAATATTATTTACTGTCATCATGGCAAAGATAAAATAAATCAGTTATTAGAAATGAGTTATTAAAACTTATGTTTAGAAATGTGTTAAAAAATCTGCTCTTTGTTAAACAGAAATTGTGGAAAAGAATAAACAGGGGGGCTAATAGTTCAGGGGGGCTAATAATTTGACTTCAACTGTATATGCATATTTATAAAAATTAAGTTGTCAGTGAAAAGTTCTAAGTTACAACAGGTTTCCTCACTTTTCTTTTAGTAAAATAAACATTTTAGGTTTAAAGTATACAACATATGCCTTAACTATATGTTAGAATTCAGCAGATAAGCAGCAGGTCGATGTCACTCAGACCTCTTTGAAGGCCCACCGTATTATTAACAACACACTGTGCAGTTCACAGGCTTATCACTCATTCTCACCCTCTGCAAGACGAAGTGGTCTTAAGAGATTTTATCAGCTTTAGTTGGCTAGATATCATCAGCTAAGAAGTCGTCAGCTGGTGATGGTTTCCGTCTTTAGTTTGAGATCATTACACAGTCAAGCTGATAAAAAGTCTGAATGAGGAATCCTTCTCCTGACTGTAATTAGTCCACTTCCATGAAGAGAAATTGTAGAGAGAAACGCTGCTGGAGGCGTGGGCTGATGCAGCTGAAATATTCATTGCATTTTTTATTTTAGCTCCGTTTTCTGCTCATATAGAGCTGTCATGAGCATCAAATACATAAAATGGCTTATCGTGTTTGGAGGTTCTGGCTGTTTTTACATCTGTGTGATCAATTATAATTTTAAATTGGGATGTAACATATTGTAATATGGGTCTTACACACATTTGACTTCATTTTTTGATTCTTCCATTTTTATATAAAATATTATTCTTTTGAAATCACTCAATGTGGCTCAAAAACAAAATATATAATCATCAAATAATGCCAAAGGATCCTCATAAATACTGTCAATTCTAAAATAGCGATATTTTATTTTTCTGGATTTATTATTTAGATTAGTGGTTATCACGATACAGGAATTCGATATCATTCTGTACTTTTACATTTAAACATTCATAACATTCATTTCACAGTCATTTGTGTTTAGCACATAGGCAAATCAGTGCTGTTTAACCCTTTCACGTCAACAATCTCACCGGTCTGTGATTAGAATGTTCAAAGCGTACGTCATCAACTTTTAAAATTAAAATCTTATGGCGCACGCTTAGGCGCAGAAAATGGTGCGCAGCTCTTGTCATACAATCCACTTTCAAACAATAAACATTTATTTTAGGTTTTAGACATTCAAATACACTCATCTAAAAGCAAAACATACCATTTAAGGTTTGTAAAACACACACGGAAATCTATGGAGACAGCAAAAATAATTATTTTTCAATATAACTGGATGATGTGCTTTATTCACGTAAGATATAACTGTTTATGTGACTAGAATATTTTCTCTATTTCTCTCCCAGATAAACAGTTGCTTACTTTCATGTATTTTGGAAGAAAATTATGAATAAACATGACTTAAATCCAGCAGCTCGTATTTCTTCTGCACTTGTTGCGTGAAAGGGTTAAGAACCTGTGATAGGGTTAAGAATGTGCTCATCAGCGCTCACATTTTAGTGGAAATGGACATTTTAAAATTTCTGTACCGACAACACTAATTGCAAAATGTATACAGTTTCACAAGATTTTTTGAGTCTAACAGTATTCAGGTACAGAAATTGAATAATCACCATGCAAAAATGACATTTTAAACATTTACATTGCTTTGTCTCATTTCTAGTTCAAATATCTCAAAATTCTTAATCATGTAAAAATATATATTTTTTTAACTTCAGAAGAGATAAGTCAAAATAATAGTTTTTCCTTAAAATGAGCAAAATTTTCTGCCAGTGGACTAAGTAAAATAATCTTGTTTTCCCTTTTAAATGAAGACATTTAGACCAGAAACAAAGCTTTTTTTTTTTTTTTTTTGCATTAATCATATAAATTCTATATAAATACGGTGATTAAATACAATTCTGTAGCTCCTGGTCAGCTATAATTCAGACTGCGATGTGACTATTTTGGATGCACACATTGTGATATCGATGCTGAAATGATAAATTGTGGAGCCCTAACCAAATGTATTATTCTCTTGACAGAATAAATTTATAAATAACCAAATGCATTTTAATGTAAGTGATTGTTTTGTTTTTCCTTTATCAGTATTTGTGTTTCTATTACAGACGTCGCTAAGCTGAGTTGTGAAAGCGATGCAGGCCCAGGATCTGATCCGGCACCTGCGGATGCCTGAGCTGGATGATTTGAGGCAGTATGTGCGCAGTTTACCCACCAACACCCTCATGGGCATGGGTGCATTCGCTGCCATCACCACATACTGGCTGGCTACCCGTCCCAAAGCTCTAAAACCACCCTGTGACCTCACTATGCAGTCCGTGGAGGTGCCGGTAAGTGAGTAAATGTTTTCTATTGTAAAAAACATTTTAAATAGCAATGGGGAGATGAAATGTATTGATGTCAGGTTATACTTTAAATAATAAATAAAAACCAAAAAAAAGTTTAGTGAGAGAGTTCTTCTATTTTGGCTGAGGAACATTTTAAAAATCTGATCACTTGTTTCAACCTTTTGTGCTGTTGAAAAGTTCCATGGATGTAAAATTTCTTTCCTGAACCATCAAGTCTAAATAAGCCTTTTTATTTTATTGAAAATAAAGATTTCTTTTCCCCCATGCGGAATCACAAAGCACAGATTATATTTAGAAGATACCACACTAATACTTGCAATAATATGGTAATTGTTTCTTTTTAAGACTTTTGATTTTGCGATTATGCTATTATGAAAGCTGATATACAGTTGTTTTTGAAGGTAACTTACCAGCTTGAACAAAGATACTAAAAATTTCTTACTTCAAAAATTGGATTGTTTAAAAAAAGGTTTAAGACAGCCATCGACAAATTTTCCTTGGGCAATACAATATATCGTGTCTATGTTGTTTATTATCAAATGATAAATGCTAGTTTGTTTAATGTTAAATTGAGTCAGCTTGTTAAGTATATAATATATTGTGGATTTTCGGTGGATATCGGTGGTCATGAAGGTTTTTTACAGTGAAAAGAGAGCACTTTAATGTTTTATTTTGGGAAATCTAGAATAAAGGAATCTCAATGTTTGCTTGTGGTTTCCTTGTTTTCTGAACATAAGATTTTAAAATGAAATCATTCTTTGATGCGTTGTTTTATTCTTTTTTTTCTTAACCAGACTCTGACAAAATGATATCAAGATTTGTTTTGATTGGCATACAAAGATGAATTACCATGTTTGTAAACATTCTGGATCTGCGCGTAGCAAGATTGCAGAAAAAACTGGGAGCGCTAGCATTTACAGTGAGGGAATGACATGCGATGTGGTACAGAGTTTGTTTTTGTCTAAAAAAAGTTAAATTGATTACATATTATATATATTATTTACATAATGCTTTCAGCGTATTGTCACCCAGTGATAAGCACAGAATCTGCAAAACTAACATTAAAGTGAGCAGCGTTCGTCGGACAGGTCCATCTGCGATAGCACCTTCCCAATGGATATCGGATAAGACAAAATGGCCAAGCATCCAGCCCAAAATATACATCTTTCATGAAACTCCAAGTGATTTTACAAGAGAGAAGTTAAAGAACTACAAGTCTTTGGATGCCACCAATTTTTTTCTGTGTGGTGATGTGCAAGAAATAATGTTCCATGATTACCAGATTCAAAATATGTAGTGCTAAAAAGGTTCTGCCTAGCTAAAGACAAGGAAAAAAGACGGAGCTATACAAAGCCTGGGTAATCCTCAACAGGCAAAACTCCATTCTGACAACAAACTGCACCTGTATTGCTGGGTATAGGAGCTTACACTTTCACATTATATTCTTAGCATTCAGTTTTATTAACCATATGTAACTGTTTTTGCTGAAATCATTGCTGCAATCAAAAATGAGTAATGTGTATGATTCAGCATAGCGTGAACTTACCTGATATGAAATGAGAACTGCAAAGTTGAGTATTTTTAATTAGGTCCTTACTTTATTCAGCTCCCTTTTAGCCAAAGACATCTGTGGTTGACATTAAATCAGTGTTGTGTACAGTAAAAGTTTTCTATGTTTGGACTTTTGAATTTGGCATCCAACTGCACAGCACAACATGTTTTCTATTGCAGCCGGTCTCTTTTTGCAACCGGGAACCCGTCTGACGTCATGTGTAACATAGGCTGGTAATTCACCTATTGGTTCCATATAACTTCCATATATAATTGGGTTATCAATAATTAGTTAGTGGTATCGGTCTAAAGTTTCATATTGGTGCATCCTGAAGTTCTGTATTAGAAATAATCAGTTGTCACCTTCTGTGGCGATTCACAGAATTCATAATATACCAAAATAGTAATGTTTGGTTTTTAACAGTTGCTTAGTATTGCTTAAAGAACCTCACTAAACAGAAGCAAATATTTTGAAAAAAATTTATATTTTAAAGACTTTGGGAATCCTTTTTTACCAAACCTAATCTAAAACTTCTTTCATTTTCCAAAACCTTTTCATTTAATGTTCCTCGCTGGAACATGGACTGCTGATTCACGACAACTAAAAACTCATCTCTTTAATGATCAACTTAGCACAGTACAAAAACCCACTTCATTCTCTGAGCACTAACAATTCCTTTGTATAATTAGCTCTTGTTGTTAAGTCGCTACATGCCTTCTCAATTGTAAGACACTTTGGACAAAAGTGTCTGCTAAATGACAAGATGTAAATGTTAACCGATGAAAGAGTCTGATGCAACTTCAGTCTTTTTGTGATTTTATGAATATTTTCAAACTTCCTCTAGAAAGCGGTTGAGCAATACAGACTGTGGCTTTCTTTAGGTTCCTCTCAACATGTAAAGTGGTCGCCAGCTGCACGTCATAGAACTCTGCATGTTCTGTATGAACTTCTAACTGTTTTCTGTTGCCCATCTGTGTCCTGCAACATACCGCATGTTTGAAGTCTTGGTGCACAAAAAGTGGTTTTCTGTAGTCACCATGTCTTCCTGTGTGTAGAAGAACACTTTTAAGCATATACAGTGCCATTCAGAAACTTGATTCAGAAGCAATGCATACAATATTTTAATAGCGATAATAAAGACTTTTCATTTTAAATAAATGCAGTTTTCTTGAGCTTCCTTTTTTAGACAGAATAAAGAAAAACATTTATCATGGAAAAAAAACATTCTTCAATATTGATAATGAGAGCACCAAATCAACATATGGATTTTTGAAGAAAAATGTGCCACTTAAGACCAAGGCCCAATCCCAATTCTATTTTTGTACCCCTACCCCTTAAGGGGAAGGGCTTCAAAATGTACCCCTAAGAATGGGACAGCACTACAACACCTGCAGACGTCATCATATGTCATCACGATCACTTACTTCCTTAAAGATTGATGATGGCGACTGCTGAAGTTATTCCAGTGCTTTATGCTTTATTTTTTTGGTATTTTTGTTTTTTTTGGTATTTTTTTATATTTATCTCCAGGGAATCACTAAAGGCAACAGTATCATGTTAACATAATGATATAATGTGGAAATAAGATCATAACTGTACTGTGCATTTACACCATGGCCATATTGATCTAAAACATTCATTTTAAACACACGAAAACAACATTAGTATTATACCAGACACTGTAAAAAAGTCATTCCCAGCCACTAGATTTTTCTGACAAGCGATTCGAGTCTCAGATGTGAAAGTATGTTGTGGAACTGCTATATAGGAGTTATTATTAGGGATTATAGATAAAAAAAATTTAGCATTTTTTATTTTAGTGTTGTTTTTAAACATGAAGGTAAAACATGAACGTGCAAAACGAGGTGTAGGGGTAAGGGAAGGGCTAAGGGGTAGAATTGTAATCGGTCAATGGCTTAATATATATTTTTGCAATAACAGCAATACAATATATTTAAAATACAATTATTAAAATACAATTTTATTAATATCACTATAAAGAAAATCCTAATTATTACAGGAACTGTTTTTATTTTTACAATAGTTTTCTGTTATTTTATATTATATTCAGTACTCTGTTAAGTAATCAGTATAATCTGTAAATTAACAATTTTTTAAGAATACCTCAGTAATTTTTTTACATTTTATTTGCAGTAAAACTTTTATTAATTAATTAATTAATTTATTTATTTATTTTACAAAAATCTACTGTATTGTTTTAGCAATACTTTTCTGGTTATCTTTTAAACTTTGAACATTTTCCCTTCAATTTTTATTTTATTTTTTTTTTTGTGTGTATTTCTACATTTAAACTCTGTAATTCTACAGACATGTCCTTGTGTCTTTGCCTAATGGGTCTCCAGACTGGAATCTAATAATATGTCACAAAATTATAATTATGATCGTGAGGCATTGGTAAGTATAAAAGGCTTAAAAATTTTAAAAACTTTAGAGACTCCAAACAAGCGGCACATTGGCGCAGTAGGTAGCGCTGTCGCCTCACAGCAAGAAGGTCACTAGTTCAAGCCTAGGCTGGATCAGTTTGCATGTTTTCCCCGTGTTCACATGGGTTTCCTCCCAGTGCTCCAGTTTTCTCCCACAAGTCCAAAGACTTGCTGTATGGGTAATTGGGTAAGCTAAATTTCCGTAGTGTATGTGAATGAGAGTGTTTGGATGTTTCCCAATGATGGCTTGCAGCTGGAGGGCCATCCGCTGCATAAAATACATGCTGGATAAGTAAGCGGTTCATTCTGCTGTGATGACCCCAGAGTAATAAAGGGACTAAGCCGAAAAGAAAATGAATGAATGAATGAATGAGACTCCAAATGTTTTAAATGGCTCTGTGTTGAAAAACACTGAAGAGCCCATCTACAGTCCAAAAACAGACTGGTCTTTCCATCACATTCCTCCTTTCCCTACCTGTATATACTTGTATGTGTACACAGACTCTAACTTTACTTTAGTTACTGTAAAATGACAGCCTCTTTCACCAAGATGAGTTTAATTATAGAAGTATGTCCTTGATCTCTGTCTGTCTTTGGCAGAAAGAGGTTCTTGTATTCTCACCATTTCTTGTATGTTTGCTATGGCAACAAGCTGAAATGTGTTGGCAACAGTTATAAAGCCATTCAGATTCAATGCGCGACGACCATCTGTAAATTCCTGTAGCGTGAAGTCCTTTTCCCTTTCGTGTGGGCTGGTCTTTTAAATTAAACACTATTGTACTGTAAAGTTAAAGTGACCTTTCATTTGTGAATTTCTTTTCTAGAGTCTCTTTTCACTTTCACTGGCTGATTTATTAAGCACACCTTGCTAGTACTGGATTGCTTTCAGAATTGCCTTAATGGATCAGCTCACCCAAAAGAATTAAAATTCTGTTAAGAATTAAACGCCTTCATTCCAATCCCTTCAGACCTTTGATCATATTTGGAACACAAAGTATTTTAGAAGAAACCTCAGGGCTTGCTCATTCTCCACAGACAAAAATGGTTTCTAGATGTCCACAAAATGGAAACCAAAAACGCACATCATTATTTTGCCAAGTATGATGCGATCCTGGATTAATATCTATGTTGATCCTGGAACATCATTTTTATTTGAAAATGTAACCCGTACCTTTTCCCTACCCCTAAACCAACCATAACTGTAAATTATTCCCAAAATAAGGGGATTAATAGTTGGATAACAATCACATAGAAGTGCATGAACCTAACCGTAAGCCAACATAAACAATAAACACATCTCTTAAATCTAATTGGCTGATTGGAATGTTGTTCCATGATCAACTGTTAATCCAGTTTAATCAGGTTGGCAACCAAAAGCATTTTCAAAACATTGCAAGTAACTTTTGCTGCTTGTTTAAATTACTTATTTAAAATTAGTTGAAACGGTACAATTCTATAGCTTTTTTGGGGACAACTTAATTTTTTTATGTTCAATCTTCCTAAATTTGTAAAAACGATTAAGTTAACTTAATCAATTTGTGTTGGCACTACAAGAAGGAACTGTGTGGAGCCCAGCATATCGTTTTGGCAATACAATTCCATGTTATGCTGCTGACTCTGATGGCAATGTTTTACTGCCTGTTGTAAAAATGCACACTGACCTAAGGCAAGAGAGAATATGTAGGCAAACAAATACATATTTACATTTTTTCCAGCAGCAGTAGCACAAAAGTGTTCTAGAAGCTTCATATGGTTACAGTTGAACCACTGAAGTCACATAGAATGTTTTGATTCATTTCCTGCTTGATTTAGCCATCATAAGATGAGTTCACTGTGGTCATAAAGTGATGGAGATGGTCTGTAGTGTAAGAATGGGTTTTAACCACAGCGGTGCGAACCGTAGTTTTGCCAAATGACTAAAAAGTTATCAGTACTGATGATGAACTATAAAAAACTGTACATTTCTAGTCAAACCATTCTTCTGCAATCTTATACCAAACACGGAAATAAGGGCTGTATTAATAGCTTAAAATGTGAGAGAGCATTGCTATTGTGTGATTGTATTCTATTGCAGTATGGAGCTGGGCGGAGTGGCGCAGTGGGTAGCACGTTAGCAAGAAGGTCGCTGGGTCGCTGGTTCGAATATCGGTTCAGTTGGCGTTTCTGTGTGGAGTTTGCATGTTCACCCTGCCTTTGCATGGGTTTTCTCCGGGTGCTCCGGTTTCCCCCACAGTCCAAAGACATGAGGTGCAGGTGAATTGGGTAGGCTAAATTGTCCGTAGTGTATGAGTGTGTGTGTGGATGTTTCCCAGAGATGGGTTGCGGCTGAAGGGCATCTGCTGTGTAAAAACTTGCTGGATAAGTTGGCGGTTTATTCCGCTGTGGCGACCCCGGATTAATAAAGGGACTAAGCCGACAAGAAAATGAATTAATGATAAATGACAATAATTCTCTATGGTTACAACTGAATTACTGAATCAAAATAACTGTATAAAATAATAAAATATGAAATGATAAAACATGATATAAATTTTACCCAGTTTAAATTTAAATACAGTTACCAGAGGTACAAGGAGAGACAGGGGGAGGGAGAGACAAAGAGAGTCAGAGAAGATAGCCTCCAGAGCAGGAGAGAAGCAGACCAGCAGAGCACAGAGACAGAAAAGAGGCAGAGCCAATGTTTACCAGCTATTTTGTCTCTTTCTTGACCATGTGACCAAAGCCTAAACACTGAGACATTCAAACTGACCAATCAACATGTGACCACATCGTAAAACCCCCAAAGTCCACACACCAGGCCCTGATCTTATCAGTATCTGCCTTTGGAATTTGTGTGAGTCTCCTTTAGTAAAAAAAAAACATCTGTCATCTTCAGACTTCCTGTCTAGGTTGTTGCAGGTATAAGATTGGTCAGTTTTTGTTGTCCTTCACCCTGTGTGAGAGGCTTAAGTCCTCAAAGCAGCAATACTCAGAAAGGCTGATCCATTTCAGCAATGTTCAGTTAGTATGAATCAAACGTGTGGCAAGAAAATCTCCGCTACACCATCAGCACCCAAAACCATTTATACAGCAGGATGGATTCATCCCAGCAGGAACACAACATCATTAGACAATAATATTTCAAGAGTTCACACTTAGACATTGCTTGATATTAATAGCAGGTTTGACATGCTGTCCTGGGAGAGAACCTTGAGCTTGGACATAATTAAGCTCAAGGCTTCTGCCTGGTCGATGAGCATGTAAGGTAGTATAAAAACAGGTAGTTCTTTAGAGCTCGCTGTGGTAAAAGAGGAAAAGGGTGAGATGAAGTGGATGGGGGATTCTTCAAAAAAACAATGATAAGGGTGTAGTTTTAGACTGGCTATTTATAGTGAGTTTGGCTTAATCCAATTGGCTTACTAATGATTACGGATGGGAGACCAGCCACAATCAATCATATCATGTGCTCCTCTTGAAATTAGTTTGTGAAACTTCACTTGGTTAGATTTAGGTTGTGATGTCAGGTTACCAAAATTCAATGTCTAGCCAGTGTTAATGCTATTTTGGCGTCCAATAATGATGTTGATATTTAGTTGAGTTTAGGTTGTGTTGGAAATGGATTAAAATTCAACTTGGAGCCAAAATCCTAAACCAGCGTTATATTGACGTCAAATACTGACATTTAAGTTCGGCAACTAAAATGTAACGTCTGATAGACGTCACAGGTAATACTGTGATACTACTATGTATACTCAATACTCAATACAATACTACTCAATACTGTGATAACGACCACACAACGGCAAGCTGTAACATCATTAGATGTTGATATTTGGTTGATTTTTTTGGTTGGATGTTGGACATTGACGCCGACCTGATGTTGGGTTCTGACATCAACATGATTTTCTTTTCCAAACTAAATGCAAACTAAATCCAAACTAAATGCAACATCGTACCCAGGATGTTGGTGTACAACGTCAATCTGACATCATGTTGATGTCCTGTGCCTGCTGGGATCATTTCATGATGTTTACACCAAATTGTGGCCCTACCAGACAAATGTTGCAGCAAAATTAGACTCATCAGACCAGGCGACCTTTGTCAAATTTCTGTTGTACATTTTTGTGATCCCGTGCCTCAGTTTACTGTTTTCAGCTGACTGTATAGTGACACCAGTGTTTTCTTCTTCTGCCGTAGCTAATCTGCTTCATAACCATGACATGTTTTGACTTCAGAGATGCTATTTTGTAAACTTTGGTTCTAAAGAGTTGATTTGAGCTCAATCAGCTGCTGTTTATTTTTATTTTTAAAGGGATAGTTCACCCAAAAAGGAAAATTCTGTCATCAATTACTCACCTTTAACTTGTTCCGAACAAGTTTTAGTTGTTGTGATTTTTAATTTGTTGATTACACACACACACACACACACACACACACACACACACACACACACACACACACACACACTATATATATATATATATATAATTATTATTATTATTTTATTTATTTATTTATTTACTTTTGAAGAATGTTGGAAACCCTTAACTATTGATATCCACTAGACCGAAAAACAAATTCTATGGGAGTCAATAGTTACAGGTTTCCAACATTCTTTAAAATATCTTCTTTTGTGTTTGACAGAAGAATTCGAAACTGTCAAGGATTGAACGCAGTACACAAAGACCATTTATTTTGCATTTTTCCCTTTAAATAATCATTCTTCTTCATTCTGATTGTTGTTTTGAACTTCATACAGAACAGCAGATCACATTTACTATGTCAACATGAACATCGTTGCTGCTATGTGATTGGCTCTCTATAATTTTGCAATGACAAGTATTCAAATGGGGCGAGGCAGTGGCGCAGTAGGTAGTGCTGTCGCCTCACAGCAAGAAAGTCACTGGGTTGCTGGTTCTAACCTTGGCTCAGTTGGCGTTTCTGTGTGGAGTTTGCATGTTCTCCCTGCCTTCATGTGGGTTTCCTCCAGGTGCTCCGGTTTCCCCCACCGTCCAAAGACATGTGGTACAGGTGAATTGGGTAGGCTAAATTGTCCGTAGTGTTTGAGTGTGTGTGAATGTGTGTGTGAATGTTTCCCAGAAATGGGTTGCAGCTGGAAGGGCATCCGCTGCGTAGAAACTTGCTGGATAAGTTGGCGGTTCATTCCGCTGTGGCGACCCCGGATTAATAAAGGGATTAAGCCGACAAGAAAATGAATGAATGAAGTATTCAAATGAGTATAGGTAAAAACATGACCTTGGAGTGTGTTTATTCCTGCTTTAAGCATTAAATGATTTGATCATTTATGTCTTCAAATCTAAATGGTGTTAAAAGATTGTACAGGTGAAGTTTCTCTTCATGGCCTTGTAGATTATCAACAGGCCTGGATTTGAGGAGCTGGTATTTGCTTGTTTGCTAAAGTTTATCATAGACTGTTGGTTGTGTTTTTCAGGGTAAGGAATATGCACGTCGCTCTATCCTAATGGACAATGACACACACATGACGTACTACTATAAAGACGCTCTGACACTGTATGAGTTTTTCTTACGAGGACTACGAGTGTCAAGTGAGTTATCCGGCCATTTAAAGCAGACATTGTGACAAAGGAATAGTTTAAAATAAGCTATTAAAATGGTTAAAATCATGATCTACATTTTTGTTTTACTCACACAGACAATGGTCCTTGTTTGGGGTCGCGAAAGGCAGGCCAGCCATATAAATGGCTGTCGTATAAGGAGGTAAGATTTGTGAAATAATTATTGACCTAATTGCAGAACGCATTTAGCTTTTTATTTTTCTCTCTATATTTTTTATTCCCTTAATATTTAGATATTATCAGATATGTATGTGCATTGTAATTATTAATCAGTTGTTATTACTTTATTTTGATGCTCTCTTTAACACATTTTGTTGATCGTTGGTTACATTGCAACTACGTTCCAACTAATTCTCAGTAGAGTATTAGTAGGCTGTAAGGTTTGGGTTAGTGTAAGTTGACATATTTGAAAGGTTTGTTATTATCGGTTGAATGTCTGTTGATGGTGTGGTATCAGCAGATATTGAGCAGACAGTCTTATAATCTAATTAGTTGGCATATAGTAGTTGCAATGCGACCTAAAGTCAATAAAATGTTCAAAAAGAACCAACAAATAAATGACAGCAATTAGTTTAGTATTTTTGTGTGTAGGTTGCAGACAGGGCAGAGTTTGCAGGTTCAGCTTTACTCCACAGAGGTCACAGTCAATCAGGAGACAAATACATTGGCATCTTCGCACAGAACAGACCGGAGGTATTAACACCCAGCAAGTAAAAACACGCACAAAGGCTTGGCATTTATAATAAATATTGTTTGTAGTGAATACTTTCTCTTTCTTTTATACCTCTGTTTGTCATCCTAGTGGACGATTTCAGAGTTGGCATGTTACACATATTCACTGGTGGCAGTGCCACTGTATGACACACTGGGTACAGAAGCCATCAGCTACGTCATTGACAAAGGTGATTCTTTAGGATTCTGTGCAGTAGTGTTTTTAATCATAAAACATATATGATATGACACATATAATGATAAAAATATCCTCTTTTATTGTTATTTACAGAGCAATGTTTTGTGTGTGATTCTGGAGTAACTATTTTTTTTTTTTTTCACTGGAAAAGTAACTAAAACCTGTGGCTTAACTGACCCCATCATTTATTCACTCTCAAGCCATCTTTGGAGCATATGACTGTCTTCTTTCAGATGAGCACAATCTGAGTAGTTTTCATTTTATTTTTGGCTCTTATGTACTGTATAATGATGTTGCGTAGTGGGCTCTTTTTTGCTTCTAAAAGCACATACATCTGTTGTAAAGCTAACTCATTCATTATACCAGTGGTGGCATGGCATGGCATGGTTGTTGGTGCCAGACAGGCTGGTCTGAGTATTTCGGAAACTGCTGATCTCTGAGGAATATTTCCAGTATCTTGTTGAATAGATGCCACAAAGGATTAATGCAGTTCTCAAGTCAAATGTGATCTGTGTTTACCAGCAATCTGCACAGGCTGGATTGCTGCTATTCGTGACAACGGTGTTACACCAGAAGTCAGTCAAGAAGTGCACATTCGGTAGTTGCCGGTATTCAGTGATTTGAGTTTATAATTAAAAAATGACACATCAGTCAGCTTAAGATGTCCGTTATCCCCCTGGTGGTGTATGGGTTAATTTTACAACACATTATTGCACTTTTGTAAACTTAAAATGCAAATGGAAAAGCCAGGATGAAATTTAAAACTACTTTAACTGTGCTCATCTGAAAGACAAAAGTCATACACACCGTGGATGGCTTAAGGGTTAAGTACATTACAGTTAAATTGTCATTTTTGGATTAGCTAACTCATTAAATAATTAAATAATGGCTTAAAGCTTGTATCACATGACTGCACAAAAACAGTAAAACTTGTGAGAAATGTGTTTTGAGTAACAGAGCTTTTGTCGTAGCTTCCATCACCACCATCATCTGTGACATCGCGGATAAAGCTCGTCTGATCCTGGACTGTGTGTCTGGCCGGAAGCACAGCGTCACGACTATAGTGATCATGGAGAGCTTTGACAGTGAGCTGACAGCACAAGCACAAAACTGTGGCATCGACATTATCAGCCTCAAGGAGCTGGAGGTTTCTCTCCCACACGCACACACACACACCCTTCTTTTGTAAATAGTGATCCCATTAAACGTGTATTTACACTGCACTAAATAAAGTCTTTTTTTTTCAGGCTATTGGCAAAGCAAACCACAAGACACCCATTGTAAGTTAAACTGAGCACTGTATTGATTTACAGACATGCAACATTGTGTTCTGTATACTTGGTGCAATGTGGCCCTAGGCGCAGGGCAAGTGCTTTTGGCTAGTTTCGACCTGTTGCAGTTATCATTTTCATGTTTTATGCCACCCTTTGATGCTTACGATAACATTGATGTGATCAGTAAACTGATTTTTAACAGACTTAATCGTTTATTTTATTTTCAATTGTGTAATGTTTGTTATGCATTTTATTATTTGAAGCTAGTTTCCTCCTCATATTTGTAAGCGTTGTTTGGGACGTTTCCCTTATTTTTATATACCAATGTTGACAGGTATGGTTTAATCACTTGCTTTTCTGAAACACAAAGACCTACTCTATCGCACAGTAGGCAGATCTAATTTCTTATTTAAGTATTTAAATCCAATTTATATATTTAAAATACAAGTTAATACTTTGCATTTAAGTACAGCAGTTTTTTTTACTTTTTAAAAACTGTGCAAATTTTAATTAACCTTTAAAAGCTCATTTTAATTTAAATGTTGACGTTTTATTTTTTCACCTGTAAGCACTGTGCAGTGTTAATGTTTATAATGTTTAAAGTGGCAGACAATAATAAATATTCATAATAAGAATTAATCTGCCAGATTTTTGAACTGTGCAGAGCCGTAGCTGCTTTATTAGGCCTACTATGCTACTGTACTTCAATACCGGTCATTATAGTGGTACTTGGAGAGACTTTTTTTTTTTTGAGGTGGTACTTGGTGAAAAAAGAACCACTGCTTCAGACCATTTGCTTAAATAGTTAAATTAGAGTCCTATATTTGAATAACATATGGTTTTATTTAGTCACTGTATAATTTCTTTTTTTTTAACATCACAGTTATTTAATTGATGCTTTTTTTAGCCTCCTAAACCTGAAGACCTGGCACTGATTTGCTTCACGAGTGGAACTACAGGTATTAGATTATATATTTAATGTGTTGTAGCATTGATTTATCTATTCTGAGAATAATTTTGTAGTGATATGCATTTTGATGAAAGAAAACTACGTACAAACATGGCTTCAGCACTTTTAGCACACAGCTTCGTGCATTCCTCTTTCTGTCAGATTTTGCCATTGGTTTGCTGACATGTTTTGGCATCTTTAAGGACTCCCATCTGGAGAATAAATGTATCTGATGTCTTATCCCGATAGGAAATCCAAAGGGAGCGATGCTCACACATGGAAATGTTGTTTCCAATTGTTCTGCTTTCATTAAAATTACAGAGGTAAGCCAAGAGATTTCTTCGCTTCTGTGTCCTTTATAATTTATTGTAGCCTTATCTTTCTTGGCAAAAAAAATACAAAGAATCACAGCAAATGAGATTCAGATGACAAGTCAGATGTGTATGGATTGGAAGCTCTTTCTGAAACTGAATTAAAAAGTATAACAGATCATTTCTTCATGAGTGGTGATACAGAATCTAGTTATCTGGACAATTGTGAGAAATAAAAGTTGGAATTACAATGAAATAGTAATTCTGTCTTTTCTCCTTGCAGTTCTAAATTTGTTCCTCAGAATTAGGAAATATACATTCACCGGCCACTTTATTAGGTACACCTAACTTGTACTGGGTTGGACCCACATTTGCCTTCAGAACTGCCTAGATTTAACAAGGGACTAGAAATATTGCTAAGAAGTTTTGGTCCATATTGACATTATAGCATCATGATAGTTGCTGCAGATTTGTCGTCTGCTCATCCAAGATGCGAATCTCCCATTTCACCTCATCCCAAAGGTGCTCTATTGGATTGAGACCTGGTGACTGTGGAGGCCATTTGAGTAAAGTAAACTCATTGTCATGTTTAAGAAACCTGATGATTCCTGATTAATGACATGGCACTTTATCCTGTTGTGGTAATAAAGGGTAAGACATGGTCAGCAACAATACTCAGTTAGGCTGTGGCATTGGCACGATGCTCAATTGGTACTACATTACACCACTACCACCAGCCTGAACTGTTGATACAAGGCAGGATGGGTCCATGCTTTCATGTTGTTGATGCCAAATTCTGACCCGATCGTCCGAATGTCGCAGAAGAAATCGATACTCATCAGACCAAGCAATGTTTTTCAAATTGTCTATTGTCCAATTTTGGCGAGCCTGTGTGAATTGTAGCCTCAGTTTCCTGTTCTCAGCTGACAGGAGTTACACCTGGTGTGGTTTTCTGCTGCTGTAGCCCATCTGCCTCAAGGTTGGATGTGTTGTGCGTTCAGAGATGCTCTTCTGCATAGCTTGGTTGTATTGAGCCATTATTTGAATTACTGTTGCCTTTCTTTCAACTCAAACCAGTCTGGCCATTCTCCTCTGACCTCTGGCATCATCAAGGCATTTCCACCAGAACTGATGCTCACTGGGTATTTTCTCTGTTTTGGAACATTCTGTTTCTAAAGTACTCAGACACCAACCACCATGCCATGTTCAAAGTCACTTAAATCACCTTTCCCATTCTAATGCTCTGTTTGAACTGAACTGCAGCAGATCATCTTGACCATGTCTACATGTCTAAATGCATTGAGCTGCTGCCATGTGATTGGCTAATTAGAAATCTGTGTTAACGAGCAGTTGGACAGGTGTACCTAATAAAGTGGCCGATGAGTGTAGTTCTGAAATCCAATTCTGATGGAAAAAGCAGACAATTCTTTTTTTACAATCTTAAGTTAAGTAACTTACTGACCAGATCAATTCTTCTTTCTTTCTGTTTGTTATATTAGGCTCTTGTGCTTCATTTCCTCATCTAATTGTCTGTCTCTTGTTCTTCCTCTCTCATGTCCTGTGTGTGGATGTGTGTATATGTTTGTGTGGATGTGTGTATATGTTTGTGTGTGTGTGTGTGTGTGTGTGTGTGTGTGTGTGTGTGTGTGTGTGTGTGTGTGTGTGTGTGTGGTCAGGAGTCCCTGAAACTTTGTCCTCAAGATGTTCTCATCTCCTTCTTACCACTAGCGCATATGTTTGAAAGAGTAGTCGAGGTACGCTGTATTTCACACTGCCCATGTGTTTGTGTGTGTGTGTGTGTGTGTTTTACAGGTTCATTGCATGCTTAACCAGACAGATATTCACATTTCTTACCTACCACTAGCGCACATGTTTGAAAGAGTGGTCGAGGTATGTATTATGGATGCACACAGTCATTAAACCGTTATTTATTATTCAGTTATTATATATATACATATATATGTCTGTATGTGTGTGTGTGTGTGTGTGTGTGTGTGTGTGTGTGTGTGTGTGTGTGTGTGTGTGTGTGTGTGTGTGTGTGTGTGTGTGTGTGTGTGTGTGTGTGTGTATATATATATATATATATATATATATTTTTTTTTTTATAAACAAATGTCTTGTCGTCGATCCCAGTTGTAAGAGCAACAAATAATAACTTGATCTAGTTGATCATTTGGAAAAGTGTCAGAAGTTAGATTTTTTCTGATGAATCATCTGTTGAACTGCATCCCAATAATCACAAATACTGCAGAAGACATATTGGAACCCGCATGAAGCAAAGATTCTCATAGAAATCAGGCAAGTTTGGTGAAAGAAAAAAATTATGATTTGGGGTTACATTCAGTATGAGGGCATGCGAGAGATCTGCAGAGTAGGTGGCAATATGAACAGTCTGAGGTATCGAGGCATTTGTGCTGCCCATTACATTACAAACCACAGAAGAAGGCAACATCTTTAGCAGGATAGCGCTCCTCATACTTCAGCCTCCACAAGTTCCTGAGAGCAAAAAAGGTCAGTGTTCATGGATATTTTATTTTGGTAAAATAAATGCAATTTAGAGGCCTTTGCCTTTCATATAAGCCACTTCTGATACCAAATGATCAACTAAAAGTCAAGTTATCATTAGTGTCATTAAAACTTGGATAGGTGACAAGACTTTTGTCAGGTAGTGTATAAACTAAACACATTCTTTTATTTTAAATCCATTTGGAATGCAATTAGAGTCACTCAAACAAACGTTTTGAACCTTGCCCAAATAAGAAAGGCACATGAGTACAGAGCATTTTAGTTTTGGTAAACAAATTAATTAAATCGAAAACTTGTTTGTTTATATTGATGTTTATAATGTCTCTATACTTTTTTTTACTAATATTTTGATTATTTTTGTTCAGTGTAGTGGTAAATTTAAAAGATTTTTTGTATACTGTGGAAACTTAAAAAATGTAATATGTAATGAATTTTCTGAATTAATAAAAATGTGATCTATCAGATTTTTCTTTCTCAACAATTTACAAATAGATATTGAAAAACAAAAAAATGAGTACTTTTAAAATTAAAAAACGAACAGCTTGTTTTTCTTTTTTTATGGTGGAAACCAAAAATTTAAAATTGATTTAGCTTTCTTTTTTTTTAATAATAAAAAATAAAATAACCAGAAAACAAAAACTAAAAAAGGCTTGTTTTTTTATATTCCGAAACCAGATAGGCCAACTCATTTATGGTGGTGCAATGCTGACCTGCTAGGCTACTATATAGGCTATTGTTTTTTTTTTCCACTTAATAAGGTAATAAAAGGTATTTTCTTGGTGTAAATGGATTTTGCTGAGACATATTTTCTTTATTAAGACAACATATTTCTTGTAAAAGGGCCGGTTATAGGCTATATATTAATTTGTTAGCATGTCTTGGTTAAAGTGACTGTATGTATGAATTTACATGTATTCATCTATTTTATATTGGCTATGTGTGGACAATTTAAAATGAAATTATACATGTGTGTGTGCTTATATTTAACATTCTCACATGCTATTCTGAATTTCATTGCATAATTTTAGTTTATGTGTGTAGGGTGTGCTTCTGTGCCACGGGGCCAAGATTGGGTATTTTCAGGGTGACATCCGTCTCCTTATGGATGATTTGAAGAATCTTAAGCCCACTATATTTCCCGTAGTCCCAAGACTACTCAACCGCATGTTTGATAAGGTACGTCGGTTTAGTTAATCATACATAAGCTGTTTGCATTTCTGTTTGATAAACATTCATGTGTTTGTGTGTGTGTTATATGTGTTTGCGTTTAGATTTTTGGCCAGGCGAACACTCCTCTTAAAAGATGGCTGTTGGATTTTGCCACCAGCAGGAAAGAAGCGGAACTAAAAAGTGGAGTTGTGAGGAAGGACAGCATGTGGGATAAATTAATCTTCAGCAAAGTGCAGGTAACCAGACAAAACTGAAGATCACCTTGAGGGCATTCAAGGAAAACAGTGAGCATTAGACATGGGATGATAACAGTTTTCAAGGTATACTGCAGTTTGGAAAAATTTTTAAAACTGCCAAAATTTTCTGCTACACCATTCCTATGGTATGTTTAAGATTTTTTTTGTACATTTTTTTAGGACAACAGTATCTCCAGCAGAAAAGATATCCAAAGATGCCGTCTTAAATTATGAAACATCTGAGTTTTGGAACCTAATGAAGAGAGCAGAAGTCTGTGATTCATTTGAATGATTTAGCCTGACATGTTTACTGCTCCAAAATATCATAAATGTTTCTCAAAATAAAATATATTGTGTTCAAAAAGCGTTTAGTTTTACCCAGACATTTAAAAAGAACAGATTTTAGAGCAGTGATCACAATACTGTGATACCGTGATAGTTTTATCCAAGGTTATCATACTGTCTGAATCTTATACCAGCCTATGTCTAGTGAGCATAATAGTGTTTAATGTTTTGAATGAAATCTCTCAGGGGTTGCATGTAGACTGTGAAAAGCAATGTACCAAGTACTGAGTCTTGTGGTACTCTGGTCGTAACTCCTGACTGGAATTCCTTGCAGAAAACATTTCTTTCCCAGAACGATTATAATTGTTTTTTCATGGATAAGGCGGATTTGAAATTGATCAGTAATGGTGTCAGTTTTGTTTTGCCTTTAAATGTTGGGGTTTTATTTTAGTCTTAAAGTGTCTGCAACCATTAACTTGCATTTTATGAAATTCTAAGGTCTGTTACTTAAGCTAAAAGTCATCTTTAATATTCTGTTGGAAAAAGTAGCTCTTCTCTTTTTTTAAAGGGTTAGTTCGCTTAAAAAATAAATGTACTCACTCATTACTCATCAAGTGGTTCTATACCTTTATGAGTTTCTTATGTTGAACACAAAAGATGATGTTTTGAAGAATGCTGGTTGCCTGCACCTATCCACTTCTATACTAGGAAAAATAGATACTTAGGAAGTCAATGGTTACTGGTTTTCAGAATTTTTAAAAATATATTCTGTTGCTTTCAGCTAAAAATGAAACACCACAAGGTTTTAAATGAGTAAATGATGACAGAACTTACATTTTTGGGTGTTCTATTCCTTTACATTTTTGTTTAAATTATCGTTTTACAGTTTTTCTCACTCACTTTGGTTCATTTCTCTGATCAGAATTAAAATTTGTCATTTTTTAAACAACGTGTACAAATAGCAAAGCACCATGGTGTTCCTGCAAACACCAGTCTCTTGCTCAAAATCCTTAGTTCATCTTTTAAAATTAAATATATTTGTCAATGACGTGTCAGTGCCGTCAGAATGACTAGGCCTTGGGTCATTGTGTGCAAATAAGACAGTCAAATTAATGTTTCAATTACAAAAGTGTACTCTACTCTACTGCTTTTTTGATGCGCACAAGTGTCACAATGATCTGATGATTGAACAGGTCTTGTAGTTTTGAGGATTTCAATTCTAATCTGAGAAATGAACCAAAGTGAGTGAGACGAGCAGATTTTCTTAAACTCCTGTGACTCCCCCTACAGGCCAGTCTTGGTGGGCGCGTGAGGCTGATGATCACAGGAGCTGCTCCAGTGTCTCCAACCGTCCTCACTTTTCTGCGAGCAGCACTGGGCTGCCAGGTACACACACACACACACACACACACACACACACACACACACACACACACACACACACACACACACACACACACACACACACACACACACACACACACACACACACACACACACACACACACACACACACCTCCTGCTACCAGTATTGTGATCAGACTTTCAAGTTACATCTTTTTTTCTATTGTTTGTTGTAGTTTTATGAAGGTTACGGGCAGACAGAGTGTACTGCAGGCTGCACAATGTCACTTCCTGGAGACTGGACAGCCGGTAAGACTCAATCTGCACACATTAACATGTTTAAAAAATAAACAGCTGGACAGTTGTGTCCTGTTTTAACAGACTGTGTGGTAACACACACTATTGTTTTGATGTGTGTCCTCAGGTCATGTGGGAGCGCCGCTGCCCTGTAACTTTGTTAAGCTGGTGGATGTAGCTGAAATGAATTACTTTGCTGCAAATGGAGAGGGAGAGGTAGGTCACCAGTGCAAAAGTAAAGCAGTTTGCGGGGTTACATTCAAAGTTTGGATCTAAAGACTACTTTTGTGCTTTTATTTCTAAGCTCTTTTAAGAGTAAATTAGACTGTTAGCAGACTTCCAGAATTTCATGCAAATCAGACATTGAAAATCAGGGAGTTTGATGTACTTTCCATTCATCAACAACGGTATTTTTTTCTATGCCCTGTTTTCTTTCTTTTTAATTGGTTTAACATGTTTAGCTTTTTCTGATGGTTCCGTTATTTACCATTTACCATTTTAAACCTTTCCAACGTTCATTCATTCTCCTTCAGCTTAGTCCCTTATTTATCAGGGGCTAACACAGCAGAATGAACTGCCAACTATTCTGGCACATGCTTTACACATCAAATTTTTTTCCAGTTGCAACCCAGTACTGGGAAACACCCATACACTATCACATTCACACTCACACACTACAGCAAATTTCATTTACCCAATTTACCTATAGCGCATGTCATTGGACTGTGGGGGAAACCAGAGCACCCGGAGGAAACCCACACAGAGATGGCATGTCTAGCAATTACCAGATGAGCACTTTCTTGATGTGAATGTTTTATATGAAATAAAATTATAATGCGGATGGCATGGAAGGAATTTAAAGTGTCTTTGCTGCAATTTAAATAAAATTGCTTCACATTTTGCACCATTTGCCAAAGTTTGCAGCACTTCTGCAGCAGTAAATAAAATCTGCCAAACTTTGCCTCATTTGCTTGATTTTGAATTAAATTCTATGAAAAGCAGAATCCCGTAATTCTCAGGGACACAGCAGCTGCCTTTTTTATTTTATTATCAATTATAGGTCATGGACATTCAGCTATTTAGTCGATAAAAGTCGTGGAATTGGCATATAGTTTCATATTTACAAATTAGTATCAGAATACAAAGACAACATCAAGCTAATGGTCATCAGTCAGTCATCATTGGGCTGTTGTTGAGTGTTGGTCACTTCAGTGTTTGCTGTGTTCTGACTTTTGGCTGATCAAACATGGTGAATCTGCATCAGTTGGCGCCAGTGAGAGAGTGAACGCCAAACTTGTTTAGAGACTTGGTCACAAGAGTAAAAGTAAAAGCAATGAAAGCAAGCAAATTATTAATAACATTACAGACTGAAAGCTATTCTAACGTTACACCATCTGAACTGAGCATTTCATTAAGCAGAGATTTTATTACAAGATGAAGCATCTGGAATAAATTAAGTGATCAATATTATTAGTTCTGAAATGGTCAGAGAGTGCTGCGTTGTTTAGTTTGTATTAATGCAGTTCTTGTTTCATTTTGACTTTTTGAATTATAAATATTCCACTGATATCTGCTGGTGTAGAGACTCATTTCCTCTTTTGCAGACACACAGTATTTCTGCTAGTTTGCTGTGGTGTTTTTTAGTTCTAGCATACATTTTAGTTTATTTCTGTCAGTTTGCAAGTGCATCAAAATAATAATGTAATCATAAAAACTATTTCATACAAATGAATCTCTTAGTTATGATGAAAATTAAATTGACATTTCACCCAAAAAATCGAATTCTTTCATCATTTAGCTATTCTCCATTTGTTTCTTTTGTTGAACACACGCTGAAGAATGGTGGGGAAAACACCCATTGATTCCATAGTATTTTTTGTTCCTTCTATGGATGTCAATGGCTGCTTTTTTTTCCTCAGAATATTTTATTTTGTGAAATAAATTCATAAAAGTGTAATACAACATTATTTAGAAATAAAAACAAATTGATGAACTATGCCTTTAATAGATGGAGTTTTAGTTGATGCACAAAAATACTTTGTCATGACTCTAGCAATTATTTAATTAATAAACAATTATTATTTTAATTATTTAACATTGTAAATTTGCAGTGGCACTCTGAGTTGCCTGACTCTGTGTGTGTGTGCTCTTCACAGGTGTGTGTGAAAGGACCAAATGTGTTTCAAGGTTACCTGAAAGACCCGGAGCAAACCTCAGGGGCTGTGGATAAAGCCGGCTGGCTGCACACCGGAGACATTGGCAAATGGCTTCCGGTAAATTCCACATCCACTTTCAGCACTTACTATCTGAATTTAGTCTGTCAAATGTTTTTTAATGTTTTCAGTGCATTAATTTAAAAGCTGCTTTTCCACTATCCTGCTGAGAAGAGTCAAGTGTGGTTCCAGTTCCAGTGAGCCTGTTATGGGTGGCATGATAAACTGTTCTCGGCTTGGTATTCTACTGGTAGAGTCTTGAACTGGTGACGCATGACATTGGCTGGCTACTAGTTTTTCCATTGCACAGGAAATGCAGTTTTTTGTTTTTTTGTTATTCAACAAAGTCAATATCAAGAAAAAATGAATCCCCGAAACTTAAACATCTGTTCATAATCCATCTTGCTGTTTAAATGACACTTGCATTAACTTTTACGACTGACACATTTGTATCGCGTTCCAGAGAGCTCCATGACCCGCATTTCAGTAGAAAATAAAACGTATCCATGCTGACTGGTTCAGATTGGCATTCATTTCAATGGTTACGCAAAGAGAACCGTTCTGCCTGAATGTGGGATATAGAAATGTAGAAATCTGATACATGGAAATACATGCAAATTAAATATATACAAGTTCACATTTGAATTTTACATATAAAATATATGTCATATATGCAGCATATACTGTATTTCAAATTATTTCAAACAATATAGCAATGGCCATATTTGAACATATATAAAATTAAAGCTTATATAATTAAAAATAGTTGGTATTCCAATGGTTGAAAAAAAAAAAGAAAAAAAAAAAAATATATATATATATATATATATGAAAGTGGCCATTTTTACAGTATGTAAATGCATGTGTCGTATGTAGTTTGCATGTATCAGATTTCTATAATAGATTTCTAATGTTTGCGTTTAAAGGGAACAAAACGCTCCACTTTATCATTAAGCATTTATATATTTGTTTGTTTCAGAATGGCACTCTGAAGATTATCGACAGGAAGAAACACATTTTTAAGCTGGCTCAGGGTGAATACATAGCTCCAGAGAAGATTGAGAACATCTACATCCGCAGTGACCCTGTGGCTCAGGTCTTTGTGCATGGAGACAGTTTGCAGGTGAGAGACACTCAACTGTCGTGTTTTATTTTTTACATTATTGCACATCCCTATGTAGGAAGAACGTCCAGTGTTCTCCAACGCTGAGGAGAAATGGTCATGCCCGACTGAGCCTGGTTTCTCTAGAGGTTTTCTTTTTCCTTCACTTTTGTCAATTGGTGAAGTTTTGTTCCTCGCCACTGGCTTGCTTGGTTTGGGACTTCCCATCGATGGATTTGCTCTTCAGTGTTTGAACTTTCAGCAGTGAAATTTAAACCACACTGAACTGAACCAAAACTGAACTTCAACTCTGAAAACTGGACTAACACCATCTCATTTACTAAAACCTCTATGTTAAGCTGCTTTGACACAATCTACATTGTAAAAGCGCTGTAGAAATAAAGATGAATTGACTTCAAAAGAAGTGTGAGAATAGAATATATGTGAGCATAAACCCATCCTGTTTCTCTCTTTTTAGGCATGTTTAGTGGGTGTTGTGGTTCCTGATCCAGACTTTTTGCCAGGATGGGCAAAGAATAGAGGCATTGAGGGATCCTTCAATGACTTGTGCAAAAGCAAGGTAAAACACGGAACACAGAAAAAAGACGTTTACAAGATCTGGATTCAGCATAGTAGAGTACAGATAATAGTGTTCAGAGGTTTACTACCATTTTCAGCTAAAACATTTAATTGAAGAAATGGCTCCATTGGGGCATTACAAGTGATGCAAATTACTGTATATAATAGAATGACATTTCTAAGTAACTATAAAGTAAATGAATTAAAATTAGTCACAATGATTGTAGTCATAAGCAGTCAATGAAAGAATGTGCTCAATATTTTGAACGCATCGAGGAAAAGGGGATTGTCTTAATGGACAGTGATTTATCTTAAGATAAATAGTAGAAAAGAAGCAAACACATTGCTTTAAACTTTCATTAATCTGTGTATACACCGGCATGAAGAGCTCTGAGGTCAGATAACATTATCCTAAAATATATATTTGATGTGTTTTGTCAAAGGTAAATGAATGTGTAGGGTATACACAGTGCATTGTTAATTGCAGAAGTTCTGAAAGAAATTAAGTGTCAGACAGGTGATGATAAGTATTGCAAAAGTAACGTAACGCATTACTTACTATAATAAGTAACCAAGTAACACAACTAGTTACTTTTTGGGAGTAACTCAATATTGTATTGAATGACTTTCAAAATTAACTTTCCTCAACACTGAATACCATATTAAAGAAAGATTAAGGATTTAAGATCCTGAGATATTAAAAGCGATGTTATGTTTGAGCGCTGTTTGCCATCCTTGAAGTACTGACACCTGATGTTGTTTCAACAGGAGGTGAAAAATGCCATCCTAGAGGATATGATTCAGCTTGGGAAAGAAGCTGGACTGAAGTCTTTTGAACAGGTGAGTGCAACAAAACTCATTTTCTAGGTTTCTGTTAATATCTTGATTTGTTTTTTTTATTATTATTGTAAAACTTAATCCAAATGTCATAATACAAACATACCAGAGTATAGGTTTTCAACCAGGTTCAAGGTTGTCCAAAAAAAACAGAATATTTAATATTCATTCATTCATTCATTCATTTTCTTTTCGGCTTAGTCACTTTATTAATCCGGGGTTGCCACAGCAGAATGAACTGACAACTTATCCCGCATGTTTTTACGCAGTGGATGCCCTTCCAGCCACAACCCAATCTCTGGGAAACATCCACACACACTCATACACTATGGACAATTTAGCCTACCCAAATCACCTGTACCACATGACTTTGGACTGTGGGGGAAACCGGAGCACCCGGAGGAAACCCACGCAAACGCAGGGAGAACATGCAAACTCCACACAGAAACGCCAACTGACCCAGCCAAGGCTCGAACCAGCGACCTTCTAGCTGTGAGGCGACAGCACTACCTACTGTGCCACTGCGTCACCCAAAATATTTAATATAGCTTATTTAATCATTTATATACTAAATGTAATTATTCATATGTTCAATACTATCTAGACATAAATGATAAGATTGTATTATTAAAACTAACCATTAAAATAATATTCACATATCTCAGTTTAACATCATATGAATTGAGAAATCTGGTCAACACTTCATTCATTCATTTTCTTTCCTATCACTGGGAAACCCATACACACTAATTCACACACATACTGTACACTACAGACAATTTTTAGCTTTCTTAATTCACCTATACCGCATGTCCTTGGACTTGTGGGGAAAACCGAAGCACCCGGAGGAAACCGGAGGAAAAATACGCAAATGCGAGAAGAACATGCAAACATGCAAACTCCACACAGACACGCCAAGTGACCCAGCCGAGACTCGAACCAGAGACCTTTTTGCTGTGAGACAACAGCACTACCTACTGCGCCATCTCGTCGCCCTGGTCAACACTTTTTTAGTGTTTATTTCATAATTACACTATACATAGCATACTAAGGGCGTCACGGTGGCGCAGTAAGTAAAACTATCACCTCAAAGCAAGAAGGTCACTGTTTCAAGCCTCGGCTGGGTCAGTTGGCATTTCTGTGTGAAGTTTGCATGTTCTCCACGTGTACACATGGGTTTCTTCCGGTTTCCCCCACAAGTCCAAGGACATGTGGTACAGGTGAATTGGGTAAGCTAAATTGTTCGTAGTGTATGTGTGTGAACGAGTGTGTATGGATGTTTCCCAGTGATGGACATTCGCTGTGTAACACATATGATGGATAATCTGATGGTTCATTCCACTGTGGCCACCCCAGATTAATAAAGGGACTAAGTGTGAAAAAAATTTGAATGAATGAATAATATTCTAAACTACACATTTATAATCATTTAATATTAATAAACACAATGTTAATACAATTAAGTCATATTTGGAGATTTAAACAGCTGATGATGGGCAGACAGTGATGAAATGGCCTCCACAGAGTCCAGAACTCAATATTATTGAGGTGGTATGAGAATCATTTGGGCAGAGAAAGAAAGCTCTGATAGCCTAAATTTAAGAATTAACCCTGAGAGGTGCTAGAAAAGGCCTGATATTATTCATTCATTCATTCATTCATTCATTCATTTTCTTTTCGGCTCAGTCTCTTTATTAATCTGGGGACGCCACAGCGGAATGAACCGCCAACCTAACCAGCATATGTTTTACACAGCGAATGCCCTTCCAGCTGCAACCCATCACTTGGAAACAACCATACACATTCATTCACACACATACATTACAGACAGTTTTTATTTAGCTTACCCAATTCACCCATATCACGTCTTTGGACTTTGGGGAAACGGGACCCACGCAAACATATAGGGGAACATGCAAACTCCACACAGAAATGTTAACTGTCAAAGCCAGGGCTCAAACCAGAAATGTTCTTGCTGTGAGGCGATTGTGCTACCCACTGCGCAAACACTGTTTGGTGCCAAGGGGGATCACACTAAATACTGCCTTGTGCTTGAAGTAATCTGGATCTGAATGTTTTTGTTCAAAGTTTGTGTACATAAGCTCTATTTGCTCATATGTTCTAATTACTAATAAATATATACATTATATATTTGTGAAAATCAGAGTTGATAAACTAGACAAGAGACAGAAAAGGTTGATGTTGTGCACCAGTGAGTGTTTAATCTGTTTACTGTAATGTGTGTGTGTGTGTGTGTGTGCAGGTGAGAGACATCGCTCTGCACCTGGAAATGTTCTCTGTTCAGAACGGCCTCCTCACACCAACACTGAAAGCTAAGAGAACCGAGCTGAAGAGCCGCTTCAGAGAGCAGATCGACCAGCTCTATGCCAAAATCAAAATGTGAGCAGCTGGACAGAGACCGAAAGACCCCCCTCCTCCGTCTACACTGACTGAACTACAACACCCCAGAATACACACTTTGACAAAGGAGCTGCTCCAGTTCTGTCATGCTGTTGGGAGTGAAGGACCACTAGTGGACTCTTTTTTTTTTTTTTAATTTTTGTTTTTTTTTCTACCACTTGGAGGAGCTGTAGTCATCCCTCAGCCCCATCAGCAAAGCACATGCCAAACATTTCACCAGCCCTGATCATCATCTGGGACGACAACTGAAGAAAACTGGAAGCTGAACCAACCCAATGCCTTAGGCCGGTCAATGCCTTGAGTCTAATAAGCCAGACGAGATCATATTAATTCACACGACACACTGAAACAGCTGGGGCCTCAGTTATAAAGTCTATGCTCAGATTTGATCTTAGTGTGTGTGCACGTGTGTGTGTGTGCGCTTAAATCCAGAGCTTGTTCATATTTATAAATATATATTAAAAAAAAATAGCGATTCGATTTCGATTAATCGCACAGGTTTGGGAATTCGCCTGCTCAGATCTTGACATGTTAAACATTTCCTGGTGTTCTTTTGCGATTAGCTAATCACAAAAGGGCTGCAATATGAAATATACATGTACTGTATTCTTTAATCTTCCACACCCAGAGCAAATGTGTGACTGTCATCTGGGTGTGACATTCTTACCTGCCAATTGAGTGAGCACACTTTCAATCTGCCCAATTAGAAATCAGAAAAGAAAGAGGAAAGCGCTGACAAGTGAGGTAATGGCGTCTGCTGCTTTAGAAGCATTAATAGATGGATTAATATCAAAGAAAAACAGTACATTGGTAATATGGGAACATTTTGTTTTCAGAGTCACAGCCACCCAACAAAAACAGGTCATTTTTAAGAGCTGTCACAGAATTGTTGCCAATGCTTACAGATTATCGAGCTGAAGCTTGACTACAAAATTAATTCATAATTCAAATCGCAATATCTGTCAGAAAAATCGCAATTAGATATTCTCCCCAATTCACACAGCCCTATCAAAGGAGCTGATAATTTTGCCCTTAAAATTGTGTTTAAAAAAATAAAAATGGCTTTTATTCTTGCCAAAATCAAACAAATAAGACTTTCGCCAGAAGAAAAAATATTATCGAACACTGTGAAAATGTTTTTGATGTTAAACATCATTTGGGAAATTAAAAAAAAAGAAAAAAAGAAAAAAAAATTCAAAGGCGGGCTAAAATTTTTGAATCTAACTGTATATGCACAAATATAATATTGTATAGCTTCCTATTAATAATGAGTTTAAAAGATTAATTTGTGAGGGGTGAACTTTAATATGCTGAGCACTGTATTTGTACAAAATATATGTCAGTATATTAATGGCACACTAAAGACACATTAGTAAAGTGTAAACCAAGGGTCACCGAACTCGGTCCTGGAGGTTTGGTGTCCTGCAGATTTTAGCTCCAACCCTAATCAAACACACCTGAACAAGCTAATCAAGGTCTTACTAGATATACTTGAAACACCCAGGCAGGTGTGTTGAGGCAAGCTGGAGCTAAACCTTGCAGGGACACCGGCCCTCCAGGACCGAGATTGGTGACCCCTGGTGTAAACATAAAGAATGTTTTTATGCGCACATTACTTTTCTCAGATTTGCACTTGCACACTTTTGAGAAATGATCTCAGATCTAATTTAGCAAGGATTCTCTTCATCGTTTTATAAATGAGGCCCCTGACATGCCAAAAACTGCTCATTTTTAAATCACTTACGGCTATTTTCGTCCAAACTAATTTAAATATATCCATTGTGGTTTCCACAACTTCTGTAAATGTATATTTCATTGTAAAAGTTACTGATTGTAACACTGCTTCTGTTATGGTTAACCATGTGTTTGGCATATTGGATGTCTATATATAATTTCCTCAAAATTTTCCATTGACTGTAGAATGACAGCACAAATTGGATTGGTCTTTATTTAATGGTTATTTATATTATAGATCAGTGGTTGATCGTCAGATTCCACTCACAGCACAACCAATTCTAAAAACAACTCAAATGTGCCTCTCCTGGAGATTTAAAGCTTGTGTATATATTATCTATTTATGTTTGTACATCTTTAACGTATTCTGGCTCATTCAAACTGTGCAAATGGTTACTTGTAGCATGCCGGTGCTGAAGACAGAAATAAATTGATGGCGTTGTCTTTTACCAGTGTTTGGTTTTTGTTTGTTTATGCTTTTATTTTGCTTATCAAGATGCAGATGACATTTCCTGTTTTGTTTTGGAAACACTGAAATTGTAGTAATGCTTTAGATATTAAACTGTTCTAAATATGTTTGTCAGTGTATACTTATATTTTCTTGGAATGAGTGAGAAGAGGAACATTAACAATCAAAGTATAACCTCAGTGTGAATGTATAGAACTGCCATTAAGAATCTTTCTATTACATGTTACCAAAAGTACATTCTTTTCATATATTGGGAAGGATTACATTTTAAATGAATGATTGAATATTGTTTCTTTAATTTCAGATGCTTCTGAGTTTTTTTTTCTTTTTACTTGCAAGTTTCTTGATAGACCTGAACATTTTCATTTTGAACACATATAATGTTCTTGAAAGTGAAGACACTAGCATGACTGGCTGTCATTCATTCATTATCAAGCACACACGTAACTGAAAACCCGAAACTCCATTTGAAACAGTTTAGCTTATTATTAAATGGTAATCTTTTTATGTTACTATAACTTTTTTAAACAAGAAATAAATTTATAAAAATATGACAAAATTATTCAGACATTAAATAAAATAAAATAAAAACAAAAACAAATAAAAGCATCTGCTAAATGAGTAAATGCAAAAAACAAAACAAAACAGAAACACTGGTTAACAATAAATATATAATATATTTAGCAAAATACTTTAACATAAAAAGCATGCAGTAAGAGGTTAACTATAGTAAATCTGTGGTAATCAATCTGCTAAAAAACATGGCTACCATATTTTTACTCTAATAAAACCTTATCCAGATAATACAAATGATATTAAAAAGATAACATCTGACAAGCTGCTTTAATGCACTGCAGTAACAAAGCATGTTATAATCTACTGTAGAATACTATTAGTTTAATGATAGAATCTATCAGATATTTTGTTCATCTACCACATGAAAAAGCCAATAAAAGCTACTGCTATTTACAAAAACTATTAAAAATGATCAATCTAAATTATCAAAGATGAATTTCCACAGTTTCCATCCAAAATCTGATTAGTAAAAAACATGAAACCCTTCAGTAACACCAAAGCTCACATGCATTCTCAATGATTTGAGCATGGTCCAGTCAGCCAGTGTACTGCAGAGCTGTTTTATTACATACAAAGGTGGTTTTACATAGAAAAAAACTAACATGTACTATAACCAAGATTGTACAATAAACACAAAAGGTATGTTGTTTTCTATGTACGCATGCATCAGGAAAACACACAATGTATCAGTGACCTCAGCAGTAATAAGTGTACATGATTTCTCACAGATGAATGACATTCATCATCATCTTAAGGGGACAAATTACAGAGCACTCCAGATCAAATACAAATGACCACAAACATTTGTTGACAGCCAATAGACTTCCACTTTAAGTCTAGAAATGTTAGTAGATTTTTTTTAACGTTGTTAGTAAAATACGATGATATAAACGGACCATTCACACAGAAATTACACGTTTGTTCACCCTTTACTGGTTCCAAATATTTAAGAGTTTCTTCTCTTTAAAACAAAAGAAGATATTCTGAAGAATGTTGGAAATGGGTAACTATTGACATCCATAGTAACAAAAACAAATACTATGAAGCCAATTGCTACCAGATTCTAACATTTTTCAAAATATCTTCTTTTGTTCCAGAGAAGAAAGTGTCAAACAGGTTTGGAAAGAATGTCCACAGCTGAAGTTGATATAAACGAATTGTTCACATAAAAATGACACATTATCTCACCCTTTAGTGGTTCCGGATATTTAGATTTTCTTCTGTTTAAAACTAACGAAGATATTCTGAAGAATGTTGGAAATGGGTAACCACTGACATCCATAGTAGGAATAACAAATACTATCAAGTCCACTGTACCAGCATTTTTCAAAATATCTTCTTTTTTGTTCACGGTAAGAACGTAAGTCAAACAGATTTGGAAAGAATGTCCAAAGCTGAAGTTGATATTAACAGATTGTCCACCCAACAATTGCACATTATCTCACCCTTTAGTGGTTCCAGATATTACGAGTTGCTTCTGTTTAAAACTAAAGAAGATAATCTGAAGAATGTTGGAAACGGGTAACCATTGACATCCATAGTAGGAAAAACAAACACTAGGAAGCCAATTGTTTTTAACATTTTTCAAAATATCTTCTTGTTCAATAAAAGAAAGTAAGTCAAACAGGTTTGAAATAAGTGAAGGGTGAGTACATGGTGACAGCTGTATTTTGAGGAGGTGGGAGTTGAACTTTCCTTTAACCCCAAATATTTCTGTAAATAATGCATTTATCGTGTCTCGTGGAAAACTGTAAAAAAGATTTATTCAAAAGGTTTATCAAAATCCCTTCACATGGCTCAGAGAGAGGCACTAGGCAATAGTTATTTCTGACTGTTGCTCTTTGCTTTTCACATTAAAATAGGCACAGCGGTCTCCCTTTGATTAAGATACATCTCCAATATCACTGATTTAACTAATTCAATGCCCATTTATGATTCCCTTTTTAACAGTGCAATAGCATATTAATGCTTATGAAAGTCCCCGATTACTATAACTCTAGAAATCCCAACATCACTTACCTCTGAAGATTGTTCATTACTATTATTATTATTACATCATGAATAGAAAGAACAGAGGCAAGTGAAACCATATAAAGTCACAAGAACACAAAACTGTTTGAGCACCTATTTGCAAGCACAGACCATTTATAACTGTTAGAAAAACACAATAAACCTGAGACTGAGAATGTTCTGCTAATATTTCAGTGGTTCTGAAGAGTTTTGCTGTAAAGAAATGGTCTTATACTCCTAAAGCCAACCCTTAAAAGTGCACATCCTACTTGTGAAACCTACCAAAAACAGCTGCTGACGTTCTCAAAGATTCCCTGGTGGTTTTAAGGAGTGAAGTACATCTCTTTGGTGAGCATTGAGACGATGCAGGGGATCTGTTTCTTGGCATCAAAGCCCGGCATGTTGGAGGTGGACTCAAAATCCAGTGCTACTTTATGGTTGACCCTGGTCATGATCTGCAAGAGCTCCAGTTCACTGCCATACTTTGTCATCATTTCACAAAGTGACTGAATGAACCATGAGCCGGTCATTGTGTTTCTCCAGGAGTAATAACCTTGACAGAGGAAAGAAATTCATTAGGAAAAAGGCATAACTATTCTATGATCAGCAACTTTTTTTAGTAAAACAATTACAGTTTAAGTCAGAATTATCAGCCCCTCTGTATATATTTTCCCCAATTTGTGTTTAACAGAGAGAAAATTTTTTCAACACAATTCTAAACATATTAAGTCTTAATAACTCATTTCTAATAACTGATTTCTTTTATTTTGCCATGATGACAGTAAATATTTTACTAGATATTTTTTAAGACACTTCTAAAAAGAATAAATATTATAGGAAATGTTGTGAAAAATACCTTACTCTATTAATCATCATTTGGGAAATATATAAAAAAAAATAATAATTAAATCAATAAATAAAAATCACAAGAGGGTTAATAATTGTGACTTCAACTATATCTCATTGCTTGGTGGTAGCTTTGTGTTTCCATATTTTAGCATTCTTTTTTATATAAATCAACACTATTGAACAGTCTTTATGTTTGTGGGTTTTACAAATATTTAAGCAATGAAAAGTATTTTAAAAAGCTTGGGTCAACTTGTAGTTTCGGCTTGTTTGCAGTGGATGGGTAAATACCCTAGCTGTTTGAACAAGTACAGTGTTTTCTTTGCTCAAGAAACAATATGTTTGTTAATGCTAATGTTTTATGTGTCTGAAGGGCAGAGAAGAGGCTCCAAGTCTAGAAACTTCCCTTTAGTAAAGACAATACATTAAAAAGCTTTTGCTCAATGCTTATAATATGTGATTTTTGACAAATGTATTAAAGATGGGAACAGAGTTAACAAAGCTACAAATAAACTTTTCAAACTTTTACGTTGATGAAAATATCCCTCCAATTTGTGGGTCAAAAACTAAAATGTACAGAGGGTTTCTGCAGGTTTTATCAAGTCAAATTAAATACTTTTTAAAGACCATTATGAATGAAATTGTAGACTTTTACAATGAAAAACGCTAAGGATTTTTTTTCACTTCCTCTATCAAAATTAAAATTCAGTTATTTCTTTGCCTCATATCTTAAATGAGTCGAAACAAGCAAACTCGGGCGAGGCAGTGGCGCAGTAGGTAGTGCTGTCGCCTCACAGCAAGAAGGTCGCTGGGTCGCTGATTCGAACCTCGGCTCAGTTGGCATTTCTGTGTGGAGTTTGCATGTTCTCCCTGCCTTTGCGTGGGTTTCCTCCGGGTGCTCCGGTTTCCCCCACAGTCCAAAGACATGTGGTACAGGTGAATTGGGTAGGCTAAATCTTTCGTAGTGTATGAGTGTGTGTGTGAGTGAGTGTGTGTGTGTGTGAATGTTTCCCAGGGATGGGTTGCGGAGGAAGGGCATCCATTGCGTAAAAACTTGCTTGATAAGTTGGCGGTTTATTCCGCTGTGGCGACCCCGGATTAATAAAGGGACTAAGCCGACAAGAAAATGAATGAATGAATAAACAAGCAAACTCCAGTTATATACATTTATATATATATATATTTTTTTAGCAATTTTTCAAAAAATCAAGTTTTAAAAACTATAATAAATTAATGTACAACTTCATAAATACATGGAGAACTTTTAAACAAATGGTATTGTAAGGATGTAAGAAGGATAATTAAATCATATTGGTTAATAGGGTTAATAAATTTTACTTTTTGTTAAATGTTTTTTTAGATAGATTGTTGGTTGTGCCGACTGAGTAGCTTTACATGGACAAGTGACAATTAAGACCTGTTTAAAATTATTTAAGACCTACAACACCATATTTCAGGGAAAATGTTTATGAAATTTAAGACATTTTAAGACTTTTTAAGACCCCACAGATACATAGAACAAAAGGTTGTTAAATTATGTTAATAAATTTATAGTGACATAAAAATGTTTAAGCATATTTAAAGCTACACTACTAACTTTCACAATGCAATGCAATTATTATTTAAAATATGTTTTTTAAAATTCACATACAGTTTGTAAGTAGCGATGTTTTGAAAAATTTCTGTTCAATGACAACAAATTATACCTGTTTAGAGATTAATTATTCAACATATTATGCGATTAATTATTTTAAAACTCCAATGACACTCAAATCCAATCAAATTTTTTTAATACTATCAGTAGCAACAACTTATTTCTGGTGAATTATGTCTTTATTTATGTCTTTATGTGTGTATGCACCTGCAGGCATGTATATAAAGAGATGTAATGTCAAGGATTTTTGGCATGAATACAATTTGTAATTTTTTAGAATATCATCCTGTTTCATTGAGTCCTAATTTACACCAAGGGTGCATTTTTGGATCAAAAATAATGTAACAAAAGTAATATTGTGATAATATTATAATTAAAAAAAACAATTATAAATGCCTTATTTTTGATTCATAAAAAATGCTAAAAATTACTGATTATTAATTTTAATTAATATAATAAAAGAAGGGAGGCTGGGTGTCTGGATGGGTGGATGGATGGATATATATATATATATATTTGTGCATCTGTACCTGGTACAGTAGAGTATGCATAGAGGAAATCTGCCTCCACTGGGATCCTTACACGACCATCTGGGATGTCAGGGTGATCAGGGTGGTCAGTTTCCACACCAGGATCCAGTTCTGTTCCTCGACAAGCCTAGATTAACATTAGTCAGCAAAATCTTGTTAATGGAAAATAAAACTGAGCCAAATCCAAATAAACATGAACTCAGACAACACATATCAGAGATTGAGCAAGTACCTGAATAAAGAACAGTTTAGGCTTTCCCACTAGTGATGGGCAGCGGTCTCCTCTGAACAGACTAGTTAAAGACTTGAGATCCACAGATGTATCAGTGCCGAAAAACACCCCCTCATCGCCGTGACTGAGCAACACACACACTAATGAAGCACAGCGGCTGTGATCGTCATGGGCAACTGAGATACAACAACAAACATAAGTGAGTACAATAAGCAGCATATAATTATCAATTGATATAACATATGTTTTCTTTTAATTGTTTGTGCTCAGCGTATAATAACTACCTGTTGTTAAAACCTGCATAATCTGCGCAACTGTCTGGTCATTGTAGACTTTCACAATGTATCCAAGCTTTCGAAACACGTTCATTACATTTCCTGCATCTACGTCAGTGCCATTGCGTGGGTTCATGCCTGTAAGGTAAACAACAGGTTAAAAATAATGTACGATCCAAAACTTTTAAATAAAAGGTTTATGACAAATTTAAAAAATATCCTTAATATACCATTTTTAGCGATGCAATTTGACTATTGACATCAGGGATTTCTTTTCAGGAATTTCCCAGCATTAGGCTGATGTCAATATCTTTATTGTGTATTTGATTACATTTGTGACAATATAGGAAGTCCACAGAAGGGAAATCAATTATTTTACAATAAAGTAAATTATGCTTATTTGAAAATGTAAACATGCTAAAAGGTTTCTGTGAAGTCAGATGTAGTTTGTCAGGGTTTCTGCAGTGTCAAACCTTTTTAAGACCTTTATGAATTAAATTTCAGACGTATACAGGGCTAAACATTAAGGATTTTATTTTATGAGCCAATAGGTAATGCAGAAAAGAGGTTTACTTTTATTTATATATATATATAGAGTGTGTGTGTGTGTGTGTGTGTGTGTGTGTGTGTGTGTGTATGTGTGTGTGTGTGTGTGTGTGTGTATAATAGTTATTTATTTCCTTGCCACTTATTTCAAGTAATGTGTCAATAACTACTAACGAAACAGAACTATTCTTCTGTATTCTTCTGTAACATATTGACAAATAGAGTTTGGTTAAATTTTTTTAGATGGATTATTGTTATTGTAGACATGGAGAGATACAATTTAAGACTTGTTTAAAAATATTTAAGATCTACAAAACAATATTTTAGTAAATGTAGGAATCTTTAAGGCCTAACAATTTGTTGGAATTTAAGACCTTGCGGAAACCCTGGTTTGTGGTCTGTAGCAAATTTTCTGATTTGGGTCAAAGACAGTTTGTCAAACTGAACTGAAAAAAGTAATTTTAAGCACAAAATAAAGCAAATTATCTACTTTAATGTTTCCATTAACTTTTGTGATGATAAATTATGGTTAATATACAACTTACGCTTCATTCTTATTCAGAGTAACAGATAAAAACTTGTAAAAAGAATATATAAAAGAATACGCAACCATGCTAAATTTCGCCATGTTTTAAATCATATATAAACTATTGCTACACTTGAAATTTCAATGGACGTGTTCTGTAAATTGTTGTAAAGATGAATGATGTTCATTATTTTTATTCTTTAATTTACTGACTATTGCCAGAGGAAGTTCTGAAATGTATTGTTGTCATTATTTTACAATAGTACATAATTCCTGTACCTTCTGTCTGTAATTAAAAATAATCCTACTAAAATATCATTCAGCGTAAAACAGTTAAAAAAAAAATCTATATACTGGTCCATATGCTTATTTCGAACAAAAACCAATTGATTAGATATTAAAAGTTGCTATTTAAAAATCACAATGCAGGCCCAAAATGTTGAGCAATTATCATAATTAATCAATTTATCCTTCAAACCACTAGTATCACGCTGTCTATCAGCAAGAGTTTTTTTTTAATAATATAAGAAAACTTACAAATCAAACATATATATAATCACTAATTATTTTATTTATGACAAATGACAATATAGCTTTTTTTCCATTCATCATTTAACATTTTATTTTCACATAATTTCTAACATTAAAATAAACCTGCACTATTGTAATATAAATTGACTTTTCTAAGTTGAATATATCACACAGACAGATCAGATATGAGTGTTTAATTTTTAATTTTGACCATTAATTTTTTTGTCCATCTGTCTTAAAAAACAAAGAAATCTTCATCAGCCATACTTTTGAAACCCTTAATAAAGATCCTATTGATAAATACATGAGGCAAGTAAATGATTACCTTTCAAGTATGAAAGCCTTTCAACAATCCTCATCATCAGCCAGTTTGATGAACATTCAAATTGACAGATATGACAAACACAAGACAACTCACACCGGTGAAAACGCAAAACAAGTGTTACCTGTCCTGCGATCAAAGTTCTTGTTGTTGATGATGATGCAGTGGCCGATGTTGGGGTAGTTCAAGCTGTATCTGAAGGCATGGGATTGAGGCTTGGCATCAACCTGCATGGGCTGTGATGCAGATGCCCCATCCTTACTAGCACTGGACAAACACAGTACAGTAAATCACATTGAACTGCATTTAATGCAATAATAAGTAATTAGTATCAAATTAGATTGCACATGATTTCTGTGGGTGAGTTTTCTACTTATATTTACAGTGTTTGGATATATATGTCATTATTCTGAACATTTATTTATTTCCACCAGCAAATTATACCAATTCCAAACCACTTTAATTTTAATCACTACTTTCAATTTGGAATAAAATCATTAAAGGGATGGTTTACCTAAAAAAAAGACAATTCTGTCATCATTTGCTTGTTTTAAACATGTATGATTTTCTTACTTTTGTTAAACACAAATGAAGATATTTTAAAAAATGTTGGAAACCTGTAACCATTGACTTCCATAGTATTTGTTTTCCAATTATGAAAGTCGATGGTTACAGGTTTCTTCAAAATATCGTCTTTTGTGTTCAACAGAAACTAATAAAGGTTTGAAACCACTTGAGGACGAGTAAATAATGAGTAAATTCTGGAAGCCTGGAAATTAAAAACGCTTTCTGATATTCAGAGGTCAATAGTTATTTGTCAGGTTTCATCTTACAGGTAATTGGCCAAAAAAGTTGCACAATATAAAGTAAAAAAAAAATTAAATGACCATAAGAAAGATGCAAGAAACTGCCAAATATCGACTTGCATAACAATGATGCACAAATCGTATGGTATTTATTCCTTTAACAATAATTATTGTATGTGGATAAAACATAATAAACAATAAACAATAATAAATTCTATTGTTAGAATAAACAACAAGAAATCAGTCTCTATTTCACTACTAAGGTGAAAAAAAAGGAGTGTAGGGAATTAAATACTGTTTTTGAACTGTCAATCACATGTGAAACCTGCATAGCAACAATCGTCAAGCTCATCTTACTCTGTTGTATCCACACGCTTTGCGTCCACACAGTCTCCGTTCATCTCCAACCGCTTAACGAGCCCTTTTAAACAGTAAACAGGTTTCTTCTCCTCCTGAAAGCTGTTATATGTGTAACTGTGGGTGTTTAAGGTGTTATAACAGCTCTTAAAAAGAGTAGTCTCCGTATCCGCATGTCCGATGTGTATTCTTTGTTTGTTGACTGGCACCACCAGCCAATGAGAAGCTGCAGACGTCACCCTTCAACAGCTGTGCAAAAAAAACATCAACCTGAAATAAGATTTGGGTGTGGACATTTATTCAAATAAAATGCTGTGTGTGCAAATATAACTCCTGGCAAACCGAAAGATTTCTTACAGCTGTAGATTATTATTAACATAATGACTGTGTGTCAAAACCTACTGAGCTGTCTTCTTAGTCAGCACACTTCAAACAGAAAGATCCACAAGGAGCTTATTTACGTGTGGAGGTTTTAAGACAGTCATAGTAATGAAGGTCAAGTTCCACTCGTCTTGCTAATGTACGATTAAACTTTATGAATACTACATTTCAGCAAATAACGTTAATAACCGTCTAAGAATTTAACTATTCTAGTGCACACGTGAATGTAGAGTCTATATTTGATACGGAAGAATAAACTATCGACCAGTGAGCATGGCGTTTCTTTGTCTGCTTTTGAGAGTTTACGCGGATAACAAGGGGACACCAACAAAACCATCTCAAACTGAAAAGTCACGAGAAGAAAGAATGTAGAAGACGCTTACCGAGAACCGAAAATATCCGCTTGTTAGTTAGCACCTTATTATGTGCAAGATTCCGATGACAAAGCGGTTCCTCAGCAGCGTCCAGGAAGTGTATGCGGGCGATATGGCAAGTAACAACACTAACGTTACCTCAAAAACATAATGATACAATATCGCCATCTAGTGACTTATTTTCACACACACGTTCTGCCCCATAAATAGAAGTTTCAGACACAGCCAGCTCTGTAAAACGTCTGCTTGCTCCACGTTTAAACACAGGAAAGAATGCTTCATGGAAGAAACTTGTCAAGCCATGTTCACACCAAAAAAGTAAATATATAAAATAAAATTTAAAATATATGTTCACCGCAAAACAGGAATGGATATATATATATATATATATATATATATATATAATCACACACACACACACACATTTATAATATATAATATTGTTTCATCTGGAGAAAGTCTGATTTGTTTGATTTTGGCTTTAATAAAAGCATTTTTGTATTTTTCAAAAACAATTTTAGGGTCGAAAATATTAGGCCCTTTAAGCTTTTTTTTTTTTTTGATAGTCTACAGATCAAACCATCGATATACAATAACTTGCCTAATTAATCTAACCTGCCTACTTAAAAGTTGGCAGTTCATTCCGTTGTGGCAACTCCAGACTAATAAAAGGACTAAGCCGTAAAAAAGCCGTATATATATATATATATATATATATATATATATATATATATATATATATATATATATATATATATATTCATATATTTAGATAGCTAAAAACTGTTACTGCTAGTAGAATTCTTAGTGGTAAACTAAAACAAAAAATTGTGAATATGGGCTCATGGGTTTACTCAAAGTTGCTCCTAGAAAAGTTTTTACCAAGATTTGTTCACTAATCACCAATTTTAAGAGCATTATTGAGAAGTTTTATACATTGGGGCCCAGATCTAAATCTATTAGCATCTTTTTGTTTGAACAGTAGAATATTTTTTTTGTTGATTTATGGATGTGCAGCAAACAATATGAATCTAATATTCTAAAGAATGTTTCCAGCACCATGTTAAATCTATGCCACAATTAAGTGCTCAAAAACTGTGAAAGAATCATTTATTCTCAGATGTCAAGTATTCAAAAACAACTGCAATCTAATCATTTCCTCTTCATAATGATGCTGTTACAGTCAGCCACACACTAAAATAAACTCTGACTAAGGGTCTCATTAGATCATTCAGACTATTGTTCCTGTTTTATTTTGTGTCAGTTGCCTTCCCAGCAAACAATTTTGTGTTTAAAAGACGACTAACAGACATCTAAACGTAGACAGCTTGGCTAACACAAGGCTAAACTTGAGCTGTCAGTGAAAATCTAATAGACAAAATAGTCCAAAACTATAGTCCTAAACTGTAAAGAAAATACTTTACCGACATTTACCATAAAATAATGGACGTTTGAATTACAGACATTTACCATAACATAACAGATGTTAAACTACACATATTTACCGTAAAATAATGGCTGTTACATTGCAGACATTTACTGTAAAATAACGGTCATTAAATTATACAGACATTTGCCGTAAAATAACAGATAGTAAATTACAGAAATTTACCAGAAACTAAAATTTTAGTTAAAGTCTGCAATTTAACAGCCGCTGTTTTGTTACTTAACGGCCATTGTTTTACGGTAAATGTCTGTAATTTAACATCCGTTATTTTATGTGAAATGTCTGTAATTTATTGTCCATTATTTTACGGTAAATCTCTGTAATATAACGTCCGTTATTTTATGTGAAATGTCTGTAATTTAATGTCAATTATTTTACGGTAAATGTCTGTAATTTAACATCCGTTATTTTACAGTAAATGCCTGCAATTTAACACCCGCTATTTTACATTAAACGTCTGTTACTTAACAACCATTATTTTACTGTAAATGTCTGTAATTTAGCGTCCGTTATTTTTCGGTAAATGTCTGTAATTTATTGGCCATTATTTCACGGTAAATGTCAGTACTTTAGCGGCCATTATTTTACAGTAAATGTCTGTAATTTAACTGGCGTTGTTTTGCAGCAAATGTCTGTACTTTAATGGCCATTATTTTATGGTAAATGTCTGATTTAACAGGCGTTGTCTGTAATTTACAGTGTGGTCATCAAATAGACAGACTTTATATATTTTGTCATTCATTTCTGTTTATTTTATGACTAGTCTAGTTTTGGCCTATTCTTATACGTCTATTAGATTTTCACTGAAAGCCCAAATTTAGTTTTGTTTTAGCCAAGACAACTATGTTTAGACGTCTATTGGACATCTTTAAAAACAAAAAATTGCTTGCTGGGCAGCTAATATGCTGTAGCTGACAGAAATGATGTGCCTGAATTTGCATCAACACAGCATGTGGAGCTGTAGTCACATACCACAGCACATTCAAGCCCTGATGTGTTTTTATAATTTTAAAGTGTTTCAAATCCACCATCTAAGTGATTCTGCCTAAGCGAGTATAAAAATTCAATAAACGCATGCAAGACAAACACCCGTTTTAGAGAATAATTTATTGCCAGTAGTAAAGCAGTTAAGCTAGTGGCAGTATTTAATAAAAATCATAAAACAAGACCATAGCATTGCTCACACACACACACGCAGACCCTGAAAAAGTCACATGTCTGTGAATAATCTCGCACTATAAATATACTGGGTCCCATTTTCATGGTCAAAAAATAAAGATGTTCCAAAGTCACAATTTACAAACAACAAATAAAAAAAAAAGAAAAGAAAACATAACAACATCACAAGAATATGCAGACGTCCATCAGATGATGATCCTTTCAGAAATGAACGTGTGTTGTGACGAGCACACATTCATATCCTTTACAATATTTTATTATTATTATTTTTTTAAATGCTCTTTTCTTTACTTGTGAATGAACATACAGTAAGGCTGATAATGACACACCATTTGACTTGGTACACTACTTTTTCCTGTCTTTCTTTTTTTTGGAAAAAAAAAGCGAGAGAAAAACAAAATATCTACAAAAACCTAGTAAAACCTTGAAATCAAAACTGTACAGTAAAATTTACATTACAAATGAATGAGGATCTGTATAAAAAAATCAGTTTGCATGGCTATATCTATACAAATACAGATATCACCTTGATGTGTGAAATGATGCTCGGTCTCCCATTATCTGTGACAATATATCAGTTATCATTTTCTGTGTGAATTGTACATCTCATCATGTATTACTTAATGGCACAGCCAAGTCTAACGCCCTCTCCAATACTGTTAAATAACCTTAATAACAGCCCATATTAGAGCTACTGGAGAGAACTCTTTTTCAAGCAAGTCTTTCCAAAAAAAACAACCCATCTTCAGTGAGATACAGATGTATATACGATGTGTGTGTTTGGATGTTTGGCATTTATGTGGTGTAAATGCCCATTCACACCAAGAAAGGCAACTACAGCGGGGAAAATAAGTATTGAATACGTCATGTTTATTTCCTGGGAATAATATTTCTAAAGGAGCTGTTGACAAGGAATTGAGCCAGATTTTGGTAAAAACACAAACACTCTCATTCTACAGCTTGACTTTCTTTCTCTGAAAGCTTTAGATCATTTCCTCGACTGTGTTTTGAATCATCGTCTTGCTGAAATGTCCACCCTGGTTTCATCCTCATCATCCTGCAAATGTAGATGTTAGACTGAAGAAGCTAATATTAATATACAAAGATGGTTCTGTGTGTCTCGTCTATCAAATCTGATCTTTGTTTTGTATTTTATATTTGATTAAAGTCAGGTGATTGGCTAGGCCACAGGTGTCAAACTCAGTTCAAAAAGGGCAACAGCTCTGCACAGTTTAGTTCCAACCCTAATTAAACACACCTGATCAAACTCATTGAGTCCTTCAGGCTTGTTTGAAACCTACAGGTAAGTGTGTTGGAGCAGGGTTGGAACTAAACTGTGCAGGGCTTCGGCCCTTCAGGAATTGAGTTTGACACCCCTGGGCTAAGCCATTCTACAGCTTGATTTTCTATCTCTGAACGCATTTAAGAGTTTCCTCTGCTGTTTTGAATCATTGTCTTGCTGAAATGTCACCCTGGTTTCATCCTCATCATCCTGCTAATGTAGATGTTGGACTAAAGCAACTAATATTAATTTACAAAGACAAAGGGCAAAGGATTGCTGAATAACTTCTAAGAGATTTCAGGTGCTGTCTGGGCTTTCAGTGTCTTTCTACATCTTCCTTTCTTCATGTGTTCTATACTTTCCCCCTGTTTTATTTCATTTTATTATTACTTCATTTGTAAACTAATTAGATTTGTTTTCTTTGGAAATATGGATAGTTCTCAACAACATTTCCAGGTAACAGCTCCTTTATAAATATGTTTTCTGCAAAAAACGGTGACATGTTCAGTACTTATTTTCCCCACTGTATATTAGCATCTACACGATGCACAAGTAAATTTAATAAAAGCACATGCTTTTAGTTTGTCGCCTGCTGCTGTAAAAGCTCAAGCACTTTAAACTCCACTTCACCGATTTACTTTTGAAATTTACTTCTGATTTACGCCCAGAAAAAAAATCTTTCTGAATGTACGATATTACCTCTCTGTGCTGTTATCATTGTAGTTGTGCTATGCATTCAGCCAATGGTTACACTTCTTGTTGTGAACATTCTTTAAGACTACATTTCTGCCCAACAAAGGCAAAGTTCAGTATCTACGCAAACTGAAAACAATTTTTTTTTATATACTGCAATTTTGACACTCGTTTCTCAGAGCAGATCCATTTTAGGACTTAATTTTGTCCACACGTGTAGTCACCGCGCTTTTCCTTTGTGTGGCAGATTGGTGCAGGATGAACGTTATGTGGTTTATGGTTTAAACACACAGTAAGTCTCCTGTTGCAGGGTTTGGTTTAGGCACTTTTGAACGTAAGTGTTGGATCCAGTGTCAGACTTCAGTATGCTGCTGATGTTGTGAGTCCAGCGGTGGTATAATGAGCCTCTGAAACTGTGCTCCCTCCTCTCCGCCACTCTCGTAATCGCTCATCATCACCTCTGACTCCTCGCAGCAGGCTGACATGTCCGAGCAGGACGCCGTGGATGTGTACAGCGAAAGCGACATGTTATCGGCGGCAGGGGGATCGAAGTCGCGTCTGTAGCCTAGCGAGAAGCCTCCGTGTCGGTATCCTTCAGTGGACGATGATGTGCTGGTGCTGGTGGGGTTGGTTTGGGGTTCGGGGTCTGAGGAGTAGTGGTGGTGGGGTAGGAATTGGGTGAGGCTGTAGAGCTGTGGTAATGGTGGCCGATGGCGTATTGAAGACCCTCCAGGACTAGAGGGGGTGCTGTTTAACCCGCGTGAGGCAGGCTGTAATGTGTCATAGCGATCACCGTACTCTGGCACAGGTGGAGGAGGGGGTAGGTCATCATGGGATGGGAAGTCGTCAGGCGGAGGAGGGAAGTCGCTTTCAATGTCATATCCGCCAGGATAGTAGTCCGTGTCCAGCAGGGCGGGGTCACTGTAAAGGGTGGGTGGAGCCTCCACTACCTCATACTGAGGGAATTCCTGGATTCCAGGAAGTTGAACGCTCGGCATCCAGTCAGATGTGTCCCAATGATAGCCTGTCAGATAAGAACAATCAGTAAACATCAGAGTGAGCGGGCAAAATAGGAGAAATAAACTGAAATAAATAAACCTTTTGATTAGGTTGTGGTTACACACCAATGAAAGGCTGAGGTCAATTCAATTTCAGTGGTCAGTTCAGGAAATTAAAATTCTTATTATGCTGCTGTTATTGCTGTAACATTTACTGATGTTATTATTGATGTTATTTTGCCATTAATTTGGTGTTACATGATTAATGTTCTGTATTGATGCACTGCCATCATGAAGATCTTTTTAGATTAATTTCCACAATTATTTATGAGCAAATAGTTATGTAAATGATGACTTTATGTTTAAGTTATCAACTTAGATCTATATTATACATTTTAAAATTTTATAAACTAATAAATAACCAACTAATGTAATGTAATGTGTATTTATATAGCACATTTATCATGTATGGCCATACACCAAAAGCGCTTTACAATCATGAGAGGGGTCTCTCCACACCACCACCAGTGTGCAGCATTCACTTGGATATGCCACAGGACAATGGTGCCAGTGCACTCACCACATACCAGCTATTGGTGGAGTAAAAAGACAGTAATACAGCCAATTTGGTGGATGGGGATGATTAGGAGGCCATGATGGGCAAGGGCCAATGGAGGGCCAGGACACCGGGGTTTACTCTTTATAAGAAGAGCTATGAGATTTTTAAAGACCACATAGAGTCAGGACCTTGATTTAACATCCAAGCAACCTAACATTCCCATGTGGTCTCCCATTCAGGTACTGACCAGGCTCAGCCCTGCTTAGCTTCAGTGAGTAACCGGTCTTGGGCTGCAGGGTGATATGGCTGTGGATATCATCATACTTTTAAATTATTTTATTAAATAAAAAATTCTCTGCTTGAACAAAAACTGAATTGACTTCAACCCCTTCAAAAATTTGGCATAAATGAGGCATTTAAAACCAACAACATGCAACGTCAGTATCACACCAGCAAAATGCACATCACACAAATATTTTAACCAAAATATATACACAAATACACACATCACACTGAAAGTAACTTAAAATAAATGTCTAGTTTGTGAAAAAAAACTTTGAACAGAAATGATTAAGGAGGGTGTTATTTGGTTGTTCAAATGTAGTGTTTTGAGGGAATTTAGTAAGATAAATAGGGAACACAAAAGCAAAAAATAAATAAAATCAATAATAATTTATAGCTGTGACAAAAAATGCACAAAATGCAGGCACGGTGGGTCCTACAGTAAATTGATTTTAAAAAGTAAGTTGGTTTGATACTATTTTTGTCACAGATTTGTGGACATGCAGAATTGTGTTATATCAGAGGAAAACAAAGCAAAACCAAAAAAAAAAATAAAATAAAAAAATACAACAGAAAAAAGGCTTCAGGCAAGTTGTACAGAAATGTATCACCTCTTGGGTTCTTGTGTTCATGAGCCGAGAATGACTCTTTAGACAAAAGGCAAACAGAATTGCAGAGAAAGGAGAGAAAAGAGAAAATGTCAATACTGAAAGACTGAAGACCACTGTGGGAACAAAAACAAAACAAAGATAGCAGGAGCATGTGGATATAAATATAAGCACCATGAAGGTTTGAGGTGATCTTAATGCCATTTGCTTGCACAGCTTTCTATCACAGCACTGATGAAATGCTGAAATCCGTCTTTACACCACCTCAAATTAGCTCAACAATCAAGTGCCATTGAAGTCAAATGAGGCACCTGGGTTGGCTAATGAGGTGTGAGACAGATGCGATTAGTCAATTTTCATTTCTCTGTCTCTGTAGATGAGTTATGGGTGAAGAAAATGGCATTTTGGAGACCAAATGAATCACCCACCAAACCCTAACGACACAAACACCCAATAATCAGCAAGGAAGCAGCAAAAGAGTACCTTCTTTCTCCACCGAGTCAACAACAGAGCTGACAAGGTGGATTACTGTCACTAGGGAGGCTTGTAAGAAGGGAAGATGAGAGAAATCTAACATTAATTTTGTTTTCCACGAGTAAACATGACAGGACAGAAACACTGGAAGTCAAGAACCAAAGAAGCACAGACAAAAGCGCTTCTCACGATGAGACATTATACAGTATTTTGACATAACTGATGGATTTGATTTGATTTAGCACCAACAGATATTAACTCTGGATTAATGGGAGTTCTGGCTTCTGACAAGGGTGTGATCTGAGGATGGGTTAATGGCAGAGGGGGTTTGGGTTGTGTTGGTAAGGCACACGTCTGGGTTGAGGACAGTGGGAGTGGAGGCTGACGTTGTGCTCATGATTACATACATTAACAGAGAGGCGGAAGGAAGGATCAGGGAAATTCTCAAAGATAAAAAAAAAGAACAAGGACAAACTCTGGCCCCAAACCAAAATCAGCAGATGGAGCAAACATTAACGAGCAAGGGTTGGCGCTTTGGAAGAATATGCAGGTATATGACCTTAAGACAATATTGATCATTTATTCAATGGGGAAGTTGTTAGGTCAAGTTCAGGGATTGATAAAGTCAAATGAGGGTCAATGGTTAGATGATTTGGTCTCTTTCACATGAATCCATGACTCCGTTTCACACAACACATCCTATAAGTAGGGATGCAACAAACTTTCAGTTGCCATTAGTATTAAAATAGAGAACAGCCCTGTCCTACAGTGTTCAGCGTGCTGGTTTTGGTCACGTTCCAGTCGTTACCACTGTGCAGTTTAAAATGACTTTCACACAGGACACGGAGAGCACTGCGTTGTGAAACCCAATTATTCATTTCAATGACTTGTGCCTTGCAAGGGATGTTAGTTACCATGCACACTAAAGCGCAAGCACCTTCAAATAACCTTGCAGCAGTAACACACACACAAAAAGTTTCTCTATGCCAAAGGTCTAAAATTTGGCGGGGAGCCATATTAGTGACTGACATTTCATAGGAGGGCCATTTTAACATTCAAGCAAAAGAAGGAAAGTGAAAACCTGATGTAATTGATAACATTTTTCCTATCAAATCTCCTTCATTTTGTTTCTTGTTGTACACATTGAGGGTATAGTTTAAATTGCTATAAAATGCTACGATTTAATAATAAGCAATAATAAAAATTATTATGTCCCAATCAGTTGTCGCTTAACCAAAAGTTTAACAGATAGCAGTAAGACAGCAGAAACCAGGTAACTTTAGTGGCTTTACTGACAATTGTTCTTCGCAATATGTTTCTTTTTTTTTGTAAAACTACAACAAAAAGTAAGGAAGCACCGATATGGATTTTTGGGCCGATATCGATAACCGAAAACTCTTTAGATATGGTGGCTGATAACCGATATACTTTAGCCTATAAATAGAAACATTTTAAAATGTAGAGACAACTTAATACAGTGAACAACTGAATTTATTTTTAAAACTTCATAGAAGCTTAAACAGATCTTAGAATAGCCTACTAAAAGCAAAAAAAAAAAAAAAAAAAAAAGAGTTGTAGTTTTAAAATTGCATGGTGATTATATAGTTATATGATTTCACATAAATCAGCATGGCAAAAATAGATTATTTTCTTTTCTTTGCATAGCAAATTAACATGCAACTTGACTGTTGCATAAAAATAATAAATTGAATAACAAAACGAGAGGCAGGCAATTCTGTACAATGACCTAATCTATCGGCTTAAAGATATTGACCTAATTCTGATATCAGACAGATAACAATAACATAAAAAAAGCATTTAAATCGAAAATTAGCAAAATGATCATATTAACACTAACAGCATACTGTGTAAGCCATGAAGAGGTGTTTGTACCACAAAAACAGGTGGTATAAAACTGTTTATAATTAAATGACCATTGAATATTTACAAAAATAGAGCTTTAGTAAAAATAGAGTACTTATGGACATATATTTCAATGTTTAAATCAGCTCCAAGAAATAATCAGCGTTACTCTCAACTGCACACTGCGAGAAACCTAAAGTAACCTGGACATATAGTACAATCCTTTAAATGTCCAGTAGGTGGGGGTCAAAACCACAAGTGGCTATAAACGACTGCACAACATTGATAGTGATTCAAAAATATATGATTTGGTGGGCCGAATCTCGCTATATTTTAAAGGAAGAGAGAGGCCTGCAAATGACCCGCGAGACCCCTGCTCTAAGCTTTATATAACTCTGTCATTCTGACCCAAATGAATCTTCAACAAGCACAATCATTGCTGCCTTGAATTTCTGCAATGATATCGGGCCTCATGATGACACGTTATTATTTGCTGTGCTTCGTAAGGTCAAGCACCAAACAGTTCAAAGCTGAAGTGGGTTGTACTTTAAAGTAGTGTGCTACAAAGTTCAACTGTACTGCAACATAGCTCCTAGCAGTTTGTTCCCTGCACTTCAGCACCCAAGGAAACGCTGTCAGAAGTCATGTGAAAGGGCCTTCAAGATCAACAGAAATGATGTGTGCTGTAGACCCATCATGTGTACTTTTCATACCCTGCTTTTACACTCTGAGCTGATGTCTTCAACCATCCATTGGCTTCATTAAGAGAAACAAAGAAGGGAAAGGAAAAAAAGAAGAGAAGAGATCCACAACATGAATTCCACACAGAGAACTAATAGAGATCTTATATAGGCCATTCTCAGATGCTGTCTGAACTGATGAAAAACTTATGAGAAGTTGCCAAAAGCAAAAAAAAAAAAAAAAAAACGACGAGGCTTAGAGAAAAGACATGCTTTCTTCTTTTTTTATGCTTTGAGAATTTCATAGGGCCTTCAGTGATCGCTTCCTTGCACCGTGGGCGAGTGTTCACTTACGAGCAGGCCTCTATTTAAAACCTTGCTCTGTGTCTGTGGTGAGATTTGATCCAAATGGGAGCTGAAGCCCAAGTGCAGCGATAAGGAAGAGAAAGAGAAATGATATAACACATGACCCAAACATATCATCCTTTACACTGGGTTACATCAGTAAAATAAAGACAGACAGGGTTAGCAGATGTTCAGAGTAATAATCGGAAAAAAGAATAACCATATGATGAACAGTATAGGGGTCTGCCAACTTAAAAGAGCATGCAAGAGATTTTGGTTATGTCTGGAAAAGCATACTACTACTATTTCTACATTCAATACTGTGCACAGCAAACAGTGTTGACCTTTCGTTTTATGCTGAATGAACAGAAATGATAGCTGACACTTTAACCAATTTCACACATAATTACAAGGTTCAAACTTCAATTACTGAACACTAATTCCTAAATAAAAAAGGAACTAAATCATAAAGTGCTAACGTTTAGTATGTACTACATATACCAGTACACTCCTGACAAAACTAATGTCTATGGTAACCTACAACATCAAAATAAAATTACTATGATTTTAGTTTTACCTTTGAAGTACTAATAAAGATAGTTGATATGTTTTTGATATTATACATATTTTGAAATTAATAAATATCAAATGAAATGTACAAAATCAATTCCATAGAAAACATATTAAATGCATGTAAAGTGTCTAATTTCATGTTTCAAGTAACGTAGCGAAAACAAAATGTTAAAATATTGGTGAAATAATGTGGCAAACTGCAAAGTTGACAACAACACAGACAGCGGTTGAACTACTACATCTTCTTTAAACAAATAAACAATAAAAATTATAATAATATTAATAATAATAATAATATCCACAACAACAACAATAATAATAATAACAATAATAAGAATAATAATGATAATAATAATAATAGTATTAATAATAGTAATATTAACAATAATAATAACCGTAATAATTAGAATAATAACAATAATAGCAATAATAATAAAGATAATAATAAAGATAATAATAATAATAATAATAATTATTATTATTATTATTATTATAACTGTAATAAGAATACTAATAGTAATATTATTGACAATAATTATAATAATAGTAATAATAATAATAATAATAACAGTAGTAATAATAACAATAATAGTAATGATGATAACAACAACAACAACAACAACAACAACAACAACAACAACAACAACAACAATAATAATAATAATAATAATAATAATAATAATAATATAACAAATAAATATAAATTATTAAAACGTGTTTTTTGTGGCATATTCAAAAAGGTCAGCTTTGTTTGTATAAAATTAATTATTGAAGTACTAAAATTAAAATGAACTTACACATTATACAAAAACATAGTAAATCAACAGTTTGTGACATCAACAAATAGATGCTGAAGTAATTCAAGTTAAGTCATTCTAGTTTGGTCAATTGGAGAAATGACAAGCACATTGTGTATTCATTTTAATTAATAATTCTTTTTTAAATAAGTAAATGTTGTAAATAATAATGAACTGGTCAAGCTTACTGTTTTAATACTGGCTGCTAGTAGTGTTTTTCAATATAAGCCAAAAATAAAAGTTTTGTCATTCAGAGTAATGTTGTGTAATTCTAAAGAAACCTTTTTTTTGGGTCGACTAAAGCCGTATTTTTTCACATGACCTTTTGCATTGTAATTACAGAAAAATAAGCTGCATAAATATTTCTACAGTGCAGAAAAAAATGCATAAAACAAGAAGTATTTAAAACATTTCAATTGTGTAGCATCTATTAGATAAAACAAAAGCAACCTATTCTCTTCCCTACTGTACGTACCATTGTCGTCACAGGACTCAGACTGGAAGGAGCTGAGAGAGTGGACCTCAGACATGCTTCCTCTGGTGTTGTACGGGTGACATGCACTGTCCTCCACCGGCTTTTTACTTAAACATGAGTCCAAGTCCACCACTTTAGCTGTGAGGACAAAAAAAAACTTTTAATTACCAACCACATAAAACAGATTGAGTCACATACATGAAATTTAAAATGCAGTTAGAGTTGCTTTAATATGGGGGGGGGGGGGGATATCTTTTCTATTTTAACAATATTTATTTTCTATTTCTACATTTTTGATAAAGCGTATAAACAAAGAAGTACATTTCTGACAAAATACTTCTAAAGGTAAACAAAAACAAATTCTTTACAAGTCATCAATTATATATTTAAACAGAAATGGTAACCGTGATATATATCGTAATTTATCGGATTACTTATTTCATGATAGGAGATTTTTGTCGCATATCGCCAAGCCCTAGCATTTAGTCTTCCCTGTAAGAATTCAATTTGGTTTGTTTATCATTGATACTGAATAAGCCAAAATGAAAATGAATGAATGATGATTGAATGGTTTTTTGGCTATATTTTGTGGTATAGTCTGGTGTATCCTTGTGCATTCTGTTCTTTATTATAATTTGTGATGTAATATTATGGTTTATTTTTTTGGAATTTTCACTTGAAGTATCTAAGCTATATTTATGAATGAGTGTGTGTGTATGTATGTATTCATATGTATATGTGTATATAAATGATTGTGTATGTATGTATGTAAACATAAGTATCAGGGGTGGCTAACCCTGTTCCTGGAGAGCCACCTTCCTGCAGATTTCAGTTGCAACCCATATCAAACACACCTGCCTGTAATTATCACGTGGTGTTCAGGTCCTAATTAATTGGTTCAGGTGTGTTTGATATGGGTAGCAACTGAAATCTGCAGGAAGGTGGCTCTCCAGGAACAGGGTTGGCCACCCCTGATATCTATGTATGTATATGTGGACATATATGCGAAAGGACATCATGTGACCTGGATGTGTACAAAAAGGGACACCTGATTGTGATGAACGCTGTCTGATAAAGAGCCATGTGGCTCGAAACGTTACACCTTTTGTGTAAGCTTTTTTAATTTAATAAATTAGTTTTTTTGGAGCTTTGGTGTTGCTGCCTTTGATGAAAATTGTATTATTGGAGCTACAAAAATCCTTGATTCAAGAGCAGTTAGTGATTGTTTTTGTTGTCTGATAAATACTAAACACATTCAACAATAGGAATGTAGCCCGCTGTCACTTCATGAGGCACACGGATCCGATTTACACAACAAACAAGGAGTTTCTGTGAATAGTCACTAATTAGCACAAATAGTTCATTGCACAACAACAAGATGGGTTTAATACATACCATCATAATCATAGTCCCAGCTGGGCTTCTGTATGGAGTCACTGTCAGAAACAGAGTTGGAGGGTGGAGGAGGAGGTAAATTAGGTGCTACACTACAGACCGCCACCGTCTTCCGATGCCCGTGCACCGAGTCAGGGTTAAACGTGCTGAATTCTGGGTGCTCTGGTATGGCTGAGCCCTCAAACGAGTTGCGGTCTAGATTGTTGCGGGAGTCACTTGGAATGCTGGGAGTGTAGGAAATGGGTCGTACTGGGACCTGCGGTGGGATGTCGGAGTAGATGTTCCTGTTGAGTTTGGCGTCAAAGTATGGCCGGTGAAGGAAGCTGTTCTGGGTGCCAGTGCTGATGCCGATCTTGTCGTCGTCATCAGATTTGGATTTTGAGCGCCGACAAATGCGTTTGCGAACTACGACGAAGAGCAGAACGAGAAAGAAAATGCTGGCGACAAAGACAACGATTCCGATCACTTCCTCCAAGCCGATGTTCCAGGAGGTGGAGACAAATTCGTTGCGGATTTCGGAACGAAGTTCACAATGTTGGCCGCTGTAACCATTGGAGCAATTACAGCTAAAGGAGCCGTATGTGTTCTGGCAGTGACCGCCATTGCCACAAGGGTTCTTCAAACACTCGTCTACATCACTGAGACACCTGCACACAAACAAAACATACACAGATCAATAATTACAGATCACTACAGATCAATAATTTGTAGCTGGTGGTGTATTAAATAGGGGTGTCAGTTGATTCAAATGATAAAATCTTAACTAATAAAGCAATGTAGCAATTAATTATTCAAAATATTTAACTGCATTTTATTTTCATATCATATCAGAAAATGTCAAGACATTATTGTGTTAAATGCAATATTTTAAAACAACAAAGTATTTATTACCAGAGTTCCACTTTCAATGAAAAAACAGGCCACTACTGTGCTTATATATTAATATCATGCTTATTTATTAATAATATTACTTTAAAATATTATGTTACAATATTAACAGTCTTAAAATGCTTTTAGATTGAATATATTTGTGCATGACTTTAATATCCACTTTGAAAACAACAATGGATAGTTTACCTCAGTTTTTGAAATAAATCTGAAGTATTTACTGTTTAAGTGACTTTGCAGTGCTCCCTCTTTTATATTTAATAGCTCAATAGTATCTTTACAAATTTACATATTCCTATTAAATTGTACATTTAACTGAACTTTTCTGTCATCTACTTTTTTTATCAACCAGATTTTAAAGTAGCCATTTTAAAGCAAAACCTCTTAATTTTTTTTATTTTATTTTATATTACTTTTATATTGGTTTTAAATAACAGGTACAGTCTGATAGCTGCATTTGACTTCAGTGACTGCCAGTTAATGAGCTTGAAAGGAATAAAATGGAGCTGACAAATTGCCCAACCATAACAATAGGCATCAAAACAGTATTAGAGAAAAAATACAATACAGAAAATGTACATTTTGATCAACGAAAACAACAATTTAAAGTGACAAACAAAAACTCATGATATTCCATGACCAGGAGAAAACAATATAAATGCTCCTTGACTATCAACGTCTGAAATAGACTTTTGAAAAGTCCATAAAAAGTCCAGTAATTCCATGAACCATAGGGAACCCTGTACTAAAAAACATTTAGATTACAATTGCCATTTTTCCCTGCTATTTACCAACTTATTTTTTATGTTCCACAAAAGAAAGGATTGCATACAAGTTTGATAGTTGTCATGTTTTCTGATGACAGATTATCTCATAAAGAAGTTCTTCACCATGTCCATTTCATATAGTAACAAAATAAGTAATTGAGAGTCTCACAGGTTTGTTAGAAAATTTCAATACACATACCTTTCTCCTTGGAAACCCGGTTCACACTCACATACAGGGCCATCTAGGCTATCAATGCACTTGCCACTGTTCTTACACGGGTTATCAGTGCAGTACGGCCCCAGCTGACACCTGAATGAAAATTAAAAAGAGCCAATAAATCATTCAAAAATCTTCAGTTAAACTTTAAATAAGAAAAGCTGCGCTCAGGTGCTTTAAAGCTGCAGTGAAAAAATTCTCAGAGAGAAAATTGATTCTGTCTTACTGAATTAAATCTTATTACCAATAACATCCCCTCCCGAAGCTTCTGATTAAATTTCCAATTTAATAGGAATTACTGAGAATGCCATATGGATCTCTGAAGTGTTTTTCTTAAGTTTGAGCCAGACTATGCATATTAATGAAGTTTAATTAATGAAAATATTGACAGAGCTCTCTTGTATTTGGCTACATATCTGGAGTAGGCACACAAAGTCAGTAAAAAGTTAAATAAACAAACAAACAAACAAAACAAAAAGGGAAATATCAAACTTTTAAAATAATTAGTCAAATAAAGAGGAATTTAATGCTTTGGTGTCTAAATAAATAAATAAAAATAGAACAGAGAGATTTAGGAACAAATCAGTGACCTAAAAAATAGAAATAAAACACAATAAAAAGTAAAAACAAACAAACAACAATCTGATAAAACAGTCACATAATGGAGAATACTGATTAATATATTATTATAATAATATAATATATATTTCAGTTGCCCAGAAAAAAATACTTGGACACTTTAATCATTTTAAAGAAAAATAGCATCAGAGATCAAGTATCAAAACAAGAAATGTAAAAAAAAACTCCCATATATAGGGACATGGCACTGTTTTTCAAAGATTTTGCTATTATTTACAAATAATATCCTCAGAAATGTCACTCAGTATACCCATAACTGAATACACTATACATGTTTTTGCCACCATTTTGTTGATCATTATCTAATGCAATGGAATTCTTGAATTATTAGGGTTGTTAACAAACACATGCTCTCACCGTTGCCCAGAGTACTGTCCTCTGCACTGGCAGTAAAAGTCTCCTCCTCGTGGGATGCATGTGCCTCCATAGAGACAGGGATTAGAGGCACAAGGGCTGATAGTGACTTCACAGTGAGTGCCCATGAATGCAGCGGTGCACTTACAGAAATATCCTACAGCACACAATAGAAAACATAATAACATATTAAAAAAAACATATTAGTCAGTCCTATATTTAAAGAGACAGTTTACCATAAAAAAAATTTACAAACAAAAAGCAATATATTTTCAAAAATGTTGGAAACCTGTGACCACTGACATCCATAGTAGCAAAAAAATACTATATGGTTATACACAATTGAACAAAAAAAGAGGTTTGAAATAATTGGGTGAGAATATATTGTATGAATTTTCGTTTTTTGAGTGGGCAAACTCCCTTTAAAGTCCTTGTAAAATTAAATGTAATTAACTATATATCAAAAATAAAATTAAAAATTATATCAGCATGTTAGTCTTAAGAATATCTGTAAGCTAGTTTGCTCCAAAACAAAGACAAAACTCGAATTTAGAAGCCATAAACATCCAAGGCTAGCTGTTTGCCACTAAATGGGTCTAAATGTTTTTGACATCACCTCATACTTAAGTTTCTCATCAAATCTTCTGACCAATCAAATGCTCTCTAGTATTTGACATGCCCCGCCCCTCATTACGCTTATCATTTGTCAACTTTCAATAGCAGAGCTGTAATAAAACAAATGCTATTGGCTGTTTTTTAAAAAGGAGGGGCTACTCTATATCAAAACCCATCTTCATTTTTAGTTGAAATTACATCAAACAATGCACACTTCAGAGCACTTCACGAGCACTGTACATACAATAACATGCATCCAAAATCATGCCACACATACCTCCATTAGGCAGTGCTAAACATGTGCCTCCATTGGTGCAGGGGTTACTGGTGCAGCCCTGGATTGGAGGAGCCAAGCTGCACCCGGGAGCCGCCTCCACCAACTCTTCCAGCACTGAATGAGCTCCTCGAACCTGAGACAGTGGCAGCTCTCTCCCATTAAACACAATTCCCTCCAGGCAACCCCGCAGACCGTTCATCACAAGTCTGCCAGAGCCGGACGCGGGCCGCACGTGACCCCCGAAGTACATGCTGGTGTCCAGGTTGAGGGTGCGGAGGGTGCCTGGAGCTGTGCCAGACGCAGCGTGGACCTGATCCAGAACCAGTCTGGCGTAGTTACCGTCCACCTCAAGGGAGACCGTGTGCCACTGTCCATCGCTGACCTGGGTGCTGTGCACAGACACCACACCAGGCCCACTACCACAGTCAAACTTGTACTGCAGGCGGCCGTTCACGATCTGAAACAAACGCGCACAGGTTTTTTGTTATGCTGAACCTATGAAGATTATCATTGGCATACATTTGGGGTCGGTATAAAAACTTTTTTAAATGATACAAAATGGTTAATAGTGTATTATTAGTGTATTTAATAGTTTATTATTGTAATAAAATATAACAAAAATAAATGGAAAATTGGTCTACATTTAAGTGCAGGTTTTTATATTATATTATTCTACATACAGTGACTAATATAACCGGTTTTGTTACATATTTTTCAATAAAGACTACATAAAATTTTAAAATGATTTAATAAAAACATCAAAGTGACTAAAACTTTCAAATGAAAACAACAAATTTTATAATCTTGGGTCAATTAAAAATTGTTTAAAATATATTTCCCATTATGTTGTCTTTTTGTGGCGATTTGCTTTCTGTAGTTTGTTGCAATCGCCAGCAGAGTTTTCTATATGGGAGATTATTGCTGAATGAACAACAACTCCCAAAACTCCCTGCGCTCATCAACTTCTGACACAGCTGACAATAATCCGGACACTCACGCACAGATACAGCTGCTTCTCATCTATACTGATTACAAGGACTATAAATACACCTCACCCTCATTCACACATTGCTGAGTCTTGTTTCTATGATGAACATGTACAAAGTGGTTTCCCTGGTTTTGTTTCCTGTGGTATTGAATCTAGCCTTGTTCCCCGTTCTGATTCATTGCCGTTGAGTCTGACCTCTCACCTGTATTTTGACCAGGGTTATTGGATTGCCCTTGTATTATTGTTTTGCTCCTGTTTTTGATCTCTGCCTGTACGACCTTGATTATTCACTGCATTTGGATCCGCAACACTGTTCTCAGTGTCTACTTTGTTACATATATCTTTAGCCTATTATTAGTCTTTTTTATGTTTTAAATACTTTTAATTATAATTTTTTGATTATTATTCTATAGTAATATATTTCTATAATATATATAATTTTTTTATAAAAACATATTTTTTGAATAATAATTAAAAAAAGTATATTGTTTGAGCATTGATAACTCAATGTGTGTATCTGCAATAATCACATTGCAGGATTAGACTATTTAATAAAGATTAAAACATATATATATATATATATATATATATATATATATATATATATATATATATATATATATATATATATATATATATTTTTTTTTTTTTTTTTTTTTTTTTAATATATAAATTATTATTATTATTTATACAATGATGAACATGTTATTTTACATTTGACTGTTCAATTTCTGTACTTGAATACTGCCAGACACTGTTTATTTATTTTTGCTTGTAATTTATTTATGCTTGATCATCCCTGTCGATCTAAATTAATGAAATGTTTCAAAATAGAGCTATTCAAGTCCTTTGGTAAGAAAATATATTCATATCGCAATACATATTAAAGCAAAACAAAATATTGCAATGTCAGATGTTTTCTATATATATTATGTACACACACGCACACACACACACACACCTAAAGTAATAAGCAAGAAGTTCAATCAAGGGCAACCAAGTCCATCGAAGCACATGCAACATTTCTGGCCCATGATGTGTATGTGTTTTTTTTTGCACATTTTAGGAATATTCCATACTAAGAAATACACCATTTATTGGTAATTTATTCAGGTGTGATGTTGAAGTTAACAAATGAAATGAGGAATGATGCTTCAGGCAAAAGCTGAATCTGCTACACATTATTGTAATTAAACAGCAGGGAGATGACACCGCTTGCATTTCACTCCCAGACTTCTTTGCTTCTTCTGTCAGTCGTGTGGTTTTTCCTCACTAAAGAGGAATGCGTGAGAAAGAGCTCCCCTCTCCTCTCCCAGCTCCAGAATAACTCGCTTTCTGTTTTCTCTTCTTTTTTTGGAAGGATTGAGGGGGTTAAGAGTAAACACTCACCTCCAGTATGCTGTAGTCTGTGCCTTTGGCGTACATGACAGTGGCGTGGGTGGAGAATGTTCTCAGTCTGAGGGACAGCTTCATTTCTTCCTTATTTTCGTTCTCCATCAGCCTGTACCTGGCATATCCGTTTCCGCTGAATGTTAAAGACTGACGCTCTACAACACAGAAAGATAAACAAAAATTAAGTAAGGTTATCGATGTCCAAAACCAACAACACTGATGAAATTTACATTACTTGAGAAATATTAGTGCTTCACAAATTAGTGTGGTTCCATTGTCATTCAGAGTTATGGTATTTTAAGATCTCTATTAGTGTTATAAATAGGGCTGCGCGATTCATCGACATAAAAACTGCTAATACATTTGAGCAACACTGCATTTGTCATGCAGATCTTGCCATGGAATCATAGAAACATTCAAACACAAAAAAATAGGAAATCAACATAGCAGTATAAATATTACAAGCATTATAAACAGAGGTTTTAACTACTTTCATTGTTTAAGCACTGCTAATAATCCCACAACTACGGAATCACAAAAGATGTTATTTCAAAAACTCGACTGAAAGTTATCATATTTGGTAAATTTAGATGCAGAATTTTCTACACAGAGTTGGTTCACTGCAAAGATACACAAATAAATGTCATTATCACAGAAGCATTACTTATATCATAATCATCCAACTATATTAATTTCAATGTTAAAACCATTTTCTTTATCAAAAACACTCCAAAAAGGCTTTTTCTGAAAGCATGTGCTGGAGGTTTACTACAGTATAACCAGCTTTACAGTCACAATGTGCATGAAAATCTCCCAGCCCTAGTTATAATCATTAACTAAGGTTATCATTTCACAACAACAAGGTACTACAAACCAAGACATGTTTCCTGAGTATTTTTGGAGATTTTTTGTGCGTATGACAATTTATTTAAAACTTTCTTTATTAACAAATTTGCATAATTTACAAAAAAAGCAGCATGCCAGGTCAGTAGTTGGACACGTCATTTTGGATTGAAACACTGTGCCTGCACACGAATGTTCTTAACTTGCTTAAAGCACCTGAAATGATTTGGCAGATACGAGATCTTTTAATCAAGATAACTGATCTTTGGCTAATTTATTCAATCAAACAAGAATACCCAAATAAATAACTCCAATAACTGATTTGGCAGGTTCCACTACTAAAATAATTGAATACCAATTTTAAATACTCTGTTGTGAGTTGCACTAAAGCCAATTTCAGAAGACAGACATGTGTTTTTTACCTGAGCACTCTTCCTGTTTTCCCTCAGGACAGATGCATCTGTATTTGCTGTGTGTAGGGTCTTCTACACACTCCATGCCATCAGGACAGGGGCTTCCCTCACAGAGTTTACTCAAGATAGAACACTCAGCTCCTATAAAACCAACACATAGAGTTCCAATGATTAGCCCTCCTGCGAATATTTCTTTCTTTTTTAAATATTTCCCAAATGATGTTTAACAGAGCAAGGCATTTTTCACAGTATTTCTTATAATATATTTTCTTCTGGAAAAAGTCTTATTTGTTTTGGTTTGGCTAGAATAAAAGCTGTTTTTTTTCTTGAAAACCATTTTAAGGTCAATATTATTAGCCCCCTTAAGCTATATATATATTTTTCAATTGTCTACAGAACAAACCATCGTTATACAATGATTTGCCTAATTACCCTAACTTAACTTATTAAACCAATTACGTTCAGAAATGTGTTGAAAAATAAAAAAAAAACATACAAGAGGGCTAATAATTCTGACCTCAACTGTAAAGGCTTAAGATGACTCTAGATTCAAAAATGACATGTGCTTTAGAAATTTCTGTCAGTATATTTACCTTCACAGAGACATTTAGCTGTGCGCATGTGACGTGGTGTAACAAAACTAATCCTGGCGGTGCTGTAAGCCGACACAGCTCCAGTCTCCAAAGCAATGGTCTCTTGACAGAAACTAAGAGGACAGTCCAAACCAGCACATAGTTTCTTCATAACTCTCACAATACGCACTCCCGTCATCTCTTCGATCACCCCGACCGAGGCGTTCAGTTTCCTGTACAACACTTCCTGGGGTTGGAATGGACTTCCTGATCTTTCTAGAGCTAAAAGCACTTCTAGGTCACCAGAGGCATCGGCAGCAGGTTGCAAGCTGACCAATTGCACGTCCCCTCGTCTGACACCGGCGATATTCCTCAAAGCCCGCAGGAAGTTGCGCCAGTAATCTCCGATGAACTCCTCGGGTGCTATTGCAGAGAACCGAACCGCAATGGAGTTATCGAGTGCTTGTGCTGTCGCCTGCCGCACGTGAATATTGACACGGGCAGCTGCAGTAAAGCGGCCATCTGTCACTGTGATGTTTAGGACGTATTGACCGGCGTCCAGATTCCCACGGGCTACTAGTTTGCCATCGGCAGGGGAGACGGAAAAGAGGCCGGAGTTCTCTGAGGTGGAGGAACTGTCGGGGGCGAGGCTGTAAGTTAGAGTGTCATAAACGTCCTGATCGGTGGCGTGGATTTTACCCAGGACTCCACCAGAATATTCGTCTGTGGCTGTGGTGATGAAGATGTCCAGCGGTAGGATGGAGGGAGGGTAGATGCTCTCCTCGATCAAACGAACACTCACAAATGCAGTGGAGACCAATGGAGGTCGACCGCTGTCTGTTACCTAGAGCAAAAACAGTCAAAAGATAAAGGACTCACAATCATAAGTTTTAGGTTTTTGCACATATTGGCAATATTTAAAGTGGTAATAATATACTTTTTTATAAGATGTGATAACTCTTAGGAGCTCCTAGAATGTGTCTTAAAGGTGTTGCATGTAAGTTCTTTACTCTTCTAAAGCATAAAACTACCCATGATATGTCTGCAGATATTTAAGAAAAATGCGCCCTCCAGTGGACAGTAGCAGCCTCCGAAATGAGATGCAGATTCAGAGTTCCACATGAGGTGGTTATTGATTGGCAAATAATATAAATATTTTGAACAAAAGCATTAGGAGAGCAGGTTACATTGAAACCCTGTGTCCTAACAACACACTACCAGCTGAGATTTGCAGTTTATAAGCAATTTGGCTGTTTTCAAAAAACGAAACACGACCAAAATTTAAATATAACAATTCAGAAGCACAGAATAGTGCACTTACTTCGCGCCAACGCAACCATAAGATTTATAATGTAATTAATACATATTAAAACTCTTTAACATTAATAAATGTACATGCTGACTCACTGATATTTGTCACAGTTCTAAAGTCCCATTACATCAAGATCTGAGGTAAACTGTCTGCTGCTGCTTTCAGTATATGGCAATAAATGCCATGTAAAATCACATTCAAACTCACATTATTAGAATTTAACACTAAATACAGCACATGAGGTGTAGGCTAAGGTGATCATTGTCATAGTGTTCTGTTGATTAGGTAAAGGTTGAAAACGTGCCAAATCACAAAACACAAATTCCAATCCAGGGTGGCACGGGGGCTCAGTGGTTAGCACTGTTGTCTCTGAAACCCACATGAACATGGGGAGAACATGCAAACTCCACACAGAAACACCAATTAGCCCAGCCAATATTCGAATCTCCTTGCTGTGAGACAACAGTGCTAACCACTGAGCCCCCGTGCCACCCTGGATTGGAATTTGTGTTTTTTTTATGATTTGGCAGACCTTTACATAGAACAGAAATATAATACACTAAAGGTAGTTAAAAGTATATAACAAAAGCATATATAAACCCATGGTGTTCATGATGGATAATCCCCAAACATATTTTAAACAATAACAATAGTTATGTTTTTATTATTTATAAGCAAGCATTATTCATAATTCATAAGATTATTTTTTACTTCACAGCCACCTCTGATAAATCACACTTCACAGACAAAATAACTGAAGCTTCTGTGTTGAGGCAATTATAATAAGTGCCAGTCACGTTCAGTAGAGGGAGCACTTGAGCTTAGATTTACTTTTGAAAGGATCCACAGTTTGAGTCGCAGCAAATTTCTCAGCTCACACATTTAAGTGAGCCGTTTGTTATTGCACAGAATCACATGTGCAAAGAAAAAAGATTTGGCCTGGTGGATACAGCACATCCAAGTTTTGAGTCTGGCTTGAGTCAATTATTCATCCCTTTCCCTGGGTAATTTAATTTTACTCCTAATAAAAACATGAATGAGAAGTTTAACGTTTAGCATGCTGTATTTCTAAATATACCAGAAATTCCTGATTATTCTATTATTATTGTTGTTGTTGTTGTTGTTATAATTATTGTTTTATATTATTATTATTGTTATCATTATGTTAAAATACTTTTTGTAATTTTATCATATATTACTAAACATCATTTTTTATAATATTATTATACATTATATTATCTCAAAACAAGATGTTAATTGTGTCTTACGCTGTTCATTGACCCTATAACCTAAATGAAATGTTCCACAACCCAGAAACACTCAATGAAAGCACTGTTCTTTGAAAAAGTCACAAGTTACTGTCCTGCAAGCCTTAAAATGTCAAACGTGTTACCATGACTATGCACAATTGACAATACACACAAATACCAGGATTATATTCTATTTTTTTAAAGAAATATATAAATCTCGAGAGGACACAATGTAAAGAATCTTAATCCTAAACATATGAGATGTTTAAAATTGTACAAAAATGCAGTTTAAAGTTGTAATGAAACAGAAGTAGCATCAAATCTTTTCTCCAATACTGTGATGTCCTTCAGACTGAAATGAAATATTGGAGAGCAAATCTAGGGCAGAGACTCTGAACTATTCATCACTGGATGGATTCGACAGATGCAGACCTAAATGTGAGCTTACAATCAATTGAAAAGAGATGGGCGGGGCTTAAGCAAAATAACTAAAAAAGAAAATACACCATTAAAGCTGCAGGCAGTTTAGAAATGGCCCTCGCACCCATCCTCACCACTGACCGGTGGCCTTGAGAACAGTGGGCAAGAGACAGAGAACAGTGAGCAAAACATTTACCAGGGTTCCCACTCTTTCATGGACACTAAATTCAAGGACTTTCAAGGACTGTTTTGAATGTGTCACTTACAAAAATGTCAATGACAATTTGTTGAATTGAATACTGTTAATATTCAAATGCAGTTTCTGAAATATTGATAAAATGTGCATTATTTGTCAGTTCTTGTATAAGATAATTTTTAATTAAGAATTTATTAGTTTTGTCGTTCAGCTTTTGAAAGCAGCACATTATAATTGTTGAAGTGACACTAGGGCTGGGCGATATGGCAAAAAAAAAAAAAAAATCTAGATTTTTTATAAAGTATGACCGATTCACGGTTTCCTTTTTTTTATTGTGTAACTAGTCAACTTAAAACATTACAACAACATGACTGAAGTAACATTCTCTTTATAAGTAACTTGTAAAACCACCTGGTTAAGGAACATTGTATTTTTAATGGCCATGCCATACACAAATTGGTCAACAAGGTGTAAATAAATTCACAAATTCACGAGTTAAATATAGTTCAAACCAAAAGATCAGCGCGGTTCAAACTAAGATCTGCGCAGTTTTTACATCCTTCATACATGTTGAGATCGAGTTTATTGACTTGATAAGGGAATATGTCTTGACAATCCACACAAACGTGACTTAGTGAAGCGTGAAGTCATGTAGGATTTCACTTGTTGCATTAGTCTGAATGTAAATCCCCTCGCAGTGCTGGAGTAGCGAGAGAGTGGACCAAAGCACGTTTGATGCAAAGGTATTAACAAAAGGAAAATGCACAACTTAAGACACTTAAATGCTTGTATTTGTTGTATTTGCACCAGCTCTGCGATGCATGTTCACAACTTTATGCACTGGGTTAAATTAGGCTGTCCAGTCTCTGTGTTCAGTCCGCCACTACTCAGACAGGCAGTCAAGCAGGTCGCACACCAGAACTCCGCGACACGATGCGCACATGACAGTTTAAAGTGTCACACACCAGACGCGCACATTCGCATGATATTTAACATGAAACTAATCAGATGGCTCTCTGTGGCGCGGCTGAAATATGAATTGCATCCTAAACCTTGGCTGGGCGGCGCCGGTGTGAGTATAGAAACCTATGATTAGAATTGTAAAATCCATGGCGCTGCATGGTGCTGCGAGGTGTGCGACCTGGTTCATACAGAGAGTGAACCAAAGCGCATTGGTGCCATTATAATGTTTCAAATATTTTTATTAAAAAAAATTGTGATTTCTCGATTTAATATAAAATAAAAAGTCATCAAAACGTTAATTTGAATTAATCGAAAAAATTTAAAAATCGAAAAAATCGCCCAGCCCTAAGTGACACCATACACTTTAAATTCAAACACTTTCAAGGACCTATGTTTTTAAGCACTTTCCAGGCATTGAATTCATATGTCTGAAATTAAATTACTTTTAAAAAGTGAGGGAACCCTGATTTAAGATAGTGAATATGAAAAGAACTTCCGTCAATGGCACCAATTTGTGATAAACTATCTTCTGTCAGAAGATGGCACTATGACTAAATAAGTATTTGTATGTTGTATGTCTTCAAGACAGGACTTATCAAACATCTGAATTTTGCTGCAGATCGGACATAGCAAGCCACAATTAACAACTGCCTGGTTTTTGGCTAAACATTGAAGTTTGCAAGGCCACTATGTACATGCTCCTCAACGAAAACTCTCTATAATTAAAAAAAATATTATAAATAATTAAAAATCTAAAAAACATTTAAGATAACACTACCTAAATTTGGTGTTGATCTAATAAATTCTCAGTTACAGATTTTGCTCCAAGAGACTTTTTTTATAGGTGTCTCATGTGTAAGCCAATTGTTGAATATGTGCGTGAACACCCAGGTATGAAACCTGGTTTTCATCATGTTTAGACTCTCCATTTGGTTAATAACAATAAACGAAGCAATTCCAATAGGGTCCTCGGACCATCTGTGCTCAGGCCCTAAAAGATCCAGTTTGGACATTCTGATAAAGAACTACTGGTCAAACTGTGTAAATTAAAACCTGCATGCATATCTCTCTTACAATAACATCAATACCATGCATTCAGAAAGCCATCTGTTCAAAATCAAAGAGTGACAGGATGACCTCCAAAGGACAAAAAGGAAACACAACACATAAAACAGGAGGTCATTGTGAAAGAGCTCAGCTTTTCATGCCTGCTCTGTCTTCATACTCTATTGGCCATGCCTGGCCCGTAAGGAGAATACTGAACAAGCAGCTCTTCACCTCAGCTCCACTGCTCATCTATCCCTCCAGACTTCCAATGAAAACTGAACAAGACCCCTGCAGCTTCAGTGCGAGCGGCTGAATCAGAGAGCGAGATTGAGGTCTCACCTGGGCTTGTAGGAGGTAAAACTCTTGTGTCTGGCGGCTCAGAGTTGCTGCAGAGACCAGGACACCCTGAGGAGTGATGCGGAAGAAGTCGCCCTCGTTCCCTCTAATGATCGAAAAAGTGAAAGGAGGACCGTTGTGGGAGGCATCGCGGTCAGACACAGTCAGCTGGAGAACACTGGCACCAATTGGTTGATTCTCCTATAGAACATATGCAGTGTAAAAGGTTTTGCAATTGAAATAATCAAAAGACACACAATCTAGCAAGTAACTCAGAAGCAATACATTTTTTATGAATGTGCCAGCAAGCATAGGCAATAGTGGTGAATAATTATACTTTCTTTATTGAGTAATGTCCCATGTATATTTTCAGTGTATTGCCTTATGAATTTAAGCACTAAACAATATTCTGAGAATTATAAATGTAAGGAGGGCCATTCTATTCATATTTAATTGCATTAGTACTCACTATTCAACTTTAATAATAGACTGTTTATGTAATGAGCCTCTAATTTTGATTAGGTTTAACGATTGTTTTAAATACCAGTTTTAATGATTTTAGGTGAAAAAAAAATAAAGATTTATATGCTTAGTTTTTATTACATTTCATTTAAAGAAAAGAGAGCAATTTTTCTATTTTAATTAATTTTTAATTAACAATAATAACAACACAGTGCAGTTTTTTTGTTCATGTCATTTGAGTTTAGTGTTGGTGTTGGGTAATTTTTTTAATTATTTTATTTTATACAATATTACAGTATTCAATCAAGCTTTCACATTTTAATAAATTAAAATAAAATAAAATAAATTAAAGTGTCACAGTCACCAAGTCATCTAGACGGTATGAATCACATTTGCCACAGAACTGAACTACATATCCAATGTCCTGCAGTTACACACCGGTTCCTGCTCATTACACACACAAACAGCTGAAACTGATCATGACTGATTACATGGACTATTTATTTAAGTCAAATAAAGTCAAGTGAAGCTTTACTGTCATTCCGCTACATGTGTGGACATACAGAGGAATGAAATGTCCACGGGACAACAACACTGGATATAAGAGCTATTTAAAAAAAACAATGAATAATTAACATACACTATAAGATACTTAACTATACACATGAGACAAGCTATTCAAGTACTTTTAAAGGAGACTGAACAATGTATCCACAATATTGTGCAAGAGAGGTATTAAGGGTTTACGATTATGCAAAAGTTATTTAAGGTTGAAGCAAACAGTGCATCATGATTGTGGTATATTTATAGTATACACCGTTTTCATTATAAAGTTTTTGTAAGATTGAGTTTAGATAAAGTGTCAGGTGCATAAGAGAGAACAGAGTGTTATTACAGGTGGTTTGTCAAGCCCACTTTAGCCCATTCACACCACACACATTAATATTATTGCTGAGATAATAAGTGTTTTCCTTGCCTCCATGTTAGACTTTTTGTTTATACTGTTTATGTTTGTTTTTCAGCCTGCTTTGACCTTTACACCTGTTACATCGACTACTCTTTTAAATTTTTTTAATGCTACCATCTGCTCCTGTTTTGAACCTTGCTTGCCTGACTGTTCTAAATAAAGCTGTATTTGGATTCAACCTTCATTACAACAGGCCGGTATTAAGATTTCTGATACTTTACTCAGCATTTTTTAAACAGAATAATCTTTTGTGAACACCCCCTATTTAAAATGAATCAAATAAATGGTGTTTAGTGACCCTTAACCATGACTATAACTCAGCATAACTGGTCTTCACTAAGACAAACCAGCATTAGAATGAAATCACTGAGACTAGAATCACTTCATCTTCTCTGTGAACTCAGACCTGAATAATGATGCTGTAGTTGGCTTGAGAGAAGATAGGTGGATTATCATTGATGTCCGAGACATCTACGTTGATGGTAGCGCTGCTGGATCGAGCCGGGCTTCCATTGTCAGAGGCCAACACGGTCAGCGTGTAACCTGAAGTCTAACAAACAAACAAAACAAAATGTCATCATTCAGTTTCAGCAACAGCCTGTCAGCACAACCTCTACTGAGATCCTAGAGTGTCTTATACCTTCTCTCTGTCGAGCAGCCGGGCCACCTTGACCTCTCCTCTGACGGGGTCGATAGTGAATGGACTGCCTTGATTCCCATCAATGATGGAGAAGCGCACCTGATTACTGGATGGACCATCTGCATCGTCGGCCATGACCTTCACACACAGAGAAACACACACCTGGTTAAGATAAAGATTGCCCTGGACTCAGGTATGCAGCAACCCCACCCCACCCCCCTCGTCCTTCTTGCTTCGTGAGTCAGTAACTATTGGCTGAGACCCTCGAGGGAAATCAGAAGGCAAGCAAGTGAAACAGAGCTGGGTATCAAAGCCTCAATTTTAACACTGACAATTTATATTCAGGCATGATAAGACATGAACATCTCTAATAAATGACCAGAGCGAGAGCGAGATAGAGACTACAGATTAAAGATTGGCTCCAGAAGGCTCTAGTTTTGACATTGGACTGTGTTTGTTTATCGTGTGCACTATTTGTGTTGATTTTAATGTCCCCTTGAAAACAGGATTCAAGTTTTTTGTTTGTTATTAACAATATGTCTTGGACTCTGACTGACAAAGTAATATTGGCTAATTTTTAAGGAGGGGGGCTTTTATATGCCCCGCCCTATCTTTGCATTTCAGTTGAAATTCCGTTATGCATTAAACAAAACTGCACATTTGATGGCAGTTTAGGGGATCTTTAATAGAGAATATAACACTGTTGAAGGCAGAATAAAATCATGAGCCAAAGACTTACAGTAAGCACTGTTTTTCCCAGCTCTGCGTCTTCGCTGATCACTGCGGAGTAGATGTCTTGGTTGAAGACAGGGCTGTTGTCGTTAACATCGGTCAGGTTGATGTTCACAGTGGCCAGGTCGCTGAGTGATGGTGTGCCTCCATCTGTTGCCTCCACTGTCAGATAAAATTCATGTGCCGTTTCGTAATCCAATGGCTCGATCACAAACACACCACCTAGGAAAGACAGGGCAATGTAAAATTTGGCTAGAAAAAAAATCTCTCTAAATCCATTCATATTTATTTGCTAAATAATTAAAGCAATAAACTGAAAAAAGGGTAAATTAAATTCATTAATTTATTCCTCTACTTTAATTCACTCATTTTATTAAATAAAAAAAAGAGTGAATTAAAGTAGAAGAATAAATAAATGAATTTAATAATTACACATAATGCATCAACTTATCAACAAACAAATAAATGATAAATTAATGGATAAAATTAATAAATTAGGAAAAAGTTCAGCAAAAGTAGGTAAAGTGTTTAGTAAAAACAGCAATGTATAAAATAAATTGATAAATTAATGAACATATGAATAATTGATAAACAAATTAATTACTAAATGGATACAAATGCATAAATAGGTAAAAAATGCATAAATAAATAACTAAATATATCAAAAATAAATGCATAAAATGAAAAAGGAAAGAAAGAAGAATGAAAGAGATAAAAATAAAATGGATAAAATCAAGAAATTATTAAAATGAATGGATAAAATTTTATTTATTAATAAAAATTAATTATGATTGAATAAAAAAAGGAGCACAAAAACAATACAACATTTTCTGCAGTTGTATGTTTCTTATTTTGACTATTTGAATGCTGCAGCGCTGTAAGGATCTGAGTGGTTTCCCCAAAGCCACTGTGTTTACCTGTTTGTGGGTCGACGCGGAACGCTCCCCTCTCATTTCCATTAATAATAGCATATGTGATCTCTGTTCCTGCTTCTGTGTCTCGGCTGGCAGCATGAATCCGTAACACCTGAGTGCCCACAGGGATGTCTTCAGCGACAGTGGCGGTGTATTCACGACGCTCGAACACTGGAGGATTGTCGTTGATGTCTAAGATGGAGACACTGACAGTGGTGTGGGACGAAAGGTGCCGTGGTGACCCACGGTCTGTGGCTTGGGCTCGAAGAGTGTAAAGCGACTGAAGCTCCCTGTCCAGAGGACGATCCAGTCGCACAACACCCGTCTCCTCCTCGATGGAGAACACACCATCAGCAGAGTCCAACAGAGAGTACAGGATCTCTGCATTAGCACCTAAAACACACAAAGCAGAGTGAGATTAATACAGACATTTAAGATGTGTGTAAGTGTACAATTTATAATGAATACGATTTCTGTTTTTTTGACTACTATCTCGAAAATAGATCAATTATAGGTCCAATCCCTATCCTACCCCTTAGCCCTGTCCCTTATGTGAAGGGGTAGGGTTGTCCCAATTCTCCTTAGCTTGAAGGTGTAGGGCTAGGGGAAGGGTTAAATAGCGCTTGAAGCAGAGATTATCCAGCACCGCAATAGAAACCAAGGGGTATAAAAATTTCTCAGAATACGCCAGGTGCAGTTGCAACATGGCTGTACACATGAGTCAGGAAATGCACGAATTTAAGTATTTTTTGGTATAATTAAAAATGTATACAACAAACAACCATATGTATTAATACATTATAATGGTGTTTGTTTTACTGTCATGCTTTAATTTATTTTTTTAATTGCTAGATTTTGCTAATCCATAATTATAACTCCTGTGTAGTAGTCCTACACCATTCTGATCTGACACTTAAACACTCTGTCAAGGGCCAAAGGGCAGGGTTAAAAAAATAGAATTAGGATTGGAAGAATTTGTTGATTTGAAGATTCTGATTATCTGACACATTCTTAAAGAGACAGTTTATCAAAACATTTAATTCTGCCATCATTTTATATCTCTCCACTTGTTCCAGACTTGTTTGATCTTCTTTCTTGTATAGCACAAAGAAATATATACATGTAATGAAGAATGTTGTAAAAAAGCAGCCATTGACTTGGCTGTTTTTTCCCCCAACATTTATCAGAATATCTGGTTTTGTTTTCAACAGAAGAAAATTTATAAAAATTTAGAACCACCTGAGTCTGAGTAGATGGTAAGTAAATTTTCTATTTTTGGTGAACGCCTTCATCCCTTATGCATCAATGTCAAAAATGTACACAAAAATGGCAGTCAAAATTTACAAATATAAATTTTTTTTTTTACACTTTTTGTAAAGCTAAGCAGCATTTTTGGAGTATAGCAGTCAAACAAAAAAGTCAATTGGACATGTCTAGGTCTCTATTGTAACATTTTAATTGCAATCACTCTAACATTCTGATTCAGAACCGTCTTATTTTCATTATCAGCTGAAAGGGTTGTGCAGAAAACCCTGATGCGTGTTTAAAACTTTGTGATGAATATTAAGTTCGATTAATGACATTTATTTAAAATTTTTAATGCCCCTTTAACTGTCTAAAATAAAAGCCAAAGTTTGAATGGTGGTGTAAATAACAAAGCATCAGCAGCTCATTTGTCAGTTATTCCGGTATTTAATGTACAATTGAAACCGATTTGTGAGTGTTTTCCTGACCTGTGGTTGCATCATATTGCATCATATTTCTTACTAAGAAAGCCAATCCATAAAGACTGCAAACAAATCAATACATTTTACATATTAAAAAGCTTCCATATCAGCGACAAAGCCTAAAGCAGTCGTAATGATTTGCAAAAAAAGTACTTCTACTGTGTCTCTGTCTCATTTAGTAAAATATAACGAGTAATAAATTAATCCTATAAAGGACTCAATAGAGAAACCCTCTGTTTTCTTTACTGCATATTAACAAGCGTGAGGGAGTGATACTTCTTGTATTGGGGAAGGCACGGACACTAACAAATAAGATGAAGATAGAGCACACTTAATCCCTCTAATGCATTTTTTTGACTAAGCCTCATTTGTGGCTTGCGAGTACAATCCTATCTGCCAAGACACACTTTCTCATAACAGCCAGTTAACGCAATCTTTACAAAGTTTTACTCAAGCCAAATTACTAGAAAGCAGTTGTTCATGACAGTTCAATACAAGGCCAGTTTATTGATCAATGAATATAGTTCATTTTGAAGTCTATAGTGCTAAGTGCTTTGTATGAGCAGTTAAAAGATGTGACTAATGCTTTGAAAGTACTGGCATTGAGGCTAAAATGTAAGGTAAGAATAAAAGATTGGTTGCATCTAGGCTTGGCTTAAGTGGAATATAGACTGGAGAGTACACAGAGCACACAATGCATCTGTTTCAGGATAGAGAGAACAGAACAAAAGGATATGACAGGAAAGCATGCAAATGGAAACTGGAGTGATTTCAGTGAATGACAGAGAGAGAAAGACATATCAGTTTGTGTTCGCTTAGATTAAAGGTGCTGCTCCGGTTGACTGAGAACATCATATGTGCGTGTTGGTTTCCTCTCAAAAGTAATAACACAACAGATGGACACCAGCGGGTCACACTGTTGCAAAATTGGAGAATATCTTGGAAAACACACTTGCATTTAAACACAACAGTCATTGTTTTCCATGCTAAAAAATTTGGTTTGAATACGGTTTGGACAAGGGCGAGTAGAACTAGAGAGTTACACTTGCAAAAGTAAGGTCATGGGTAGGCCCACATGGAATCTGTGCCTGCAAAAATCCAGTTTCTAGAAAGCTTAGTAAGAGCTTGATTAGCTAGCTCAGGTGTGTTTGATTGGGGTTGAAACTAAACTTTGCAGGAAACTAGCTCCACATGAATGAGTTAGGGCTTACGAATTTACTTATCAGGGCTGGGCGATAAAATCAGTATCGGTATTTCTTGACCTAATACTAATTGTCAATTTTGATTAGAGCTGTGAACCTACACTAGTCTCACGGTTTGGTTCGGTTACGATTATCATGCCATCGATTCGGTTCAATTCGATATTTCGGTGCATCACGGTGCATTGACGGTGCTTTCCATACACAGTTTTATATTTTCTTCACAGCAGCAGTTCTTGTATTAAAATGTATGAATATATTTATATTTATATACAAAATTTGCAATTTTGTCATTTAATACAAACAGTCAGATATATAAACTATAACTTTAAACAAAACGGGCATTTAGCAAATAATATAAACAAATATAAATATCCAGCTCAATTTCTGATCCTTGTCTAGTTCTCTTACACCCCTTTGATTGGTCACACCCTCAAAAAAAAAAAACGGTTGCGATTGGCTCTTGCGCACTGCGCTCTTCACAGATGAGTGATACTGATAAGCGGCAGGCGGCAGCGGCGATCTCACAGCTGATGTATGATAGACACGGTTGAGAAAACTCTGCAGACACGCGCTCATTTCTGTATGCAAAAGTAAAGCTGTGTGTGTGAGAAAGAGAGAGAGAGAGACAGAGCGAGAGCGAGAGAGAGAGAGAGAGAGAGAGAGAAATGGAGTAGGCTACTTTCATTCTCTCTATCTCGGTGAAATAGGGGCTCTTGTTGTATTTGTCAGTGAAAGACTGATCCAGCAAACACACACAGTGAAATTGTGCACACTTTAGGAGTTTTAAGTAGTTAAAGCGCTGTAAATACTCGCGATCGCCTCCCTCGCGACAGAGCGCATATGAGGTAAATGACGTCAGTAATAACCGGTTATGATTATTACTGAACCGATACCGAATTGTCCGCGTGTGCATCGCAGTGCACCGAAGAAACGATTAATTTTGACACCCCTAATTTTGATATAAAAAGTTTGGTATGAAGCGCTTTAGTTTTATTAAAGTGTAGCTGCTGAGAAAGCTTTACTACAGTATTCGTAGGCTTAGTGTGTCAGCTTAGAGTGTCATGCCACAAGCGCTCCATGATTCATGTACGTAGAACTAACCAAATCTTCTTCACACTTTGTATGGAATATACACATTTTTGTAATAATGGCAGACTAATTACCTCAGACAAGCACAGCATACCCAAACACTGCAGTGCTTTTGTAACTTTCTCCAGAAACTTGTATCGAAGCTGCAGCAATGGCTTGTCTGATTATCATCCTCTTGAGAAAACGGGTGATGGTCACAAAGATTGGCGGGCAGGGGAGCGCGAGCGCAAATAAAGAAAACCACACAAAATATAAACAAAATATCTCATATCTTTATAATAAAATAAACTTGAGTGTTAAAAGGACTCTTACACTTTGCGACATTTTATTTTTCAAGTGTAAGAGTCTTTTTAACACTCATGTTTATTGTATTTTAAAGAGATCAGATATTATGTTTAAATGTTTTGGTTTTTGACAATTCAAACTATTTGCCTTAGTAATATTGAGGAATTAGAATAAAGTGGTTAAAAAAATCCTAATATACATAAATGGATTGTTAAATGAGACAATAATTTGTGTACAATAAAAGTGTGAATTTATATTTTGATAGCAATAGTTTTTTGGATGTTTTTAGATTATATAAGAGAACTTCTGTCGTTTTGTTTACCAAACATGTAGTTCTTACTGATTGAATTAGCATTTTAAACTTAAAAAAAATGTAATAGTTTATTTTAAAATTATTGTATCTTTATTATTTCATTATTTATAGTTCGTACTATATTATATTTCTTTTTCTTCTGTCTGGCCTTAGTCGTGGATTATCCATGGACATCAAAAATTATCAAATGTAAATATATACCAGAAATGAAATGCATGTTGCTTTGGGAAAGTTGTCTGCCAGCTGATACATTGAACGTAAATATAAGTTATTGTTCTGTAAACTGGAGCTCTTACCTGTGTCCAGGTCAGAGGCGTACAGGCGAGCCACTGGTGTGTTTATCTCAGTGTTCTCGAATACAGTGAAGGTGTAGGGGTCAGTGGTAAACTGCGGAGGGTTGTCGTTTACATCTTCGACTGTGATTTCAACTTCTGCTTCACAAAAGCGTCCGCCTCCGTCCAGAGCACGCACCTTCATCTTGTGCACCTCCTCTTCCTCACGATCCAGAGGAAGCAGTGTTTTCAATTCACCTGATAAAACAACACCACACTTTACACTGTGTCCAAACAGTTGTCAAGAATGTCACAAGGGATAAAAAAATTGTTCCATGTACTTTTTATGCATTTCTGCCAAAACCAATTGCAACAATAATGCTAAAGGTGTATAGTTCTGTGTTGAGTCCACACAATAGGTCTGTCATAGATGTTTGCAGAGTCACATAGCATTTGCTGTTCCCTGACACAGATCCTGACTTGCCAATCTAAAAAAAGTTAAGTAATTAACTACCAATAAGAGCAAGAGCTGTGATTGGTTGTCTAGAAAGCATTGATAAATGTGGGAGGGGCTGAGGGTCATGGGAGAGAAGTAAAGTTTGTGATGTGGGTTTCGAGTCCCACAGAGCACCTCTGGATCCATACTTTTGTCTTTTGTCGCCCTGCTGCAACATTATTAGACGTAGATATTTGGTTGATTTTAGGTTGGACATTGACGTCGATCTGACATTGAGTTCAACCAGATTTTTATTTTTAAACAAAATGCAACATCCCCTATGTTGGAGTACAACGTCAATCTGACATCATATTGACGTCCTGTGCCTGCTAGGATTATATTATTTTTATTATTTAATTATAAGATTAATTTGTCATTTTTGGGAGAACCAACTCTTGCAATGTTCTATAAATTAGGTCAAACCTTTTTCTAGGCCACCTGTTGCTGCTACCACGAAAAAAAAAGTGTTCACTGCTCTCTCAATCTTCATGTCTGCAATCTGCTTTCTGTAGATTTATAAAAGCTGTCTCTTGCTTAAAAAACAACCTTAAATTTCACTCTTCATCAATCACTGTGAACATCGACTGGCACTGAACTAATGAACAACACACAATCCAATAACACTTCAAACCATCTCACTGGTCAAGCCAAGAGGACCCTCTAAAAAGCAAAGCAGCACACGACAGAAACAATCGTCTCTTTCATGAATACATAATCTGAGCCTAACAATTTTAGCAAGCTATGTTACACTGGAGAGGTCGCTGATTTAAAACTGCCCTTTTTGTGTGCCATCTGTTTGGTGTCGACCTTTTATCTGGGTCCGCATCTCAAGGAGGAATGAATGCAGGGTGTCCGAAATTCCCCCCTCGAAAAGAGCTCAACTCATCCTTGCGCTGAGCGGCTTTAAGAAATCGAAAAGATTAAAGAAGGGAGGGATGGTGAGAAATGAGAGAAATAGCAAGGGAGGATAAAGTGCAGTTGGCATGTGGGCTGCTCAGAGAGTGAGCAGAGAAAAGGAGGAAGGGAAAGTCACACAGAAAAGCAGCCGCCAGCTTTCAGGGGTCTGGTTGGCGCGCACGAGAGCACTCTTGGCACCGCTAACTTGCAATAATGCTTCTCTTCTTTTCCACGACCGAACAGAGGAAAAAAGTGAAGAAAATCCTCCGTGCACACTAAACCCACACAGAAGAACAGTAGCGCTCCTTCAGTTTACGAGCCAGCATTCCCTGCCTTCACACTTGGTGCTATCAAAGAGCCAGTGAGTAGCGCCTTTACAATAGCTTTTGTGTTGTAGCAGTGTGACGTTGTCACCAACCCACTGTTGATTTCTGCTCTCTTTCTGCCTGGAACCAATGGTTCATTCACAGATGAAAGACAGCTGACTAGGGTTAATAGCTGAAATGGGCCAACACTTGCTGAAATGATTTATTAAAATCTTTTGTACGACTACATTTGTCTGAATAAAAAAGACGAGTGAAAAAAAAAATGAATAGAAAAAATATGAGTGAAAGAATTCAGCGTTGTTCACTATAAAATCGTAATAAAAGCCCAAGGGTGTACATCCTTCCCTGGAATTATTTAAGTAATTAAATTAGAAATTATGGTTTTAAATGGGATGGGTGTTTGACTGCAGGCAAAAGCAAATGATGTTGAAAATGTTCTGTGTGTATGTTGCGTATTTAATCTGGCTTTTTCATACAACAGTTTAAAACTACAATGTATTTTAAAGGCTTGGTTGTATTTATAAAATTCAAAGCAATGTGTGCTCATGCCTCACTTGTAGAAAATCAAATTATTTTTTCATATATCTTACATTGATTATATACAGCTACTCGGCTAACATGAAACCGACTGTCATATTTCCTAGTTCCTCTGAAAGGCCCACTCTCAAGAGGCTCTGATTGGTCAGCTAACATAATGTGCTGTCATTTGCGAATTGGCTCCACCTCACGCCCCTATAAGCAATCTGAAAAGTGTCTTTCACATATATTCGGGTTATAAGCATGTGTAAGTAATATAAAACGTTCTCATATCTTTTGCAATTTTGTTATTTGAGGGTGCTTTCACACCTGGGAATCGATTCATTTGTTCCGAAATGGGTTAAAATTGTTATAATGTTGCTCTTTGTTCTTGGTGCGGTTTGCTTTCACACGGCAAAGTTTCTAAACAGACCAAAAGAGCTAAAACAAGTCACGTGCGAGTAAACTCTCCTCACATTGGTCAGAGTTTGGTCAGAGTCCCTCTCAGCTGTCATGCGTCCTTATTTTAACTTATGATGATGAGCAATAAATACATCATAAGTGAAAAGCTGCGGTTTCATTTTGAATAGTGACACCTACAGACATCGTCACCAAGTATAAATCAGAGATAACACTTTCTCATACATAGCAGTTGGCTTATGCATTATAGGCTTTTACATGAAACGCACATTTACCTGCCCTACTCATAACTCTCTCTTTATATAGCCGTATATATGCCTATGACATATCCATAATACACTGTGATATAGCCGGGCTCGGATTGTATCGCTTTTTCACTACAATCGCTCGCTCCCGAGTTTGTTTCAATTGAGGCGAGACCACCTTATTCAGGTGATCTCGGACCGATTGATTTGGCGCAGATCCGAGCACGATTGCTGGATTAACATATGCCAAACAAAGTGCACTAACTAGGCAAATGAGACAGGTTCCGAAACAAAAGTCTAGGTGTGAATGCACCCTGAGATGTAGAATGCACGGAAAACATTCCGCATAGAGAAACACGGAAAGCGTCCGCATAGAGAGACACTGCACGCGCTGCTGAAGATTGTGGATGTGTACAGCAGTTTGACTGATAAATATGAATTTGTAGCTAAATTTTTGTGGTGCCAAAGAGCATTTCCCATTGTTGAACTTTGAGCATATTACATTCAGAGATGTTGTTTCTCACAGAGATGTTATGTTCACACATCTACATTACATATCAACTAAAGTTTAAAATATGATATCAGAGTGGGCCACCCCTTTAAAAATGTTTCAGAAAAAAGTCTCTTATGCACATTAGGCTGCATTTATTTAATAAAAAATGCAATAAAAAAGTAATACTGTTGTAGAATCTGAAATTTGTAATGACCCATGTGTGTTTTAAATGGAATCAATTCTATATTCTATTATGTTTTGCTTTAGTTTTTTCAATTATTTGCTTTGCATTGATAATTTCAGTTATGGTTATTTAATCATTAAAAAAATAGTTATTCATTTAATCATCCATTTATTAGAGTCATATTTTTTATGTCTATCATTTATTACACTTATCATTTATTGATTTGATTTCTTTATTTTATGTATTTCTTATTACTTGTCCTGCTTTTAGGGCTTTTTCCATTGCTTAGTAATAATTTGATGTTCCTCTGCACTGATATGAGATTTGAGGGTATGTCTCTAATTCAAGGTCTTGTGGCCTGATGTATAATAACATCTGTTTTGTTTGTGCTGTTCAGACGAAGTATGAGAGCACACCGAAACACACCCAACAATGATTATTCAATAAACCCTGCTCTTTTATTATCATCACTTCGTCTCCTGCTTCTGCTCTTCTCTGACTTCCTTCCACAGTCGACTCCTATATTGATAGTAGACTGCTAATTCAGCTGAATACTGGTTAACAGGTTTGGGTATTGGAAACTTTGCAGACTTGTTGTCCAAATACCTGGAGAAACTAACATTTCGTGACAAGATCTGGCGTCCGGGGCTGGATCATATTTATCTGGTGTGGAGACTGTGATCTAACACTGTGAAAGGAAAGCTCCTTTCTTGGCGGACCTTGCATAATATTCACATTAAAAACACTTATTTGTAAATTGGATAAATTGTAATTATATAATATTAATATTAATATTAATATATTAATATAAGCCATTATATAATTCACAAAATACTGTAGGATTGACACAGCTCATAATACAGATATTCAATAGGGAACACAAGCTTGCATGGGAACACAATAAAATACCCATATGCAATTTAAAAAATATTGTAATATGGATCACATGTGAACTTTAATATATACCTGTCTCTGAGTCGATGCTAAAGTGCTCTGATCCAGGCCCCAGCAGCTCGTAGGAGATCTGAGCGTTGGAACGGATGTCAGCATCTGTGGCGGAGACTTGCAGTATGAGCCTGCCGGCAGGGGAATCCTCAGGGACGCTTTCCATATAAAATGACTGGAAAGAACAGACAGAGAAACATGTGAAACCACTTCACAAATAGGGTGACAGGGCCAAAAGAGAGAAACGAAAGCATTAAGGAAGAGTTTGGTGGCAATTCTGAAGCCAAACTGGCTAAAAGATTTTCACCGCGGGAGTTCTATTAAATTAACATTATTCAAAATGAAACACAATGAGTAACAGAAGCACATTAGTCCTCACAAAACCCTCTCACAGAACAAAATCACCCTCTTTGTTTCTTAAATGCTGCATTTCACATAAGGACCTTTTCAAATCCCTCCTGACATTCTCTCTTTCTCTCTAAGTCTCGTCCCATTTAGCATGCACAGCGGGTAGGCAGAGCCCTCCCCTTAACAGACAGAATCAGACTACATGACATTTTGCTGCAATGCACTTCCCACACACACATCCCCACAAAACTAACATCATACCTTCTCACAAATTGGGCTGTTGTCATTGGCATCCAAGACCTTGACTTCAACCACGGCCTTGGCTGTGAAGGTCCCATCAGTGGCTGTAATGTTCAGCAAGTAATTGTCCTTCTCCTCCCTATCGAGTGGTTTCCGCACTGAAACCTTCCACTCGCCTTGAGTATGCTCAATGGCAAACTGTCCCAAGGGGTCTCCACCTTTAGAGAGCAAACATGAGAAATGCCAGTCAAACTAATGAACATAAACGGCTGTTAAAATGCCTCTATATTTGTGTGGTTTCCTGTTGTGTGCTTAGAAGCTATAGTAAAGGATCAATCTGTGTTCATAATTCACAGGTTTCACATCTGTGCAATGACTTCTCCAGAAGCTTTGATTCTTGTTTGGTTGGATTTCACATTATTAACACATATGTAAATAAGTGGCAGTGTGACTTGCTATGCCAATTTCTGTCATCACTCTACGGTCATGTGAAGATGACTGGATGTAATTAGACTGTTTTCTGTGCCAAGAAATGCTCATCCCATCTCCTGCTTGGCATCAACGTTCATGCTAATTAATTATCACCAGAGCTGAAATATTCCCGCTTGGTTTTCAGAAACGACATTGGGAAAATAATAACATTTCCTATTTAGAATGTCTATACATTCTTTAAGCAAAAATTATTTTTAACACACATTAAAGAATAGTTTAGAAAAAGAATCTAAAGTTCCTTGAAGGTTTAATGTAAAGAGCCTGTGAGTTTGGTCCAATGTTAAGTCAATGGGATTTGAAGTCCCTATGTTTTAAATGAAAGTTTTTTCACCATTGTAAGTCAATGGAAAACATTGGGGCACTCTAGCACCCCAGAGGTACAACTTACACCCCAGTTTAATATGTAGATTAATACAGTCTGGCAGCCTCTTAAATTGTGGAAGATCACATGTTTCTAAAATTTCTTTGGTCAAAAAAGTTTGGTCCAATATTAGGTCAATGGGATTTTTCAGAGTTTCCGGGTCAGTTTCTGGAAAACTCAAAGCCAGATCAGTTTAAAAACATAAAGTAACTTGAGTCAGACTAGTCTAAAGGCCTGGTCGAAGTTTGGTGGTCTTAGGATTAAAGCCCTAGGACAAGAAGGGGTTGGTAAATTTTTTGCTCAGAAAAAAAGAACAATAATACGTTTAAGTGGCATAACAATATGTTGGCTTACTTAGGCCAACATAATTACATCCCCACAAATTGCTCATTTCTAAAACATGAACAAATTATTCCATCATAAAACTGAAATTAAACCATTACTTATAATTCCCATTAAATGATAATGGCTTAAATTAAACAAGAAGTGTGTTACCTGTAATGAAGTAGCTGATTTGCTTGTTATTCTCCTCTGTGTCCAGGTCTGTAGTGCTAAGAATAGCAATGACTCCACCAGGTGGGTCATCTTCGCTTACTGTGCCCTTGTAGATCTCTGCTGTGAACTTCGGTGGGTTGTCATTCACATCTACCACTGTGACATCCACCCTGGTACTAGCCATCAGCTGAACTTTGTCTCCACGGTCGGTAGCCAAAACTGAAACTGTGTATTTATTTCTCGTCTCACGGTCAAGTTCCTTTAATGTGGTAATCCAACCGGATTCACTGTTTATGGCAAACAACTCTACAATGTCCCTTGTCTCTTGGTTGGGATCTAAATTGTAAACCACATGACCATTAGTGCCCGAGTCCAGATCTGTGGCCTTTACCTGTATAACAGAGGTGCCTCCTGGGAGATTTTCCACAACAAAAGCTTCATAAGGGTTTGACTCAAAGAGAGGTCGATTATCATTGACATCCTTGACCTGAATGCTAATGTCCACAGCGGAGACAACTTTGCTTCCCTCATATTCACTTTGGGCTTGTAGAGTTAGCTGATACCATTTGGTGCTCTCATGGTCAAGCTTCTTGTCCAGCTTTAAAGATCCTGAACTGGGGTCAACGACAAATACCTCATCCTGGTTGCTCTCAGGAGTATTCCCTTTCACCAGGCTATAAAAGACTGGCTGATCACTTTCGGCCTGAATAACATCTATTTCTGAACCAAGAGAAAGGTCTTCTTCTATGGCAAATCTGTAGTGGGACTCTATGAACTTTGGCACTGGGACCTCAGGAGCAAGAATTTTGACGTAGACAGGAACAACAGAAGACTTTGTGGGATTTCCACCATCTTTTGCTCGTACAAGAAATGTGTACATTTGGTTCTCCAATCCAATGAGGCTTTCCTTTGTTACAATGACACCACTGAACTGGTGGATTTCAAAGTTCTCCTCAACATTGTCTGCATCAGTTTCAATAGAATAGGTGATATCTGCATTACTTCCTTCATCCATGTCTGATGCTGCAATCTTAAGTATGGTTGTTCCTCTTGACACATCAGACGCAACATTAACTCTGTAATCAGCAGCTCTGAACTGTGGGGCATTATCATTAATATCTGTTAAGATCACATTCACAGTGCAGAAGCCAACTTTGCCACCACCGTCTTTAGCAATCAAAGAGATCGGAATCACTTTCTCCAATGCGTTCTCACGGTCAAGACTTTCCAAAGTAAAAATCTCTCCATTCTCAGAGATTGAAAACTTGTCTTTAGCAATGTCATTGACTATATGGTAGGTAAGTCTTCCATATGTTCCTGAGTCATCATCTGTCGCTTGGGCTTCAGCCACCAGTGTTCCAACAGGTGAGTTTTCAAGAAGCTCGACCACATAATCCACCTGGTTGAAGGTAGGATTGTGGAAGTTGGCACTTATAACATTGACTTTCACGATGGCTGAACTTCTAAATACACCATCTGATACAGACACATTGATATTGTAGAGAGATTCCATATGAGGTTTACGATGATTTGATATGACTAAAGCCCCAGTGTTTGGATCCATTGCAAAGTTTTGTCCTTCATTTCCAGACAAAATTGAAAATTCAAGTTTTCCACTATCAGAGATGTCAGCATCGGAAGCCTGTACTTGGGTGACAAAGTGGCCACGGGGTGCTAGTTCACTCACTGTAGCTTCATAGACATTCTGGGAGAACACTGGAGTGTTGTCGTTAAGGTCCATTACATCAATTAACACCATAACTTCACTTGAAAGAGCAGGCACACCACCATCCACTGCTCTAATTAACAGCCTATGTGAAGGTTTTTCTTCATGGTCAAGCATCCGAGTTGTCCAGATTGTGCCTGTGTCACGGTCGATGCTAAAGTAATCAAAGCTCTTATCTTTATCTTCAACAATCTGGTAAAAGAGCACTTTGTTGTTACCAGTGTCAGCATCTGTCGCTGAGACTTCTAATACGGATGTCCCTATCACTGATGCTTCCGAAAGACTTGCATTGTACAGTTTGGTATGGAACACAGGTGGGTTGTCATTAACATCTTCCAAGATTATGTCAACAAACACTTCAGCTTTGGCACCAGTTAGCGAGTCAGTGGCCCTCACACTAAGTTTATAGGCTGGGTGGGTCTCAAAATCCAAAGTTTTTACAACCTGGATCACACCAGTATTGAAGTTGATAGTGAACTGATTGAGAGGGTCCCCTTCTGTGATCGTGTAAACAATTCTAGGCCCTTCGGAGTCATTAGCCTGGATGTGTACAATAGGTGTTAGTAGCTGTATGTTCTCTGGAATTTCCAGACTGTAGAATGCTTTCTCAAACACAGGCATAGCTTTGTTTACAACCAATATTGGGACTTCAACAGATGAGGAAAGTGCCGGTTCACCTCCATCTCTGGCTACAACTGTGATGATAAATTCAGTGTTAACTGAGTCTTTGTCAAGCTTCTTTGTAAGTGAGATTTCACCATCTGTGCTGATCTGAACAAACTCATTCAACTCCTGAAGGTGGTAGTTGATCTCAGCATTTTCATTAATATCAGCATCAACAGCTGTCACCTTGGTGATGATGTGGTCCACATCTGCATCAACTTGCACTAGTGCCTGATAAGGTAAATTGACAAACACAGGTGGGTTGTCATTGACATCCTCAATTATCACAGTGACGAGGACATGGGCTACATCAGGTGACTTGTCATCTCTGGTCACCTCCACCACAATATCAAATACACCTTGCTCTTCTCTATCAAAAGGTGTGCCTGTAGAGGAGAGTACTCCTGAAGTTCGGCTTATTGTAAATCTCTTATCAGGATTCAGAATGGTATAAAACAAAGGTTCATTGACTTGGTTTCCCACTGCCGCAATTACAGCTAAAGTCTTCTTCTCTGAGGAATTTTCTGGCACGAATGCCTTGTATGATTCTTGGGTGAACCGAAGAGTACTCTCCTTATTCTCTCTGACATTTATTTTCACTAAGGATGTTTTAGAAAACCTGCCATCAGACACCCTCACTCTGAGCTCATACCTGCTTCTGAGCTGAGTGACATTTTGAATAGTGATAACCCCTGTGACCGGGTCCATTTTAAACTTCTCTCCAATATTGCCTTCAACAATAGAGTAAAAAAGCCTTGAATTTGGACCCGAGTCTGCATCTGAGGCATTGACTGTGATCACTTCAACTCCTTTGTAAGTTGGCACTAAGACTGTTGTTTCATATAGATCTTGGCTGAACTGAGGTGGGCAATCATTAACGTCCAGAATCTCAATAGTCACATTAGCAGCCTTCTCTGCAAAATGACGGGGAATTCCCATGTCATGGACTTGAACTGAAAAGCGAAACACTGATCTCTGTTCATAATCCAATTCACTGATGGTTCTGATTGCACCAGTGCTAGAGTCAATGGCAAAGTAATTATGGGCAAATGGCTCAACAATCTGATAGACAAGCCTCGAGTTAGCATCACGATCAGTGTCTAAAGCACGGATGACAAGAGGTGTGTTGTCTTTGGTGAGGACTACACTGTTGACTGGAGAAGACTCACTGACCATTCCAGCAAATTGATCTTGAATAAAAACAGGCGCATTATCATTTTCATCCTTTAAGTGAATCAGTAGAGTAGTGTTACTAGCCAGCCCGGCCATGTTGGTTCCCTGAATGGTTAGTTTGTATGATGGAATGGTCTCATAATCCAGAACTGAATGGGTAACAACAACTCCAGAGTTAGGGTTGATGTCAAATGCTCCATTCACATTTCCATCTTTGATCTGATAGAAAACTGATGATTGGCTGTTGGCAGTGACCAGACTTACGAAGGCTCCAGGCAGAACAGTTTCGCTGACTTCAGCAGAAAACTCCTTCTCTGCAAATTTAGGGATGGCATTGTCAGAAATAGTGACTGTTATGTCGACAGCAGCTGTACCACTAAGTGGCGGTGTTCCTTTGTCAGAGGCTTTCACAGTTAGTTCAAATCTGTTCTTGTTGTTACGGTCCAGCTCCTTTGCCACAGTGATGGTTCCCAGGACAGGATCAATGGCAAATGAATTGGCTACGTTTCCTAAGGAGGAAAGATGACAAAGATGCATTACACAGGCAAAACGGTTTCGATTTTCCTCTTCAGAACTCTTTAGAACTCATTATTTTATATCTTTGGTGTCAAACTTGGCTTTTTCAAAGACTAAAGTAAACAAAAATCCTGTATAAATTGATTAAACTAGACAAAATCCTTTTTTTGTGCAAATCTGTTTGCTTCATTTATAATGAATATTTTAGTTTGCAGTTAGCTGGAAAAAAAGAACATGACTATGTTGCCATAGACTATTCAGCAGCCCGAACATCAGCCATTCAGTATGTGATCTGAACAATGTTTGCCATCTCTCTCACACTCACAACACATTTCAAATAGCTTCTGTAATCTCAGACATTTCAAATATGTGCATTCTCAAAAGGCTACTCAGCGTCATTTCTGTGCTATGCCTGTCTTTCAAAACTCTCACAGTTTGGTGAACTGCAGGACCCTTGGCTGCCATGTTCAATATCTCCCACATTTTTAACTCTAAGAGGCTGCATGGCTCACCGATATCCCAAGTTCGAACAAAGATGACATGACAGGCTTTGAAACTTATGGTCTGTTTCTGAAGGTTTCATGTTCAGACATTTTTATATATCTCATAAATATATGCAACATGTAGTCTCCTGGATAAACTGGATGAAAGTCAAAAGCAATCAAATCAATCAGATGGACTACCTGACTCAATGCTGTAGATGATCTCAGCATTCTGGCCTTTGTCCTTGTCAAGAGCAGAGACCTGAAGCACTGCAGAGCCGGTGGCAGCAGACTCAAACACTCGGCCCACATACGGCGCACCAGAGAACCAAGGTGCGTTGTCGTTGGTGTCTTGCACATTTACAATCACACGCACCAGGTTCCTCTTCACAGGGATATCTTGATCTCGTACCTGCAGCGAGGAAGGCAGAATAGGGGGGAATATAAGCAATTCTCCAGTTATTTCAAGACTTTAATTATCAGCGTGTGTGAAACACATCAAACACTTTAGATGCAAGCCCTTAGGAGTTCTGCCTCCATGTCGATTGAATTAAAGGGAAAACAAACTGCCAGGATAGTTTACAGTGATGGATGGCTGACTGGCTGAACATTTCTAACTTAGACAGAAAAATCAATTGTACAGATGAAGCTGTAAAGAAGGTGGCAGACCACATGATCTTACCATGACAGTTAGTGTATGCTGGTGCATGGTCTCATGGTCTAATCTCTCTGCTGTGTACAACACCCCAGTTCCGGGATCAAGCCTGAACTTCCGTAAACTGAATGGGTCAGTGCTGCTGAGGAGGGTGTATGTTAGCTTGTTCTTCTCATCCTGGTCTGTAGCAGTAATCCGTAACACTTCAGTCTCAGGTGGGGTGTCCTCAGAGACATCCACTTCATACTTTGGTTTAGAAAACTGGGGACGATGGTTGTTGGTGTCGATCACTTTAATAAGAACCTTTAAAAAAAAAAAACAAAGTTAATATTGGAAAAAATATATATTTATATTACAATAGTTTCATTAATGATATGAAGTGCATTTCATCTGAACTACATTACAATGATTAAATTGTTCAAATGCAAATAAGAATAGCTTTTAACAAGTAACATCAAGACATCTAGCCAACTGAGATCACTGTAAGAGGGGGACGCAAACCTGATTTCACCAAGTAAGACATGTTCCTGGATTAACATCTATGCTGATCATCGTACAACATTCCAATCAGCCAATCAGAATTACGGGATACGTTTACCATATATGTTAAGTTTAGGCTTAGGCTAGGTTTATGCACGTCTACATGAATTTTATCCAATCATTTGCTATTATTCGCCTCTGATTTTGTAAATACTTTACAGTTATAGTTGGGTTTATGTGTAGGGAATAGGCATGGGTTACATTTTTTTACAAAAATTATGTTTTAGGTTCAACATAGATCCAGGATTGCATTGTACTTGGCAAAATCATAACATACAAGAGGAGGAACAGAAATATGGTGAACAAAAGGTATTTTCAACACACTATTAAATGTTTATTCATATTTTCATCGAGGTATAACAATAGTACATTGCTTTTGTGTCTGACTTCATGTACTCTGATAGCAATGCCAGATGGCACAGATCTCACCTTCACTAACAATATGGAAATTTTATTGGGATATAACATTTTGTTCTTCAAATGATACTATGACATGATTGGTTACAACCTTTTTTCCCCATTATATAAAGCTACTAATAGCGCTAAAAGTAAGATACAGGATAAACATAACTTAATTCATAAGTCATAAGATTATAAATAGCCATGAAATACAGCACTGCCCAGGAAAAACAAGACGTGTATAAGAGACTGACTTTTAAATGTGTCCTTAATGTATAAAAGAACCTAACAATTGTGTTAAAACATCAACAAATTCACCTACAATAAAATATGTTTACATTAGAACAAAACAACAGGGACAAAAAAAGGAAAATCTAACAAAGCAAATTAAATTTTTAATTGGAATGACTGTTACTTGTCTCTAAATTTTTATATTTGTACTGCAGATGCTTTTAAAAGGATAAATTAAAAGACAAAAACTTATTTCTTTGTGCCTGTCAGCTTAGGCAAGCTGTTACCCTCTTAAAAGGAAGTTGTGTCTAATTCATCCCCTTTAAAGCACTGACGTCTTTCATCAAAGCGCTGCTTTTGTAACAAACGAATTGCTTTCAACAATATATTTCGAGACAATTACTACTAGTTCTCAAATCATCAGCTGGCATAAGGTTATGCATAATCTGTAGGTCTTGGTTTGTTTAGAAGTACTATGAGAGCTATGTGCAAACTTGAATAAAAATGATCTGCTTGTTAAGATATGATGAATTAATACTGTTCCTACTCCAATTAAACCCTTGTGTACTGTTCAAATTTACTACCCTTTTGTTAGGTTTGGGATAAAAATGCTGTAAAAATGCATCATATATATATATATATATATATATATATATATATATATATATATATATATATATATATATATATATATATATATATATATACAGTTGAAGTCAGAATTATTAGCCCCCCTAATTTTTAGACCGCTTGTTTATTTTTTCCCCAATTTCTGTTTAACGGAGAGAAGATTTTTTTCAACACATTTCTAAACATAATAATTTTAATAACTCATTTCTAATAACTGATTTATTTTATCTTTACCATAATGACTGTAAATAATATTTGACTAGATATTTTTCAAGACACTTCTATACAGCTTAAAGTGACATTTAAAGGCTTAACTAGGTTAATTAAGTTAACCAGGCAGGTTAGGGGCTAATTATTAGGCTATTAATTAGGCTAATTATTGTATAACAGTGGTTTGTTCTGTACATTATCGAGAAAAAATATAGCTTAAAGGGGCTAATAATTTTGTCCCTAAAATGGTCCATAAAAATTGAATATATATATATATATATATATATATATATATATATATATAAACAGTTAAAGTCAGAATTATTAGCCCCCTTTGAATTTTTTTCTTCTTTTTTAAATATTTTCCAAACGATGGTTAACAAAGCAAGGAAATTTTCACAGTATGTCTGATAATGTTTTTCTTCTGTAGAAAGTCTTATTTGTTTTATGTTGGGAAAAATAAAAGCAGTTTTTAACTTTTTAAAGACAATTTTAGGGACAAAATTATTAGCCTCTTTAAGCTATTTTTTTTTCAATAGTCTACAGAACAAACCATCATTATACAATAACTTGCCTAATTACCATAAACTGCCTAGTTAATTAACCTAGTTAAGCCTTTAAATGTCACTTTAAGTTGTATAGAAGTGTCTTGAAAAATATCTAGTCAAATATTATTTACAGTCATCATGGTAAAGATAAAATAAATCCATTATTAGAAATGAGTTATTAAAACTATTATGTTTAGAAATGTGTTGAAAAAATCTGCTCTCCGTTAAACAAAAATTGGGGGAAAAAGAAACAAGCGGTCTAATAATTCAGGGGGGCTAATAATTCTGATTTCAACTGTATATATATTTTAAATTTCAGTGCTGTATAAAACTAGTAAATGTTTTAAATGACAGGATTTGAACTCTTCAATTGCCAATTTCACAAATAATGTCACTGATTTGATGAAAAACGCACACAAAATTACATGTTTTCAATAAATATAGTAGTTAAGGATTGGATTTATTTTCACCTTTTATTAAAGTCTTGGACATGTGAATGATTAGTAACAACATTGGCTTTGATGCATTGTTAGATTTTCATTTTTTCTCTCTAATTTACTGTTGGTGGCTGTTTTTGCCCCATCGACTCCCATTATAACCACAACTGATGCTGCATAAATATAATCTTTGTGTTTATTGACTCCGTGTAGTTCTGAGAGCTGAGATGCATAGTTTGATTTTCTCAAACACATCAAGGTAAGTGCGTAAAGGACACTCTCACGCACTCACTGATACACATACACACACTTTAATTTGCTGCTATACTCCATATAAAAGTCTTAGCTAAAAGGTTAACGGTGCAAACAGATGATCAAAAGTAAAAATTACCAATTTTACCTCTTTCCAAAAGGGAAAACCTCCAACAATCATTATGTTAATTGTTATGGTTTTGCAATAAAAAATGTGGTTATAATGGAAGTCAAAACAGCCCCTAACAGTAAATTAGGGAGAAAAACTGAAAATCAATCAAAATCTATGCATCAAAGGCAATGTTGTTTCACATGTCCAACACTGTGATAAAAGGTAAAAAAAAATCTAGTCCTCAATTACTCTTTATATTGAAAACACGTCATTGTGTTTTTCACTTCTTGTTTTTTTTTTTCACCAAATCAGTTACTTCATTTAAGAATTTCCCAATTAAAGAGTAAAAATCCTCCAATCTTCTAAGCAATTTAGTAGTTTTGATCAGGACTGAGGTTGATTAACAGATTTATGCAAAAAAAAAAAAAAAAAAAAGAAAGAAAGAAAGAAAGAAAATATTTATCTGTTGCATTTTTTCAGCAGTTTAATTTACTGGATGTTTTCATCCTGAACATAACAAAAGGGTAGTATATTTGCCTAGAGTGTATCGTTGAGTTCTTCAAAAAATTTCAAAGCATTTTCTCAAAATATGTGTTAAAATAAGATTTGTCACACAAAAAATCATTCTTCTAGCTGAACCATAAAAAAGGTTCTGGCTATATTAAGACTCAAAATCACACCAGAGTGGATAAAAACCTCCCCAACAGTACATAAGGGTTAAGTGAGAATCCTCAACCTGTCTTTATGAGCACCATTCATTTTTAGCACATCTTTAAGATAAGCTTTCGCCAGATGAGACTACATTAAAGAGATAAGATTAATCTCATGATTCAATTTATTTTTCTTATTTAATAAGTGTTTATTAGCAAGGTGTGTTTTTTCTGATAGAGCATTTTAAACAAAAATAGCAGTGCATGATGCAAGACTTCAAGAATTTAAATATAATCACTGCCATTATACATCAGCTACATACAGTATTTTTAAATCAACAGTATATTAGTTGTTAAAGCGATAAGAACATAAGAGTTCTTACTTTATTTCTAATTTATGTTTGCAGTGCCATGCAACCCTCAGGGGATGAGAACTCAGATCATGTGTGCTTTGATATTTAACCAATCAATACTTAAAACAAATCAGGCAATCATTGAAATGCATGCTTACTTAAGGCTTACAATCAAAATGTTAGCAAACCGACATGAATCCAAATGAGTTGTGGCTGCTTGTGATAGCACTGCATGTTGACATTTTCTTTGGTGAGAAATGATTGTATCGGGAATGCAGAAGGATGTTTCATTAACGGTTAAAAGTTCTACAACCGGTGAAATGCCAAGGTTGTTTCGCTGAATACTTATGAGCATTTTGACGTTTTAGAAATTGCCAGCACACACACTTCTTATATGCAGGCTGATGGCTGCTGACAGACAAAAACATATATTTATCTTCTTTATTTTACTTTTAAATCAAAGTACATCATCCATCTATTAGCCTTCTGGGTAAGATTTGTGATATTGGGAAATTCAACACTACCAGATATGTGCATTTTAGAATGTTTGTGTGCGTGAATACTTGTTAGTATGTGACATGTCAGGACACAGAATTGTTAAATGACATGGGCATGACAGGAATTACAAGAGAAGGTGGCTTTTGAGGACATTGCACTTGGGTTTATATTTCAAAAGTGTTATAAATCATACAGAACTTAAATTTTTTTTTTTCAGAAAGTAAAAGAATGTGGGGTTAAGCAATAGCGTCGAGCTACAGGGCAGTAGAAAATCCATTTTGTACAGTATAAAAACTATGGAAACCTATGGAATGTCCAAACAATACACAAAAACAAAGCCTGTGTGTAAAAATTAGCTCTGTTCATACAATAACACTTTTATAAAGTCAAGATGGAGAAACAAAGAAGTTAAATGTATTGTATTGATAGAGTTTACATGCATG